GCACCCCGCCCCCGCGCACCCCGCCCCCGCGCGGCCCGGCGCGTCTCCCGACGCGGTCGCCCCAGACCCGGCGCCCCCCCCCGCGGGCTCGGGACGTGCGCCCTGGCCTGCCGCCCCCGCGGCCGCCCCTACCTGGCCGGGCTCTCCCTGCGCGGCGCCCGCTCCGCGCACACCTGTGGGAGCCGCGCGCACCTGTGCAGCCCGCGCCGCTGGGCCGGGTCCTCGCGCCCCGCCCGGGAGCCGCCGCCGCCGGGGCGTCCCGGCCAGCACCGGCGGCGACCACGGCGACCGCGGCGGCCGCGCGGCCCAGGCGGCAGGAGCGCGCGGCGGGGACGGGGGCGCGCGGCGGACGGGGGCGCGCACGCGCACGCGCCGCGGAGGCGTCGCCAGGCCCCGGGTCCCGGGGGCGGGGGCGCCCGCGGAGCCCGTCGGGGACGCCGAGCCCGGGGGAGGGCCTGGCTGCGAGGGGCGCCTCACCGCCGCGGGCTCGCGCCCCCTCCCCAGGCCCTGCCGGGCGCAGAAACAGGTTCCCGGCCTCGGCCCGGGACGGCTGCGGGGTGCAGGGCCGCGCCCCAACAAAGCCCACGCCGTGTGCCCGCCGGCTCCCGAGAACCGCGACCTGGGGGCACGGGGCGGCGGCTGCTCTCCCGAGAGGGAGGCTCCGTGGTCACCAGCCCGTCGCCTCGTCCTGAAGGTCCCAGGACTACGAAGACTCGGCTCGAGGGCCCGAGGGGCTCGTCACTCAGGCCCGGCTCCCTGCTGCGCGCCTGGCTGCCTCGCACACCCCACGCCCCCGCACACCCCCACCTGACAGCCAGAGGTCCCCACCAAGCCGCTCTGTTCCCGAGGAGCCGGGCCAGGCTGAACGCTCAGCGGCTGCCGCCTCCCTGCCAGGTCCCAGAGAGCTGGACGGCGCTGGCTTGTCGCTGCGGCGCTGCTGTGGGGCCCCTGGGCACCGCGCTGGTGCGGTGGGCCCGAGCCCAGGGTCCCCTCCCCCCTCGCCTGGCCCAGGGACACTCTCTGGGCATTGTACCCCTCCGGGCTGAGCTCCCCTCCAGCCTGGGAGCAGAGGGGCGTGGTGCTGCTGGGGGGGCTGGGCACTGTCTGGCCAGCACCAGGGCCCCATGCCCTGGCAGCCTGAGCCACATCCCCCTCGCTTCAAAACACACACCAAGCAGTCCCAGCAGTGGCCAGGGATGGACACGGCCCCTACGAAGCACTCAGAGTTTCTTGGCAGGAAGAATTAATTAGGATGTGTGCTGGCACGGAGACAGCAGTCCCTGTTCTCTGAGCCCGCCCTGGCCCCAGCGCGGTGGGAACTGGCGGGACACGCGGTACAGGCGCTATGGAGACGGGAAGGTCCCCACACAATTAAATACAGGCTCCGCCAGCTAAGCCGGCACCACAGCTCCGGGTGTTTGTCTGCAGGACACGAAAACAAGAGCTGATGTGTGAGAAGAGGCAGGCGCCCATGCCCACTGCCGCGTTTATCGCGGTCATCCAGCACCAAAACCCCCCTGGCACAGTGACAGGGGACAGCCGTGCAGCCGAGGCAGGCACCGTGCAGTGCACGAGAACATCCTGCAAATCCGGCAATTTTTAAAGTCCTCTGAGATGTACACGGTCTCTTTTCTAAGAGATGATAGTTCTTTATGGAGTGACACAAACCACTTCTTGATCATCTCTGGCTTAAATGCAGGCGACATCCCGCTTGGGTGGTGGCCAGTGCCCACCGTGGACACCACTCGGCTGCAGGAGGGCCGGTGTCTCACCGCAGCAGCAGCGTGGGTGGGCAGGAGGCCACTGCGTGGGGCTCCGAGAAAGATGTGATCTCCTCGCTTGTGGGACACAAAGAACACAGCAGAGGCGCAGACGAGGCAGCCCTCGGCTTCTGACGAGGCCGGAGGCCACGGGTGGGCAGCGGGCGTGGCTGGCCCATGGAGCCCATGGGCGTGCACCCCACCAGGTGAGGAGCTGTGCGCCCACGGCCATGCGCACTGTGAACCAGCATCCCCCACCCAGGAGTGCCTGCTGTCTCCATGTCTCTCAGAAGCTGCCCAGAACATGGGGCCCCTCCTCGCCACCCGCCGCCCCAGCACCTTCTCTCTCACACTCGCCTCAGGAGCTGCGGTCCTGGCTCCAGAGCACACAGGTACGCCAGCTTGGTGCCCTTGACACCAGCTGTGGCCACTGGGGCTGCTGGGTCAGGGGCGCGGGGACGGATGAACACATGTGCAATCCTTACTCGAGCAACCCGGCGGCTGCCTGGAGGAGCAGGGGAGAGTGGAGGCAGCTCCTGCCCCAGCTTCCAGGCCTGGCTCTGAAAGGGACACTGAGGCCTGTGGCACAGACCCCTTGCTCCAGGGGTCTGCGGAGGAGGCACACGGAGCAGACTGCGGAATAGCTGCCCCCTGTGGCTGCCAGGCCAACTGCCCATGACGAGAGAGGCCTCAAGCCACGGTTCTCTGCCTCTGTGCCGAGGGTTAGAGCACAGGCAGGTCCCCAGGGCCAAGACTAGACAGGCCTGGGAGACTCCAGGGAACGCCATCAGTGGCCAAGGGTGGAGGCACGAGCAGGGGCGAAGCCAGCCCCTCCTGCTGCCCAGGGCCTGATGCGCCTGCAACCACGAGAGGCCCAGACCAGGCCCACCCGCACCCGGGGGACCCCCATGTCCTGCTGCAGCTGTGCGCTGAGTCTCCTGAGCACAGCCAGAGGGGCTGCGGGCCCAGTGGGAGCATCCGAGAAGGGAGCAGGTGCTGGTGTCCGTGGGAGGACCTGGCTAGCGGGGTGGCTGGGGCCAGTGGGTGGCCGGTAAGCCCAGGCTACTTGCACCCCGCTTCTCAGCTGGCTCTACCCTCACCCTCCGCCACCACGTCCGGCCTGCCCGCCTGCCCTCCAGCCTCACTCACCGCTGGCTTCTCGCTGCCACAGCGGCCTCTGAGCAGAGCAGCCCCCGCAGGCACTCCCGGTGCCATGAGGGGCGCAGGTGGGGCTTGGGGCACACGCTGACCTCTGCTGGCCGTTGCAGCCACGAGCCTCTCTGGGGGCTTAGTTGTCACCAGTGATTTCCAAGAAGCCCGTGAAAAGCCCTGGCTGCACTGCCGGGCAGTGGCAGCCTTCCCGGCCCTGCCCCGCGGGTCTGTCGGCTGCGTGTGCCGGGCGCGGCTCCAGCCCGCTGCTGAGGGGCTCGGAGCTCAGGCCCACCGGCCAGACCCAGCGCTGCAGCCCCACCACCCCACAGGGAGGTCCAGCAACTCACCCCTTCTCGGTGCCCACAGGCCTGCCAGCGCCCGCCTGGCTCCGGGGGCAGCCTGAAGGCCTGCACCGCGCTGCTTCCCCAACCAGGGTGCCTCTGCCTGGGGTCTGCCGCTGGAGGCAGCGGAGGCCCCGCCATCCAGACGCAGAGGCTGCAGGCCCCGGGCTCACCTCTGCGGCCAGCCCCTGGGTGAGGCAGGCGGGCTGGAACCCTGTTCCCAGCGGGTGCTGAGGTGTGCTCCGGCTCTGGCTGCTTTGCCAGCCGGACTGTCTCTGCTCGCCAGGACAGCTGGTATGTCCCCGCGCAGGCCGCGCCCCGCCCCGCCCCGCCGGGCACACGCACCGGCCGCGGCTCCCCGGGCCACTCACCGGCTCCACGGACAGAGCCGGCCAGCCCGGGGCGGCTCTCCTCTCCCCGCGGACGCGGACGCGGCCCCTCCAGGAGAGCGCCGGGCGCAGGACGCGGGCGGGGCGCCTCTGCGTGCTGCGTGGACGGGCGCGCGGGCACCTGCGTGCCAGCTGCCCCCGAGCCTCTGGCCGGCTCACGCGGCCCTGGTCTAGGCACCCCCCGGGCTGACCCCCACCCCAGGCTCCAGATGCTGCGACGGTCGCCAGGGAGGCATCCGGGGAGCGTCACCAGGATGCGCTGGCAGCTGAGCAGCCCTGGCCTCCAGCCCACGGTCCCACCCACGTGCTGAATAATTCATGAGAAGAGACACCCCCCCCCCGTTTCAGACCAACCCCACGGCCTCTCTGGTTCATCCTAGACCGTGGCTCCCCCACATCCACTCATCCTGGTGGGGGGCAGAAAGCACAGCAGGTGGGGAGAGCAGGCTCTGGCCCCACTCAGACCCCCAAGCATCTCAGACCTGGGGCCACAGGGTCATCCTGGGTCTTTTGGGGGCTGGCCTCAAGGACCCCTCTGTGCCCCTCCACCCCAGTGATCAGCCATGGCCTGGAGATGGCACCCCTGTCCCTGTGACTCCCGCCCTCTGGAGGCAGGGCCTGACCTGCAGGGCTGGGGCCACAGAGTCCAGTGTCCACTGGAGGGGCTGAGGCCCAGGGACCCCAGGGGAGGGCGTGTCCAGCTCACTGCTGGTCTGCTCCTGCTCCTCCCCTGAGGCCCACCCTGAGCCCTCATGGAGTCCTCACTGCCCTCCAAGGGCCAGGTCAACGTGCTGGGGAACACGGACATCAGCCACAGCCTCGGCCACGGCACCACACGCTGACTCTGACCACGGGTGGGGGGGTGGCAGCATGGAAGGCGGAGCCCACACACCCAGCTGCCTGCCCTGCTGTCTCCAGGCACCCAGGTGGCCCAGGGCCGAGGGCTGCTGCCCACCACAGCCAGGAGGCCCGACACAGGGGCGGGTCCCTCCCACCCAGCTCCCAAGTCCTGGCCTGCACCTGCCTGGGAGCCGGAGACTCAGCCTCTGTCACCAACCCCAGGACAGGGCCCCACCCTCGGCGGCACCTTGGGGCCACCAGAAGCAATTCTGGCCATGACCCAGGCCCCAGCCGGGCTGTGTCCACCTAGTCATGTGCCCCCAGAAGGACCCACAAGCCACACTAGCTGGTTGGCACGCTCTCCGCACCCTCAGTGCCCCTGCGCCCAGCACCCCATGGTCGGCCAGGGCCGACAGGTCCCCCAAGTTCCCCCTGAACTTCCTCCAGGGGTCCCAGGCCCCGGTGGCACTGCCTTCATTTTAGGGGGGAAAAAGGCAACGGGCAGCCGCATCTTTTTAAATAAAAGGACTTTACTGACAAAACAAGAGGGCAGCTGGCAGCATGGGGGGCAGCGTTGCTCCCGCGGGTGGGAAGGGCGCCTGGGAGACGCTGGGCTGAGTGGCCCAGTCAGCACCGTCGTCACTGCTCCAGTGCTGAGCAGCTCTGCCCAGGACACCGCGACGGCCTGTCCGCCCATCTCCCACCAGGCACGACGTGGGCAGGCAGCAGACACCGGGCCTGGGCGCAGGAGAGGTGGCTCGAGGACCCAGAAGCGTCCCCCGCATGGCGAGGCGACCAGGGGGGCAGGGGCCTGGGCATCGTCCTGCGTCCGAGGGCAGAGATGGCCAGGCCACGCGTCAGGCAGGTGTTACTTGGGACCAGTTACAGGTAACGCATCAAGTGAAACGTTAACTGTTAATTTTTAATAGAAAAGTGCAATAAACGCTGCTCCGCTGAAATGCCAGCAGTGGCTCCGGAGGCACAGACGTGGGCACAGCCTCCTCGCCCCGGCAGGTTCCAGCTGCCCACCGTCCTGAGAGTAGAGCGGAGGGCAGCGGGCAGGGCGGACGCCCAGGCAGGGCGGTGAGCTCCTGCGCTGCTGCGCGGGCTGGGCGGCACCTGCCTGCCCGAGGGCCCCGCTGTGTAGACACAGCCAGACGCCTGGACTCACACAGGCAGCAGGGGCACCTGCCAGACCATGAGAGAGGAGGCCAGGTCCTCGGGGCGCGGTGGTGTTCGTGGCCTCCTGCTCACCCGCCGGTGGCCCTGGCCCCACAGGCCACCAGCACCGACCCGGCCCGTGGCCTCCGGGCCCGCCGCCCACCACCGGGTGCCAGAGGGGGCGGCCGCAGCAGGTCACAGAGGCCACTGTCCTCTGCGTGGGGCGCCAGGGACCCCGAGGAGGATGAGGCATCACTGCGGTCAGCCCTGGAGCCCAGCGAGCCCCCCAGCCAGATGGGTGTGCTGGGGGTGCCCTCGGGCTGCGCCAGGTCCTGCGGCTCCTCGGATGCTGGGCTGTCCTGGGGCTGGTCCGCGTCTATCATGGGGGCAGCAGTGGCCAGGACCAGGAACTTGACGGGCCCGCTGTGCGCGTGGTAGGAGACCAGGCCTCTCCCTGCAAGGGAACCGACAGGGCTGTGAGGCAGGCGCCAGGGCGGGCCAGTGCTGCCCATGCCTGGGCCGCCGGTGGGTCGGCAGGATGGGTCAGCCGAAAGGCATCCAAGATACCCGAGCACGGCACAGCCCACCTGCCATCTCACCCTCGTGTTCCCAGGAGCTGGCACTGCTCTCTGCCGCCCACCACCTGCAAGAGCTGGGGAAAGCCCGGCTGCTGACCAGGCCCCAGCCGTGCAGTGCCTCGGGCTCGCAACACAAGGCTGCTGTGGCCGGAACAGCGGGTTCTGTGCCTTCCCCTCAGGTGGGGCAACGTGATGCGAACTCTAAGACCTCACCCACCCATGGGCAGGGCTGGAGTCCACACTGTGGGGAGAGGGCGGTGGTGCACAGAGGCCCTGCACAGGCCACTCACCGGTCACTTTGGGAATCCCCTGCAGGCGCGGGACAGGCAGGGCCACCACGACACCCAGGCTGGTGCCAACCATCAGCAGGCCATGGCAAAGGAGCAGGCAGGTCACGGAGAGCCGCTGCTGCCCTGCACAGAGGACGGACAGAGAAGTAGTCCGCACCCCGTGGGGACTGGGGACCTGGCGCCTGGGGCTCTGGGCGCCGGTCACTGGTCACTGGGTTGCCACCAGTGGACAGGGAAGAACAAGGCCTAGAGTGGCCTGTGCAGCAGCCATGAGGCCGCTGCAGGGGCACTGACCGCTCTGCACTGCCCACTGCCCCAGGGCCCACGATAGCCCCATGCTGTGAGGAAGCCATTTCCTTCCAGCCAGGCCCACACCAGGCCCGCGGGCCTGGGCCTTGGGGCTGCACCAGGTGCCCTGGGCTTGCTGAAGCAAGGAGACACCTGTTCCCTCCCAGGCGCTCAGGGGAAAGGGGGCGTGAGATCATAGACAGCGACAGAAGCAGGTGGACACTGCCCATGAGCAAAGGGCCCTAAGCCGCCTGGTGGGCCAGTGGCCACAGCACAGCCTCAGCCTGCGGGAGCGGGGGCAGCGCCCCCAGCCACCACCCAGGCGAAGGGAAGGCTACTTGGCCAGTACGTCCAGTCTGGACTGGACGGATCTTCCCTTTTAAAATGCAAAAGCCGAGCCAGCCAAGACGCCCCTGCAGCCACACCTGCTCGGGGTGACGACAGCCACAGCCGCACCCCACTCTACCTGACGCAAGGAAAGGCCAGCCGCCTCCGGGGAGTGCGGGAACGCCCTGAAAGCTCTGGGCTTTGGAGATGGTGTTTCAGGTGGGGAGTGGGGCGGGGTGGGTTGCGGGGGAGTGCAGGGCGGGGCAGGATGGGGGGGCGGGGCTCAGCCCCTCGTCCTTGGGGGCCCCACCTGGCGCCCCCGCCCCAGGCAGCAGGCTGTGCACAGGCGTGGCGATGTTGATGTCCTGCAGGTGCCGGAGGGTCTCGGTGTGGAAGAGGCGCAGCGTGGAGCCGGTGGTGAAGGCGATCCAGACGCCCACGCCTGCGACGGCCATGTGGGCAACCACCATGCCCTCCTCCTGGTGGGCGTCCAGCTGGCTCTGGAAAGCGGGTGGGTGAGGGGCCGCCCACCCAGCAAGGCCCTGCCCAGGGTCCTAGGCCTCTCCGTGACCCTCGCAGACCTGGGCTGGCCAGACTGCCCTCTGACCAGGCCGCCCGTGGGCCGGACACGGCACAGCGCAAGGCCTCATTCCCATGCCAGCTGGGCAGCTGTGGCCAGATGCAGATGGTGGGACCTGGAGCAGGGCACCCCACAGAGGGACCCCAGCCCGGAGAGAGAGTGGCCAACCCCGCTGCCTCCAGCAGACCCCCCAGCCCCAGCAGCAGATGTGTGAAGCAACCAGGCCCAGGGTGGCCCGCCTGCCCCTCGGAGCCCGCTGCATCCCCATGGGCGACCCGGAAGGAGGAACAGGGTCCGGGGTGGCCACCCCGCAAAGTGCTGCAGGCATGCAGGGAGACGAAGGCCAGCCAGGCCACCAGCACTTGCCACCCAGGGTGCCCCCAAACCAAGCTGACATCACTTATAGCTCCTCAGGGAAGGGGGGGGGCGTCCTGAGGGCAGGGTCCCGGCACCAGCGGCCGCACTCCCCACCCAGGCCGGCCCATGCTGCCTGGGGACACGTCCACCTCCAGCGAGGGCGTGGGAGGGGCCACCGTGGCCTCGCACCTGCCAGGCTGAGGGTAGCACCAGCAGGGCAGGGTCTGGGGCCAAGCCTAGTCCAGAGCAGCCCGCCCTGCAGCCAGCCAGGGGCCTCCTAGATGCCAGGTGACTCCACAGTGCGCCTTCGGCCTGAGCCAAGGGCTCCTCTCTGACAGGCCCCGGTGCCGGCGTGGTTTCAGGTGCCCACCGAGCCGGCACCTCACTGCCATCCCCCGCCAGCCATTGACAGGGCTGCTGGTTGCCCAAGGCCCCCCATCCCGACACCACTGCGCTCCCCTCAGCTTGGTGACCGCCAGCGCCTGAGGCCTTGACAGGCCAGGCCACTGCTCACAGGCGAAGTGCTTGGGAGTACACGGGGCCCAGCCCTCAGGACAGCTGCACCCCAGCACACCCCACGCCCGCCCCCGCCGGCCCCACCTACAGGCAGGGGAGTGAGCCCAGCAGGACCGCTGCCCTGAGACCAGGTGGGCAGCGAGGGGGCTGCGCCCGGAGCTGGCCTCATTTCATTTCCCACCTCCTCCCCGAAGTCCGTTTCCACGGTCGTGGTCAGCCGTGCCCTGGGCTGAGACGCTGGCCCCTGCAGCTCCCCGGCGATGGACGGCAAGAAACGACCGCACAGGCAACGCAGCCTCATCTCCATGAAGGAGTCTCTCCTGATCCCTGCGGCTTGAGATGCGCCGCCGTCGCTGAGGCCCGAGTCGCCTGTGTCCGCCAGGTGCCTTGGGCTGCCCTCTATGGACGAGGCCTCCGCTCGGCCCGGGGACCCGCCTGATCGCTGAGCTGCTTTGGCTGAGACTGTCACGTGAGGCTGAACCTGTTTCAGTTCCTTCTGTCCGGAGGTGTGAACGCCCCGCTGCCCAGCACCCCTGTTCAGGCTCCCGCCCTCTCCACGGTGGGCTGGGCACCCCGTGAGAGTCAGAGCCCTGTGCCCACCACTCTCCTCTGCACTCCTCCGCTGCCTGTCCTCACCTGCCCTTGCCGGCCCGTGCGCCGCGGCGGGAGCGGGCGTCGAGATGGGGGTCTCCCGAGGGCCGTGTCTAGGTTGTCTTGGCTGTTGTAGGTCCCTTCAATTCCCATGCGGCCTTTGGGACGCACCAGAGACTGTGCCAGGCCACAGCTCCACCCTACAGAGAAGGTCCCTGCGGGCCGCCGGGCAGCCCTGGGCCCCTGCACATGCACTCCCCCTTCTGTCCCTCCTGAGGCCCCTGTGAGGACCCCTGTCTTCACCTCAAATGAGGTCGCTCAGGCTAGCGCACAGGCAGAGGCCAGCCCTGGCCTTGTGGCCCGGTCCCCAGCGCTGCCGTGCCTGAGGGCGTCCTGGACACGAGGCCGTGGACATGCAAATAGGCCTCGGAGCTTCTTCCTCCCCAACCAGATTCATCCCCTTTCTCCTTGTCTCTCAAGGAGAGACACCTGCTTGCCTCATCCTCTGCTCAGAGGTCCAGAATTCCTGCCAAGCAGCAGCGGCCCGGGGACGCTGGTGCCAGCAGGCACCGGGCACCAGGGGCCGCAGACTCGTTCAGTCAAGGGTCCTGTGCTCCTGGCTGTGTGCCCCTGGATGCCCCGTGTGCGCGTGAACGCTGCCTGCCTGCACTGGCTCGTGTGCCTCGCGTGTGCCTGCGCTCGGTGGCGCCCTGGGCGGCCCAGGAGAGGCCTTCCCAAGCCCTTTGGACTTTCTCCGTGAGGCTGATTTTTTTTTTCTTAAAACTCAGTACAAATTCCCTTTATGTTAGAAACGTTAATTCTTGGTCACAGATGCAGCGAATACTTTCCCAATTTTTCATTTTAAAAATCTGAACACAGCTTCTAGGTCTGGATGGCTCGGGAGGCCTCTCCACATGGTCCCCTGCCTGGGCACTGCCTGGGCAGCCCGGGGTCAGCTCCGCTACCGTCACTGCCCGCCCGGGACGGCCAGGAGGTGAAGGGCCAGGGCTGTGCTGGCTCTAGGCACCGCCCTGCGTGACTGCTCTGGGTCCCTGGTCCAGTGCACCTTCACAACGACTGTCGGGGCCAGTTAGCAGGTGGACGGTGTAAGTGGCTACGGGGAACTTACACATCCCAGCCAGTGTGTGTCTCTGAGTCAAACCCGGGAGGACGGTCCCTCAGCACAGGCCAGCGGGGGCTCACCTGCACGGCGTGGGTGTCGGCGCTGATCACAGACACCTGGCCCCCTGAGGCAGCCCACAGCATGTCCTCCGCCACCAGCAGGCCTCGGACCGGCAGCACGCCCAGCTTGACCACCTTCTGAGGCTCTGAGGCCCAGGACCCATCTGGAGAGAAAGTACTTCTTTCAAGGAAAACCTCACAGGGTCAGAGCAGCACCTGCAGGCATGGAGACCGCCAGGCCCCCTGCCGCGCTCCTGCTCCAGATGGAGTGAGCAGCACTGGGGGACGGCTGGCAGGCGGGCGGCGGGGGACCCTCACCTTCTGCTTTGGCATAGACCGCAACCGTGCCGTCCACCAGGCCTGCGTATAGCCGCTGCGGGGTGCCTGCCAGGCTCAGGACCGAGGCCTTGTCCGGGGTGAAGAAGTGCTGCAGCCTCACCTTCTTGGCACCTTGGCTGCTCTTGTAGACAGAGATGCTTCCAAGCAAGAAGGAGCATGAGCACACACTTGGCCCTGGCGCTCCAGGCCCCGCCCCTGGCCGCAGCCCCGCCCCACCCCCTCAGCTCCTGCGGGGACTGAGATGACATCACCCGTGATCGATCACCTTCTTTAATTTGCTTTCTCTTTGTCACCAAGAATGCCTTGTATTTTAAAGAATTTTATTTAGAGCTGGTCATTTAAGTAAACTTATTTTGAAATAAATCAATTCTGAGTCATAAAAAATTCAACTCTGCCTGTAGACACCGTACCCCGAGAGGAGCCGGACAAGGCCCTCTGACCCATGGCTGGCACATGATGCCCAGAGCAAGCTCCACCGTGACCAGCGGGCCAGGAGGGCCCCTGTGATCTGGGCTGGACTGCAGGCCCCGGGGCCGGCTCCCTCACTCCTCGCGCCCACCCGCGGGTGCGCCTGGGCGGGGGCACCTACCTGCCCTCCTCAGTGCCCAGGCAGATGGTGGGCACAGCGGAGGCCCTGGCGGCGGGGCCCTCAGGGTGGGCGCGAAGCGCGCCCCTGGGCGGGATGTAGGCCATGCACAGGACCCGGGACTCCACGTTGAAGCACTCGATGACCTTGGGGCTGGTGTCCTGGAAGGACACGATGGCAATCTGCCCCATCTGGCTGGCGCAGCTCCCGATCTGGGGGGCAGAGGGCAGGAGTCAGCGTGGATGCCTGACGGTCAGGCCGCAGGTGCCAGCCTGGCCCTGCCCACCCCGGTGACGCCCTGTTCCGACAACAGCCCCCACTCGCAGACATCTCGCGGCGGCTCTGGCCCTCAGCAGCCACCTAACGCGGGCAGAACCGCCGGAGCGGGGGCAGCGTGGGTGGGCAGTGGCCCAACCGGGATGACCCCGCGCTGGCCAGCCACTACGAGACCCTGCTGCTCACTCAGCCTCACACAGCCACATCCTGGCTGAGTCGGCTGTTCCCGAGCAGGAATGAGGCAGGACGAGCGGCAGAGGCCTCCTGAGGGAGGAGCCTGCCCCCGCCGCACGCTGACGCCCAGGCTCCCCGCTGCAGCCCTTCCAAGACACAAGCAAGCGCGCCTTGCGCTCCCGGGCGAGGACAGCAGCCGGCCCGCCCGTCACAGGAGGAGTGGGGGCGCCGGGCCGGCCCACGGGGAGGTTGTCTTCAGCGCGCCCATCAGCACCGAGCGCCGGCGGGGAGCGAGCCACTCCCCGCGCGCAACTCGGCAACAGGCTGCGGGGTCTGGAGCAGCCCGGGGGCCGGGCCCGAGGCGGGCAGGGGTGGCGAGGGGCCCGCGAGCGAGTCCCGGGTCTGCACCGGCCACACGCGCCGCTGAGGCCGCGGCCGCCGTCCCGGCGCCTCCCGCGGGACGATGAACCCCGACAGCCGGGCGGACTCGGCCCCCCGCGAGCACGTGGGCGGGCCAGAGAGATGCCGCTTCACCCCACGGATGGAACCCTGAGGCTGAGCTACTTTCAGCCTGAATTTAATCTGGAAAACTGGGGTAGGAGTGACATGGTTTAATACGCGAGTTCGTGGATCCGGCCCAGCACCATCAGGCACCGCATCCTGTCCGCGCACGCGCAGGACGGCAGGGGCCGCGCTCTCGGCCAGCCCCGCCCCGCCCCTCCCGGCCCCGCCCACGCCCGCCCGGCCCCGCCCCGGCCCCGCCCCGGCCCCGCCACCGCCCCGCCCGCCAGGCCCCGCCCCGCCCCCCCACGCCCCGCCAGCCCCGCCCCGGCCCCGCCCCGGCCCCGCCCCCCCCCGGCCCCGCCCCGCCCGCCCGCCCGCCGGCCGCTCACCCACAGGAAGCCGCGCGCGCCGCCGCCGGGGCCCGCGTCCGGGAGCCCCTCGCCCAGCGCGGGCTCGGGGTTGTAGGCCGCGCACTCGATCTGCAGCGGACAAAGCCAGCGCCGCGGTTAGCCGGAGGCCGGGGCGCCGCGAGCTTCCCGGGCCAGCGCGCGCTCCCGCCCCGGGCTCCGGCCTGGGCAGCCGCGGGCAGGACGGGTCAGCCGGGCCCGAGGAGCCCGGGTACCGCTGCCCCAGGGCGCTCCTGGGCGGGCCTGCAGGGCAGCAGGCGGCGTGGACCAGCCCCGGGGGCACCACAGCACCCGGCCGCAGGGCGGCCGCGAGGGCGCTGGTCGCGTCCACTCAGCAGGCGCGGCCCAGTCATGGGCAGCCCGGGCAGGGGCGGCAGGACCGGGAGCCCGCCCCGGGGGGGGGGGAGGCGGAGGCTGCTCCGGGCGGGCAGGCGGGAGCAGGGGTGGGGGGGCCCTAGCAAGCAGCTGCCGCCCCGGGACGCTCCTCACCTTGAACTCCTGCTGCTTGGCCACGGCCACCGGCACGCGGCCCACCAGGAGCGGGTGCCTTTCCTTCGGGATCTGGTTGCCCTCGTCCTCCACGCAGAACCAGCCCATGTGGTTGTCCTCCTCTGCGGACACCCTGCGAGTGAGCAGGCCGGGCCGCCTGCCCAGCCCCTGCCAGGCCTCCCTGCACGCCCGCTCCCCTCTCCAGACTCCCGCCTCTGTGCCCAGCCACGGAGGGCCCACTCCTGAGCGTGCCCGGATGCCGGAGGCCAGGCCTTGCTGCAGGGGCAGGGCTCCCCACGGAGCTGCCTGGGTCGAGCCCGCAGCAGCAGCAGCCCTTGCCGAGAGCGGCCGCCCGTCGTGTGGGGCTGGGGCCTTGACTGGCTCCCCCAGGAGATCCCGGGGAGCAGGGAGCTGCCTCTGCCCCACCCCGACAGGACTAGGGCACTGCTAAGGGAGCAGCCCCGCCAGCACATGCAGAGTGTGTGAGCAAGGGCCCCACACGCGTGCCCCCGCCCCATGCACACCCACACGCGTGCATGCCCACACCCACACACCCTCCCATGTCACCACGGTAGGCCACGCACACGTGACCACGTTACATGGGAACCTGTACCCTCATGGCCACCAGCCCCCCACTCCCGACCTACACCCACGTGGCTGCCGGCTTGCCAGCTCCCCCTTGTGCACAAGCAGGCCGGACGGGCAGGGCGCCCAGGTCACAGCTGCGCCTCTGCCCCCGACTCTGCGGATCTCTGGGGCCCCGGAACCACCCGGCTGTCATCCCACAGTAGTGGGGTCGGGGCAGCCGCATGGGCCCGCAGGTGCAGCCCCAGCCTCGGCGACAGGCAGCTCCCTTGCAGGCCCAGATGCGCCCCAGTGACAACTGCACCTCCTCACGCTCGCCCCACATGGAGATGAGCCCCCACAGGGCAGCCGACCAGGCCCGCCCGGGCCACCTCGCCCACAAGGGCCAGTGTGGCTTCTCACCCAGGCCCAGCTTGGCCATGTGCAGGTCGTGGACCCAGGACTCCTTGATGGCCGGGGTGGACGTGCTGAACACGGCGGTGAAGAAGGTCGGCCGCCCCGACCTGCAGGGAGCAGAGGGCATGGTTCACCCTGCAGCCACCCCGGTGGGAGGCAGCACCACCCGCGGCCTCCCCCACGCACCTGTCCTGCTTGCCCGGGAGCTGCAGCTGGATGCGGCAGCAGTCAGCTGCACGGATATCTTCCTCCTTCTGCAGGATGAGCCTCTGCAGGCCTGATGCCCAGTCCTGTGCCACCGACGGGTTCAGGTTCTGCCGGGAAACATGGTGGCCGCGGGCCAGTCAGGCAGGACCACAGGGGTGGGAGGCCATGTCCCTGGGTGGTGAGGGTGGGGGACACAGCGCTCAGTGGCCAGGCCAAGCCAGGACACCACAAGCGCCAGACTGGACACGGGTGTGAGAAGAACGGAGGGATGCAGCGCAGGAGGCCCGGCCGCCCAGGAGCCAGACCCGCCCTGAGGGAGGGGGCGCAGTGGGGCCTGAGGGTACACACACGCACACACGCAGTCACGCACACACTCCGCGGCGGGCTTGCTCACCTGGTAGTCACCCCGGAGGGTCCCGACCAGCTGGGCAACACGCCCAACCACTCCCAGATCATGCAGCAGGTCCTGCAGGTCCCGGTGCAGCCGGTCTGGGCCCAGATACATGCCACCTGCAGGGGCACCGAGCATGAGAGTCCCCCACGGCGGGCTGGCGGGGGGTCAGTGGCTGGCCGAGTCTGGACGCCCGCCACGGGCGGGTTGTCAGCACTTTCGTGTCCTGTGTGCTCCCCTGAGTCACACTCGGGACACACAGCCCTCACGCTGCCCACCAGACCTGGCCACGTGTGCCCTCACACACCACCCGCCTGCCGTAGCCTCGCCAGCCTCCCCTGGCCCTGCTCACGGGCCACGGGGGGGGGGGGCATGGGGTGGGCCAGGGGACATGGGGGCGCAGGCAAGGGCTACGTCCTCAGGCTGGCTGTACCTACAGGCCGTCCACCACGCACAGAGAGGGGCCCTGGCGATGCCCCTCCCCCACAACTTCCTCTGTGCCAGGAGTCCCAGCTCCCTGACTGGGGGACCCTGCTCTCTCCGGGACCAGGGAGAGCTGCAAAGACCCGGAGTCCTCCTGGCAGCGGGCGGTGTCCCTGGGCCCGCACAGCACTGGGGCAGGTGCCAGGCTGGCGCAGGCCGAGGGAAGGAGCTCTCAAGACGCCCAAGTGGAATGCTAACAAGCCACATCAATTTGAAAACAACCCCCTGTGTCCCTCTGGGACAGCTGAGGGGCCTGCAGGTCACCCGGAGTCCAGTATAGAGTGGGCGATTCCCATCGGGACAGGCGCAGAACTGCTGAGCAGCAGAGCAGATGGGCTCCAAGCGCACGGGAGCACCAGGCGGCTCTGGAGGCTCGCGGCCGTCAGACCGGACAGTGAAGCTGCCCCTTGGGGCACCCTCAGAGCCCTCGCCCTTGTCCTTGATGCCGTGACTTAGAGACAATGTCGCTGACGCTAGACGCAGGCTCGCCTGAAACACGGCTGCTGGGACTTGCGCCCCAAGCCTCCCCACACGTCGGCGGCGCCCGGAGAATGGGCAGCCCAGCCAGGATCCACGCAGAACTTCACGGCGGCCACGGTGTGAGCCCCACAGTGGAGCCCCGGCTCCTCGTGATGTCCACCACAGGCACCCCTCCCCGCAGACACAAGACACTGGAGCAGCAGCTCAGCCCTCCAGCAGGTCGCAGAGCTGAGCCTGCAGGTCAGGGGACAAGCGCAGGACAGGGCGCCCCGCCCTTGCTGCCAGCCCCGAACCCATCCCAAAGACAGCCACGTGGGGGGCCAGCACCCCGGGGCACGCAGCAGCCAGCACCGCCTGTCCCCCAGCATGTCGTCCACCGCCACCCTCCCCAGGACGCCAGCCATGCCGCCCACGTGCCCAGCACCGGACAGGGCCACTTACTAGACTTGCCATTGGCACATGTGGCCAGGCTCTCTGGAGGGGGCCCTGGGGGGCATCGGCCACCCTCTGCCCCGCTGCTGCCGTACTCAATCACGTCCACGGGTCCAAGTGGGACGCTCCACTTTAACAGGTACCGCTGGCTAGGGGTCACCCCGGTGCTGCTGTCGTGGGGGGCACTGAAACAGAGGGCAGGTAGGGCAGAGGCCAGGGGTGCCCACCCAGCCTGTTGGCTCCCTGGCCTGAGTGAGAGACAGAGGTCCCCCAGGTGGCGGGGCCCCGGGGGCGGGCAGCTTTGCCCGCAGACTTGGGTGGCCAGGGCTCCCTCAGCTCTGGCCACAGTGTAGCCGCCTCAGGGGTTGAGAGCACCCCGTGGGGTTGCCCCAGTCACCGGGAAGCTCGGGGCAACGTGCCCTATGACAGCAGTGCCAGCCCGCCCACTGGCGACAGTCAGGCTGCTCGTCCTCAAGAGGCTCGGGGAGCCCCCGGGACTGGGGCTGCAGCCCCTTCAGCCTCTAGTCCACGCCCAGGTCAGCACTGGGGGTGGGGATGGCCCAGGCTGGGGGCGTCCGGAGGAAAGAAAACGCTCCTGTTACCCCACAGGGGCTGGGGTGAGACGTCCCCAGGGCCCGGGGCTATTCTCACGTGTCATCAGCCCACCCCGTGTCCTGGGGTCCCCTGGAAACAGGCCAGAGTGTGGGGCGCCCAGTTAGCCCAGAGATAACTTTCATTCAAGTCGGCAAAGGGTCGCATCCACCCGCTTGAGAGCCGCCCCCGAGCGCTCTCGGGAGCAGGTGTGCGGGCGCCTGTGCCCGGCTGCCCAGGGGGCGGGGAGGCCGTGGCCACAGCAAGCCCGGCCCTAGGCAGGGCAGCGCCCCGTACAGAGGGGTCAGGGCCTGGCTGCCACCGGGGAGGCCCAGGTGCGGGAGCCCCGGGCCCAGGCCTGGCTGGCGTCCTCGCGGTCGCCGTATCTCCGCTGGCCCCGCTTTACGGACGGGCCCAAGGCCGGCAGGGACAGGCCCACGAGCCGCCGGGGTGCGGGGCTGCGCCCCCGGCTCTGCACCCGGGGGAGACCGGTGCACGGGTCTCCGGCGGGCCGCCTCGGCCGCCAGCCCCGAGCCGGGAGGGCTCACCGCCGCCTGGGGAGTCCGGGAGGTGGTGCCCGGGGTGCCCGGCCCTCCCGAGAACGCCGCCTGGCACGCGGGGCTCTGCGGGCGCGAAACAGCGCGGACAGCCCGCGGGCGGCCTGGGGGGCTGCGGGGCCGGCTCGCGGCCCCACCGCGCGGGAGCCCCGGGGAGCCCGGCGCCACCCGGGGGCCCGACCCGGCTGGGCCGCCAGCGCGGCCTCGGCCTCTCACGGGGGCGCGCGCGAAGCCGGCGGGGCGGGGCGGGGCGGGAGCTGCGGGCGGGCGGGGCGGGGCGGGGCGGGGAGGCCGGGGCGGGGCGGGGCGCGCGGGGCGGGGCGGGGCGGGAGCTGCGGGAGGCCGGGGCGGGGCGCGCGGGGCGGGGCGGGCCGGGGCGGGAGCTGCGGGAGGGCGGGGCGCGCGGGGCGGGGCGGCCGGGGCGTGGCGGGGCGGGGCGGGAGCTGCGGGAGGCCGGGGCGGGGCGGGGCGCGCGGGGCGGGGCGCGGCGGGGCGGGAGCTGCGGGCGGGCCCGGAGGCGCGGGCGGGGCGCGCGGGCCGTACCGCGGGCTGACGGTGGCGCAGAGCAGCATGTCGCTGAGCAGGAAGAGCCGGCGCTCCTTGGTCTTGGCCACCTCCCCGCGGTCGCCGAACGCGGTCTCCAGCACGTCGTCGCAGCGCACCAGGCGGCGGTCCCCGCGGCTCAGCACCTGCGGGCCACGGAGGCTGGACGCGTCCGGCGGCGCCCCCGGGAGGGCGGGGGGCGGCAGGGGCGGGGCCGCCGGCCTCGGGGCGCTCCTGGCGCGTCTCCCCGCCCTGGCGCCGCGTGGGGGGCGCCCAGACGGCGCGGGGCCGGCACCGGGCAGGCCCGGCAGAAGCGCCGCGTCCTTTCCAAGGTCACCTCCCGGCCCCGCCCCAGCAGCCCTGCGGGAGCGAGGGGCTCTGCGCACCGGGGGCTCAGGGACCAGCGCCCACCTCCTTGGCCCCGCGGCCCGACCCTGCTGTACCCGGCGGCCTAAATGCGCCAAGTCCCGCAGCCACCCCGGGGCGGCACCAGCAGACGGCGGGCGGGTGTCACCCGCGACCGCTCAGCTCTCCTGAGAACAGCCTCAAAGACACAGGGCAGCCCCGGGCACCGGCGGCTGCGGGAACCCCTGCACAGGCAGCCGCACCCCAAGGGTGGGCGCAGCAAGCCCAGACCTGGACGCCGGCAAGAACAGCCCGAGGCTCCTGCTGCCACAGCGAGAGGGGCGGGGGCGCTGCCTTCTGACAGCGAAATCAAGCCGCGGGTCGCCCTGACCTTCCGGGGAGCCCTGCGCACACGTGGGGTGGCGAGGTCCGACCCACCAGCAGAGGCGGCTCACCAGTGCGGCCCGGGGCCCGGCATCAGGCGGGCGGCCCCGGCGAGGGGCTTTCTACGGAGCAGGGAGACACACAGAGGGCCAGCCAGACAGCGCCAGCACCCCAAAACCTGACTGCAGGGCTGGGGCTCCCAAAGGGCTGGGGAGCAGGGAGATGGGCAGTGCGGAGGATGATGTGGCCTTGGTGGGGCGCTGACGTGCCTCTCAAGGGTGTGCACCGCGCCCCTAAACCATAAATGGGGCCATCAAACGTTGCCTCATTCAAACGACAAAAATAATAAAATGCCGTAAGCCGGGGGATACCACTGTCTCCGGACATTGGGGGCAGGCGGGGCTGCGGCCGCCCACCTTGTTCAGGTAGCGCTCGTTGATGGCCTTGGCCAGGTGCCTGATCTCGCAGAGCTGGTCCGCCTCCCTCTTCCTCTCGTTGAGCTTCTCGGCCAGCGTGCCCAGCTCCGTCAGCGCCATCTGCAGGGGCAGCCTGTCGGGGTGGCCCCGGGGCGTGTGCTTCAGCATGTCCTTTCAGAGAGACGGGGAGTGGGCGGCGCGTGGGGCTGGAGCCCCAAAGCAGGTGCGTCAGTGACCGTGGACCCTTCCCAGGCCCCAGGGTGCTGCGCAGCCCCAGGCGGGAACCGTGGCAGGCACGCCGGGCCCCGCGCCACTCGGCTGCTCCCTTTGCAAAGTCAAGCCCCAGTATTCCCCGGCCTCGCTGTGGGAAGCACACCTTCCTAGGGAAGCCGGAGCCCCCAGAGCGCCTGCCCCCTACACCATGGTGACAGCGATCATCACCCCGGCAAGGGAGGCGCCCACCTCTGAGGGGTGGGCGAGGGCAAAGGGACCTCCAAGGGGCTCCTGCAGCGCCCCCTCTGCCCACTGCAGAGCCATGGCCTCCACCACAGGCTGGAAGGCCAGAAAGGTACTCCTGCAAGTTGCTGGGCCTGAGGATGGGCTGCAGACCCCCAACTTCGCAGCCGAGTTCCACAGAAGCATGGGTGTCGGGGCCCCCAAGCCTGACTGGTGTCCAAGGTGGGGCCACCTGTGCCCTGTGGGCCCAAGCCTGAACCGCAGGTGAGGTCAGAGTCAACCGGACGGTGGGACAGCCGGCAGACCCCCGGGGCTGACCTGCAGCAACAGGATGAACTGCGGGAACCGCTGGATGGGCTTGGTCATCAGGCTGTAGAGCGTGGTCCGGTCAGGACTGGCCTCCTGGCACTGCTGAGAGAAGGTTCCAGACTACTGCACCACAGACGCCACACGGAGGGAGGAAGGAGCCCCTGCCCCAGCCCCTCACTGCTTGCCCGCCAGGTACACCGTCCCTCCTGAGTCAGTATCTCCTATTTGTGATCCCCGCTTCACAGAGACACTGCCCAGCTGTGTCCACTTAGGGGTCAGCGTCACCCTCTGGGGCCAGGGTGCTGAGACCTCTCCATGGAGCAGGTGCAGGTGCCAAACCCACTCAGCCCCAGGCTGGGCCCACCCCCACCAGCCGCACCCCACGGGCCAGCCAGGGAGCGGGGGCACTGGTGGGTCCAGCATGCCTTGGTGTCTCCTGCAGAGGCTTGGGCAGAAGGCAGGGGGCCCCTGAGCAGCCAGGTCACCCCGAGGGGCCAGTGTCCAGCTCTGGCCAGATGAGGGAGGTGACAGGCTCTCTTTCCGGCTGCCTGGCTGGACTGAGGATGGGCTCAGGCGGGCGGCCCTGTCTCCCAGGACCACCAGCAGCAATGGGACCCTCCTCCAGAGGGGAACTGACCACAACTCGGGCCCCTCCCCCAGAGCCCCCGCCTGCCCTCTCCAAACGGATGCCAAGTCCCCCGCCACCCTGGGCAGCAGGAACCGGTCTCACAAGGGAGGGGCAAGTGGGGAGGACCCCCGCGGATCACGCTGTGCCCCGAGAACATGTCCCGGCTCTTCACAAGCAGAAGCTGCAGTGACAGGGGCCAGCGGGAGCCTCCCACAACGTTCCACGGTCAGTCTATCAGAGGTTTCAGTGTGGCTGCCGTGTGGCCAGCTCTCCTGCCCACTCACAGCAGCGCCAGACCCTGCCCCCAGCTGACCATTCCCAGGCCCCGGAGCGGCCACCCCCATCGACCCCTGCAGTCAGTGTCCCTCCCAACCGCTGCCCTGCAGTGCCCAGCCAGCAGGGCCGCAGCCCACGGGGCAGAGGGGCAATGGCAAGATCCACCGCTGAGCTTTGCGGCAGGTCACCAGTGAGCGGGCGGCGGGCGCGTGCTCACCTTCAGGAACTCCAGGAAGGCGGGCTTGGCCACGCAGGCGCGCTTGAGGACAGTCACTGCCGAGCCGAAGTTGTTGACGTACTCGCTGTAGGCGTCCAGCACCATGGACTTGGAGAACTGCGAGGCGGGCGGCGTGAGCACGCTCCCCGCTGCCCCACGCGGCTGCCTGGCTCAGCACACGCCTCACGGGGAGGGGCCGCTGCTTCCTCTTCAAGGAAACCATTAGGGACCGGGAGGGCCGGCTGGCCCACTGGGCCCGTCCTGCTCGGCCAGCGCTGGCTCGTCCCCAGGGAGACACAAGCTGACCTCACAGGCATCGGCCCCAAGGGCCGGCGCTGGGGCGGCCTCCAGGCCACGGCCACGCACCCGCTTCCTCCGGACCCCTGTGCACGGTGGGTGGCCAAGGGCGCCCCGGGAGCCCCCGTGTCCTTGAGATGACTTCAAGAGGCGGGAGCGCCCGCCAGCCGCGGCTCTCAGCAGCGGAGCCCTCTGTCCCCACCCCAGACACGGGCGCCCTAGTGCACAGTTCTCCACACACCGAGCTCCTGCCTAAGAAACGTCCCCAGGTTAAGCGCTTCACTGAGAAGGCGACGCCGGGGTCAAGTCCACACGTAGTCGGGGAGTGGAGCAGAAAGGGGAGTGTGGCCCCGGAAGGGGCCCCACAGCGTCCCAGCGAGAGGCCCACGTCGCGCTCCCCACCCTCAGCCACAAGAGGGTCATGCGGGGAGGAGTGGACCCCATGGCAGAGGCCGGCGCGGTCTGTCCTGCCTCCCAGCCGGCCGGCAAAGTGGGGGCCGCAGCAGTCTCCAGGACTCTGGCCGTGGCGGACAGACCAGATGCCGTGTGCGGGGCCGGCACTGCCCGCCCCCAGGGCCACACCAGAGCTCCTACGGCCACCTAGGGTGCACCCAAGGGACCTGCGGGGACACCTGTCCCTCCCGAAGCCGGGACGCCCAGGCGGGGGGCAGCCCCCCGACACCGGTCCAGGCGCGGCCCTGTGCTCATTACCGAAGCCACGAAGACGTCGCCGATCGTCTCCACGGAGTCCCACTCGGCCACGCGGCTGGCCAGCGCCATCTGGAACAGGCGGTGGCACTGCAGCACCTCCCGGACCCGGTGGAACACGGTCCGCAGCTTCCGCTCGCTCAGCAGCTTGGGCTCCATCTCGGACAGTGGCCGCTCGTACTGCTGCGGGGGCAGGCGGTGAGCGCGGGGCGCGGCCTGGCCAGACACACCCAGGCCCGGGTGCCCGGCTCCTCCCCGCCCAGCAACCAGGGCAGGGCAGGCGGGCAACAGCCAGGTGGCAGCAGCCAGGCACCTCCAGGATCCGCTGCAGGGCGTCCACGTAGCTCCTCTCACTGTCCACCACCGAGGCCAGGATGCACCTCCGCACCACCTACAGGCAGCGGCTGTCAGGCAGGCCCCGAGCTGGGGTTGCCGCCAGAGCCCTATGGGTGCCGCCTGCCCCAAGGTGGCCGGTGCAGGACCCTCGGGGTCTCTGGACCGTCCGCACAGGCACGTCAGCCCAGCTGCACGACAGCCAGACCCGTGCTCCCGCAGCCCACGCCGGGCGGCCGGCCCCAACCACGAGCGGGAGGACACACTGGCTCTTGAGACCACGGCACAAGCGCGTCCTCGCTCCAAAGGCAGACGGCTGCCTGCCTGGGCCCACTGCAAGCCCCTGGCGCTTTCTCCCCGTCGCCCCGGGCACGAGGTGGCCAAAGCCCAGCACCACCACCTGATGGACACGTGGACAGGATGCCAGGGGCAGGCCCGAGACTAAGGGTCTTCCCTTCCCGACAGGCCGCCCCGCCCTGTCCGCTCTTTACAAGGGCTTCCATGCCGCCAGCCGCCAGCAGGGCCTGGGCGTGGGGTGAGCCGATGCCAACACACGGTGTGGAAGCCGGACACCCTCAGGCTCCGGGGCTGCACGGCGCTGCCCTCTAGGTAGCCAAACCCCAAGGGGGTGGTGCCAGCAGGACAGCGCAGGCAGCCCCCCAGCACCCCCATGGGATTCCATACAGATGCAGCTCCCTGCAGCAGCGAGGGGGCCAAGGGCGGGTGTGGGGGGCAGCCCCAGTGCAGCAGCAGAGCCCGGCTGCGGGGCAGGGCGGGGACAGGGCGGGAACAGGGCAGCTGCACCCCCATTGCACAAGAAGCCAAGCCCCTGGCGGCTGAGGCAGGACCGGGTGCAGCCCGGCCCGCGATACGGAGCCACCCCAAGCAGAGGGTCCCTGGAGCTGCGCGCCCCGCCCCCTTGTTGCGGAGGCAGCCCCCGGCAAAGACGCCCACAGGGCTGCCAGCGCAGGGACCCCAGCGCCGGCCCACCGGGCCCCCGGCCCACCAGCGCCCACCTGCTGCTGAGACAGCCCCTCGGGCATGGGGGTGAGGACGGCGTCCGCGTGCCTGCAGTCCACCTCAATGAACACGCTCGGCTCCTCCTCTGGGCAGGACCTGTGGTCTGGAGGCAGGTCAGGCCGGTGACCGCGCGCTCCCAGCCAGCGAGGACGGCCTGGAGACCTCACAGACGCGGACAGCCCCAGGCCGCGGACATCCCCCCACATCTGAAATGCCCAACATCTGAAGTGTAACCTCAGAAGGCAAAGGAGTCGGCACTAGAAACACATCTCAGCTCCTGCCCGCAGAGATCCAAGCGGGCCGGGGGCGAGCGGAGGGCGGGGGAGGGCACGCCTGGGGTGGGGACCGCCTGCGCTGCCTCCAGGGCCACAGTCCACCCTTACGGGTGATGCAACAGGACCAGGCCCTGCTCCCCCCGGAGGCGCCGGGCCCGCCCCACACAAAGGCTGTGCGTCGCCCCAGCTGGAGGCCGGAGCCCTTGAGGGCTGCGCGGGACGCCCTCGGGCGCCCAGAGGATGGTGTTCTCACGGGGAGGAGCCGCGCGAGCGCCCCAGTGGACACCCCACTGCCCAGCCCCGAGGGACGCCGGCACACACCTTGGGCGAGGAAGGACTTGGTGCGGATGAAGGAGCGGCCCCTCCGGACGGCGGCCCTGGTCCTCTGCAGCCCGTCCCTGGTGCCCTCCTTGGCGGCCTTGACCAGCCTCTGCACCTGCGGGGAGGGGCTGTGAGACGGGCCGGGGCCGCGCGGCTCCTGCGCTGTTTTAAAGGAAATGGGCTCACGCTCTGGCCGCATCACCCCTGCGCTCCAGAGCCCGTCTGTGCGGTCGGGGCGGCTGCCTGTGCCCTTCCTGAAGGCAGAAGGGGCCCCAATGGACAGAGGGGCCGGGGCCCAGGCCTGCCCGGGGAAGCTGCCTCGCACCACGCACACCACACGCCAAGCCACGGCTGGCCAGGGCAGGCCAGAGCCCACGGAGAGCGGGCTGCAGCCCCAGGCACCCAGGGAGGCGGCATGGCCGCTGCGGGGCCACGGCCGGCTCACTGGGCCCACGGGCTGGCCGGGCCTCCGCTGCCCACGCCGAGCCTTGCTCCACGCCTCCCAGACTCATGGTCCTCGCTCTCCAAGACCCAGCGTCCGCACTCGGGCCCTGGGCTCCCCAGCCAAGGCCTGCGGGGATGGCGCAGCCCACAGCGGTGCCAAGCCCATCCCCTCACACCCCGGGGCGCCTGGCCGGAGCCCCCTGCCCCTCACCCGGCCATAGGCGGTGGCCGTGGTGGGGCGGCCTGGCCTCACCTGCGTTCACCTGCGTTCCTGCACCTGCTCTTCCCCCCACCCCGCTGGGTTCCCGAGGCGTCCACGAGACCCTGGGGATGAGCACGGCCGCCGGGGCCCCACCCCGTCCCCCCCGTGGGCGGCCACCCCGTCCAGCAGGCCAGACCTACGGGCCCTCTCGTCCCGCCCCTGCCCCTGAGCCCAAACAACCCCAGCCGGGTCTGCCCTGGGCCCCCCAGACCTGCCCAAGCCCCACACTTAGCCGCAGACCCCTATGAGCAACTACCTTCCCGCACTCGCCAAATCACACTTTCTCAACCCAAACCCAGACTGGCCGGCCTAAGGAACGGTCACCTGGTGCGCTTCAGGGTCCCCTGAAGGGAAGATCAGAGATGGGGAACAGAGGGCCCTGGGGAAGCCTGTGGGGCGACGGGTCCTGAAAACCCCTACTAGAGCAAGGGGTCCCCGTGCCAGGGGCCACACGGCCTCCCCCTCTGGGCTTCCTGGCCCTGGGAACCAGAGCAGCTGCACGCTGGGCGAAGGGGCCTGCGGCTGCCTGGGGGCAGCGGCCCGTGAGGACCTGGAGCCGGGCGGCACAGAGACCCCCTGGGGTGGGGCCCTCAGCACCAAACACAGAGCAGCTGGGGCGGAGGCCAGACTGGGCGGGGCACTTGGCAGTGTCCTCCTTAACCCGCTGCTGACGGTGAGGCCTGCTCCCCACCTCCCACCTCCCACCTCCCACCGGCTCCTGAAAACCAGGCGAGCCCAGGAGCCCGGGGTCTCCCGCTCTGGCGCGGGAGTTGAGGCTGAGAGAGCCTCTAGCGCGCACTTAGGGCCGAGAGCACCGGCCCAGGCCCCCGCGGCCTGGCTCTAGCGGTTCCGGCGACCCGGCGGGGGCTCTACCTTCAGGTCGTGCTTGTGCCTTAGCTGCTGCAGCTCTACGGCCCCCACCGCGCCGGCCACCAGGCGTCTCATCCTCCGCTCATAGCGCTCCTTTAGGCGGGCGAGGTCGCGGGCCAGCTACGGCAGAGACACGGGTCACCGCCCGCCCTGCCTGCCGCCGCCGCCCCGGACACGCACTTGGCACCACTCGCCAGCCCCACGCCTGGGCTCAGCTGCTCCGCAGGCAGGACGTGGGTGGTGCGGGCCAGGGCTCCTAGCGGCCTCCTGCTGCGACGGGCGTGACCCACCCCGCCCAGGACACTGTGCCCGCCCGCGCTCCAGCCGGCGGCCCGCACCGGCCCTTCTCGGGTGCTGGAGGCGCGCACCCAGCCCCCTGCCCCGGCCGAGGCAGAGGCTGCGACCCACAGCGGCGCTCGGCACAGCCCGGCTCCTCACCCACGCTGGGGCGCAGGCCGCCATGCCTGCGCATCCCAGACACCCCCACGCCACTGGCCCCCCGGAGGCTGGTTGACAAGGCTGAGGGGCAGGCAGACGCCGGAGAGGCCCATCCTCCCAAGCCCTGGGCTCAGCGGCCAGACACCACAAGGCAGACCCAAGGAGCCCGGTGCATGTCACCTGTGTCAGGGCACACGTGTGGGTCGGGAAGGAGATGCCAAGGACAGGACCGGAGCGGCCAGAGCGGCGCCCCCTCCGAAGGCCAGCACCCCCAACAGAGCGGGCCGCCCCCCAGCAGGGGCGACCTCTGTAGAGTGTCAGTCGGAGTCACCTTTGGCCCCCACACCGTGCCGGCCCAAGAGCCCCAGACTCGTGCACATGTCCACACGTACACACACCCACCCGTGTGCACACCCACCCACGTGCCACATGTCCACACCCACATGCCTGTCCACACCCACATATGCATGTCCACACCCCCCAGGCTGCTGGTCAGTCGGCCCACTGTCCTGGGCTCACATTCTCTCTGCCCAGCAGACGGCACCTGCTTCCCCCCAAACCTGTCCCAAGGCTCAGAGGTTAAGGGAAGTTCTGAACTTGCAGAGCCACGGCCACTGCCGGGCTGGGCACCTACGTGCTTCTTGTGGCCGCTGCGCAGGAAGGTCCGGGGGGCGCCGCCCCTGCACTCGGGGTCGCTCTGCTCCTCGTAGCTCTCGAACTCGCTCGAGCTCCAGCCGCACTCGAGAGAGCTGTTCCCGCCCTCCTCTCCGTTCTCAACGTCGTCGTAGATCATCTCATCTGCAGGCACAAAGGCGAGGTGAGCCGGCCACGCGGGGCGCACGGGGCTACAGTGGGGGCTCTGCAGGGGGCCACCGCTGACCCCCCCCATCTGCCAGGGGCGCGGTGCAGGGACCCCCCCACCCCCACAGGGCAGCAGCCCCACCCAAGGGCACATGCACAGGGGAGAGGGAGACCACGGTGGGCGGCGGGGGCCATGGACTGTGACAGCCGCGCCCACCGGGCAGCGCCCACATAGGGAGGACGCAGAGGTGCCATCTCCAGCCGCTGTGAGTTTTGTTTCAGGGCTTAAGATGCCTTAAGGAAACAGACGACCTGCCACTTGGTGGCCGCGCCGCGCCTGCCCCAGACTGAGAAGCGGCCAGTGCTGGGCACTGAGGCCCTCACCTGGGGGTGTCTGCACCGCGTGGCCCGGCTGGGGCTCGCCACACCCCCGCAGAAGTGGCGGCCATAGGGGCAGCCGTAGAGGCGGGAGTGGAGGGCCAGCAGCTGTGTCCTCCCGGGCTGCGCTGTGGCAGCAGGACACAGAGAACCGACAGCCCTCCCTGCAGGCCACGAGCTGAGCTTCAGGCCTGGGCGACGCCAACAAGCGGGCGGGTGGGTGGGCAAGCAGCACATAAGGCGTCTCCAGGCCATCAAAGCAGGGCTTCCCCGAGCAGAGACTGGTCTCCAAGAACAAGAGGCCGGCACCGAAGGATGTGCAGGGGGGGCCTGGGGAGGATTCCCAGGCCGCCGCAGACTGGGTGCTGGCCGAGCATCCGAGGAGACTGAGCTCTCCAGGCAGAGCCCACAGCTGGCGGCCCCAGCACTCGGTGGGAGTGTGGCACGGCAGGGTTTGGAAGGCCAGTCCAGGCTGGTACCCCAGGGCTCCGCCCCCTGCCCAGGAGGGGTTGCCTCTCCTGGTCCTGTGCCAGGCTGGGACCTGAGCGCAGGCGCTGGGGGCACTGGGGGGCCATAAGCGAAGGCTGTGTGGGCAGGGCCCCCCGAGTTCACACCCAGACATGTGCTTCCAAGTCGCCTCACAAAAACTGGCCATAGAGCCTCCCCTGGTGGCGAGGTGGTTGAGCACCGCGCTGTGAAGCTGCCCGCAGCCGGCCGGCGAGCGTCGCACATGGCACACAGACCTCTCCTGCCGCCCGCTGCTCCCCTCAGCAGTGTACCTCGGTCCTTCTGCCTGTTCTGTTCCCCGCTCTGGCTCCGGTGAATCCTCTCACCCTCCCACGCCTCTGGCCTGTATCCCGGTTCTTGTATAAATGACTAAATAAATCTTTTTTTAAAAAAAACTGGCCGCAGTCTCACCATCCACCACTCACCACAACTGAGGGCGTTTACCAACGGGCACCAGATCCCCGGCGTGGAAACTGGTGGGCCGCAGGCATGTGCAGCAAACTCAAAGGGCCTCTCCCACGCCTTGCTCTTACCCTCACCTCCGCCCTGCAGCTCCCGCGTCTCAGGGCTTCCTCCTGTGGGCTTGGCCCAACATCGCAGTGCCTTGTTGGTTTAAACCCCACAGTCGAGGGCAATGCTTCCTTATTCAAACTGCAAGTTTCCAATTTTCTTCCCATCTTCATTCTTGGCCAGGAGTAAGGAAGTAGTTTTTTTTTCTATTTTCAAGTGTACTGATTTTTATTGACTTTGTTGGTCTTTCCTCAGGGAATGGGTCCTGAGGACCAGTGACACTTGTCTCCCTTGAGGTTCAACACAGAGCCAGCACCCAGGAACAGCCCCTGTAGGGGAGACGAGCTCACCGGGGCCAGGTTGGGCGGGGGGGTCGCCTGATGCCGTGATCTCCGTGCCCTGGCCCTGCACTGGCTGCACCCAGGCAGCTGGCAGAGAGGCCTGCCCGGCCTGGCTCCGTCTCACGCTGCTTTCCGTGTTTGAGGGGATGTTATCAGGGTCGTACAGGTTTGCAGCTGTGGGGTGGGCTGTCCTCACGGGGTCTCTGCGTTCAGTGATGTGTTCCAGCCCGTGTTGACGTTATGATCACACTGTAGTATTTCTGATGGAATTGACCTTCTATTTCTTTCCATCCACTCGCTCACAAATGCTCTCTCAGTAGGACAGGCCGGCTCTGTGGTCTTAGCCCGCCCGGAATTTCACTCACCTGGTTTACTCTGACTATAAGGACTGCTGCATTTGAACGACATTTCCTGTCATTTTTGGTATTCTTGGGCACGCTTCCTAACGTTACATTTTCTTGCTTTCTACCAGACAGGCTTCGGCCACCCTGTTTCTGTTCTCTTACTGGCTCTGCGTAAAATGCAGACCTGGCCCATCGCGTGAAACCATAGCCCCTCCCCGCGCCCTCCGGGGTGGGCATGGAGACTCCCAGTTCTTGGGCCTGGTGCTGCCCAATGTGTAGCTGTGGCCGCAAGGCCCCTGTCCACAGTCACCCGGAGATGAGCTGAGGCTGCATGCATCTTGCCCACGCTCGCTTCAGGCTGAGAGGTGGACCCGCACGCTGTCTTCCTGCTTCCTGTCAGGCCCGGTGGTCTCCTCCTTGGCGTAGAACAGGAAACCTCCCTGCGGGGTCTGAGTTTGGACCTGCCCATCTGCCTGATGCCACGTCTCCTGCAGAAGCTCCTGCTGCCCAGCCCCGGCCCCGGGCACCCTGGCTCCTGCAGGCAAGGGCGCTGCTGCCCGCCGGTCCCCCGTGGCTCCCACTGGTGTCCACCCAGAGTTTAAGTATTTACCTCCGGGGAGTCTGGTCCCCACGTCCCGTCCTCCATGTCCTCTGCTGGACCCACCCAGCACAAGCCTCATCCCACCTCCCACCGCGGCGCTGCTTTAGGGAAACAGACGATTCCCATGTCAAGGTGGTGGTGCACACACGCAAGCACACGCACACACACCAACCGCCAATGCCAGCGAGGGCCTCGGGCCATAACCTTGGGGAGAGGCTGCTGCAGGGCCCAGGCCAAACCAAACCTGGTTCGGAGTCTGAGTTCTCTCTTGGGACGTCGTCGTAGATGGCCTCCTCCGGACCTGGAGCATAAGGAAGGGACACTGGATGAGTCGGCCCGGACCTACCCGGGGCAGCCTGGGAGGTGCTGTCCACAGGGCAGCCCATCCAGGCCGCCGCCGCCTCCAGTCCCACGCTGGCTGCCCAGGCGCTCCCATGCAGGTGCGCAGAGGCCAGTGGGGCTCCAAGGGGCAGCTGGGCCGGTGCTGCGGGAAGGGAGAGGCCGCCACGTGACAGCCGGTCTCCGCCGGTGCGGCAAGAAACTCCGACTCCAGACCAAGCTGCTCAGATGCTGCCATTCCACGAGTCACACGTGCTTCCGCTCACGAAGGTGGGGGCTCTGCCCACAGCCCCAGGGGAGCGCAGCGCCCCAGCGCAGACACTCGGGAGCCTCACCCCACCTAAGCCCCACCAGCCAATGGCCTTGCCCCTGCAAGCGCCAGATGGCAGGCGCCCAGCAGCCAGAGAGGTGAGAGGAGCCGCTGCCAGGGCTGCCCGCAGCTTCCACCTGGGGAGCGGCCCCTGGTGGGGGGTGAGGCTGCCACTTCACAGGCCCGTCTGCTAGAGACGGCCCTCAGGGCCCGGGGGCACAGGCGCCGCCCGCCCATCCTCTGCATAGCCAGCCCTGCGGGAGGGATGCCACCCGAGCGGCAGCTCGCCGAGTGCACTGAGCCTGGCTCCCGCTCCATCGCATCCCAGCAGAGGCACGTTCCCAGCAGCATGGGGACAGGGCGGGGTGGGGTGGAGGCGAGGGGCCCCCGGGCAGGGCTACGCACCCTCCATCCAGGCGGTGTTGGCCGGGTCTGCGACCCAGCGGGCCAGGGCACTGTCCTCCAGGGCGGCCTGCTCTTCCCTGAAGGACAAGGTGCGGTCAGGATGAGCACCAGAGACATGGCTGGGGCCTCTTGCCTTCCCCTTGGCGGGTGTCTCCCAGCAGGAGGCCGAGCACCTGACCTCCGGGACCCGGCCCTGGCTCAGCCTCCACACCCGGGGGGCGGGGGGGTGGGGGCAGGGAGGCAGAGCCGGGGCTGGTCAGCAGAGCTGCCTGGGGCCCTGAGGGTGGGCAGCGCCGGGCTGAAGGCAGGGTGTGGGCAGGCCGAGCAGGTACCTGTTTGTCGGGACCTCGGAGCTTGGAGAGTGGCACGGGCTGATTTCTGCTGCCTCCTGCGCATCTGCGGGAGAGCAGAGGCCGGACTGTGTGTGCCTGGCGTGCAGGGACAACGCACCTCTCGCCGTCCCCTCTCAGCAAGGACAGGGCGCCCGAGGGTGAGCGTGGGCAGTGGGCAGACTCGGGCACTCGGGCTCCCTCCTCAGCGGGGAACAGGAGGGCAGGCCACGGCCCGTCAACGTGGACACACGCAGTAGGGATGTGGGGTCCCGACACACCCAGGCAGCCCCCACGCCCTGCCCCCCTGACCACAGTGTGTCCTTCCCGGCAGGGGGTGCGGCTACCTTCCTCGTCCAGGGAGGCGGTGCGGATGAGGACGGGGCTGGAGTAGGCGGGCAGCAGTGCGGGCAGGCCGGAGGGCACCGCGTAGCCGCAGGGCACAGGCACCGCGTAGCCGCTGGGCACTGGTGGGCTCCCGCTCTCCTCCTGGGCGTCCAGGTCCAGAGCTGCGGGCTGGTCTTCCTGGAAGGGCGTGATGTCGATGACAGAGTAGGGGTTCACTCTAGCGGGAGCCCCAAGTTTGGTGGGTTCCACAGGTGCCACCGGGTCTGTGCCTGCCTCATGTCCACCTGCTGGGGAGGAGAGGACACCACTGCAGACACAGGGCGTGGCTGGCCAGGGCCCTGGAGCCTGTGCTGGGTATGCGGCTTCGGGCATGGGGTTCAGCACATCCTCAGGGCAGGGGCTCCCCAAGACCAGCACCTCGGAAGCTCCAAAGTGGACGGCTCCTCGGGGACAGACCGGGCTTGGCCCAGCCGGCCCAGCGATTGGGGGTCAGAGAGGCCACCGCACCTGTGCAGATGTGTCTGGAGCCCTCCTGCCTGACTCACCTCAGAGACCCCCGCCTGAGGGGAATTCGTGTCTGGTGGCCCCGGGGGCCCTGACCAGGGCAGCACAGGCGCCCAGCGTGGCCAAGTCACCGGCCCTCCCCACACCCGCCCTGTGGGGACAGCGGGACTCACCAGCATCCCCTGTCCCGGGGCAGCCCGCGGCCGGCCTGTCTGCGTCCAGCCTGTCTGCCTCCGGAGCGCTGTGTCCACAGTCGGGGCCGAGCAGCGCCCCCGCCTTCTCCAGGCTGTGGCCGGCTCCCTGCTGCTGGGCAGGGTCTGGGTGGGGTCACGAAGTCAGCATCGAGGCACAGCCACGGCCACTGTGCCCCCCACCCCGTAGGGAGACCAATAGCTGCCCAGCCACCCAGCCTCAGCCTGGACCCTGTGGCGCGAGGCCCAGACCCCGGGCGCTGCCCCACAAGGTGAGCAAGACACACTGCCACCCTCCCCCCGCGCCCCGTCCAGGAGGGCAGGGCTGGCCAGGCCGAGGGGGTGTGGCCCTCAGCACCGTGGCACAACCCCACGCGGGGCAGGAGGGTGTGATGGCCGTGCAGCAGGGCCACTGGTCAGACCGCGGTGGACGGCCACAGGGGACACAGCGCGTGCCCACTGCTGTCCCAGGGAGAGTGATTGTGTCCACCAGGCTGCTCGCTCATGGCTGCCCCCCAGACTCAAAGCCACAGCCCCCAGGAAAGCGCCAGGGAGCAGGGGCTCTGGGCACTGGTCAGCATGTGGGGCCTGGGAGTGCCCCGGAGGGTGGGGGCGGCAGAGCCCCACTCCTGTGCTCACTCCAAGCCACCCACGTCCCCTGCAGTTTGGCAACTCGAGCGCCTGGACACGGGAAGAACAGCCCCAGCCCTGCCGGAAGGCCCCAGAGGCCCGGCCTCACCTGCCAGCGCAGCGGGCGGCTCCCGCGCGTCCATGGAGCATCCGGCGCCCCTCGGGCATAGGATTGGACGTACCTGCGGAGGAGACAGCGGTCACCATCAGGCCCCTGCACAGCAGCTGCCTTCAGGACCTGCGCCTGAGCCCAGGGGTGCTCCCCCTGGACAGGCGCCAGGGAGCGAGCAGCAAGCGGGCCTCGGGCCATGCCGCCAGGAGGGGCCCCGGCCAGGCCTGCACCAGACACAGCAGCGACCGCCCAGCCCCCACCCCCCGTGCAGCCATCGCCTCTCGCCAGCCCCAAGGGGAGACGGGACACGGCACAGAGTCTTCCCTGCCTCGGCCCGGGAGAGGGGACTGCCAGGCACAGGGCCAGGCCATGGGACGGGGCTCCGGGGTCGGCCAGGTCCCCGCGGCCAGATGCACTTCTGCTTTGCTGCGTTTCTCGCTTCCATACGAGCGGACAGGAGCCACATCTGACCACAAGCCGGTGCCAATAAGCCACGGCAGGCCCGTGTCCCGCTGCCCAAGTCCCCGCGAGCCAGCACCTGCCCTTCCGCCCAGGATGACCAGTCAGGGCGGCCCAGGGGCCGGCAGCATGCTGGGGCCTTCCCCCACACATGTGCTCGCACACGCGCGTGCACAGACACCACCCCGGGAGTCTCAGGCCCAGGACCCCCGATTGCCTGCTGCCAGCGCCACACGCACAGGAGCATGCACTCACCACACAGTGCACACACACGCTTACATGCAAGCGTGCTCACAGGCACGCACACCTGGGGGCCCGACCTGCTGCGCAGCAGCATGGTCCCCAGCACGGCCCGTGGGCGAGGCAGCCTCTGCCCACAGCGAGACCGAGCACAGACTCTGCCCGGGGCCGCACCTAGGGATGCAGACCCCGCTCACCCCGCAGCCCCCGCCTGATGGGGACACGGCAGGAGCAGGCCCACTGGGGACCGGGGCATACCCACTCTCTGGTTACACGCGCTCATGCCCAGCCCGCAAGGGGGGGGGCGGCGAGGTGGGCAGCAGAGCATCCACGCTCCCTGCCCTGACAGACGCGGCCACGAGGGTGGAGGGAGTGGCCCCAGGGCACCCCCACATGTCCCGTGTGCCACAGGGCACCACACCCCGCACACACCCATGCTCTCCTCACACACGCCCGGCACAGCGGGCCTCCTGCAGGCACGTGTTCTGGGCCAGCCTGCAGGAAGGCCAGGCTGGAGAGGGGCCGGCAAGACCCCAGCGCGCTGCACGGACGGGGCTGGGCTGATCTGCCATTCCCGAAAGAGGAAGCTGAATTGCCCAGCATGCTCGGCAGACCGCCAGCTTGGGCTGATCCCAGACTGAGGTGCCCGCCCCACCCCGCAGCAGCCAGGAGCCCCAGCTCCCGGGCCTGGCCCGCGGGCAGGAAGGAGAAGAGGTATCCGCAGGAAGCCAAGACAATCAGGGTCCTCAGTCTCCAGAGGAAACAGGGGAGAGCAAGCTATTTCTGGGCGTCCAGGGTAGCAGGAAGCAGCTGTGTACCCCCCCCACATCCCCCCACACACCCTCCTTGTGCCGGGGCCTGTCTGACGGCAGAGCCAGGTCCGGGACCGGCAAGGTGCATGGAGGGTGGCTCCAGGGAGGCACTGAGGCTCCCTGAAAATGGGGCCATTTTCAAGACCTGCTGGGGTGGGCCCTCCCCATACCCCAGGGCTCGGCCTGCACCCAGCACAGGGGCCCAGGAGAGTCCCCAGGAGAGTCTGCCCTCCCATGAGCAGCAGAACATCCGGGGCTGGCCTGGGCTGGGGGCCCACCCGGTGGCCGGGGCTCAGTGCCTGGGTCCTGGCTGTGACCCAAGGTTGTGGCCGCCCCTGGAGGGCTGTGAGCAGGGCTCCCCAGGGCCTCCTGCATCTCAGGCACCCCCCACACTCCCCACCAGCCTGGCCGGGAGGTCAGGTCACAGAAGGTGGGGGAATGAGGCTGCACCAGCCCCTCCAAGCCCGAGTACCAGGGACCCCAACACTAGGCCCAGCTGAGCAGGGTCTCCAGGGCCACCACAGGAGAGTTGGGGACAGGGCCACCTCCTCCCCCAGACCAGAGGTGCAGCATGAAGACCACGAGGGCTGCGCCTCAGGGCCTGCCTGTGGGGACACTTTGTCCATCTGGACACAAGGCCACGGCCAGCCTGGCGGGCGCGCCTGCAGCTCACAGGAGCAGAGAGAAGACCCACGTCCCGCAGCCTGGCCTCCGGGCGCCACCAGTCCAGCGGACAGAGCTGTGGGGTCTCCCCGACAGCAAGGGCTCGCCGGCCACCCTGCACAGCTCCCACACCCCTGGGAGCCCAGCCCACCTGCCCGGCCCACCTGCCCCTCACCTGAGGGGGGCAAGGACACACCACCCTCTGCTGGGGCCCCAGGCACCCCCCCCCAGCCTCACTGTCTGTCTGTCTCTGTATGTGGGCCCCCCCCCCGTCCCTGTCCCGTTCCTCCTGCCTCTCTCCAGGTATTCCTTTCCTATAGCTGGCAGGTACCTGGGGGTCCCCGGGGAAAGGGGTGGTCCCAGGTTCCCGGCGCCCAAGGGAGGGGGAGCTGGGGGAGACTGGGGGGCGGGGGATCAGGAGGGGCCTGGGGGCACCGTGCAGCAACCCAGGTGCAGCAGCCCGCGGCCTGGCGCGGGCACCAGGGGCTCGGGTGGGGAGGAGGCCCTCGAGGGCACAGACAGCGGGCCGTGCCCCGGGGCAGGCTTGGGGCCTGGGGCGCTTCATGGGAACCCCGCCCTTCCCTTCTCTGTGTCGCGCTCGAGTTGTAAGATGCTCCCTCCCAGCAGGGCGGTCGGACGTGCGGACGCAGAGCCCATTCAGAGCTGGCAGGTTTGGGGTCCTGGGGGCCCCTGCCCCGTTAACAGGCAGGAGGAAGCAAATGATAAAGCTCAGAGCAGAAACAAATGAAACAAACCTAAAAGCCCCTCAAGATGATGCGCCTCAAGAAGAGCTGGTTTTCTGAGTGACGGGTAAAGTGGCGCCTCTGGGTGGCGTCCCCATCCACGCCCCGGGGCCAGGGCCCAGCCTGAGGCCCTGCCCCCACCCCCCACGCTCCGCAGCCCTGAGGCTGGGTCCCAGGACCCCGGTGGCGCCTGAAGCGCATGTCCAGCTCTGCACCTGCCCGGCACACCCAGGGGGCCGAGAAAGCCCCGCCCCACCGCCTGCTCCACACAGCAGTCCTGTCTGGTGCCCGCACGCCCCCTGGGCACCCCGGGGCCCCACACCCCTCCCTTCCCCCTACCAGCATGTCCCAAGGGGCGGTTCCCCCCAGGGCCACGTCTCCAGCCAGACCTGCTGGTGCTGCTGCTGGCAGTGACCTGGGCCAGCAGATGGGTCGCCAGAGGCTCCCCTGCCAGCACCCCCCGGGCTCACTGCCCAGACAGTGCCACGTCCAGCCCGACGACGCGGTGCAGAGAGCCGCTCCACCGCCCACCCCTGCCCTCCGCCGTGCGCCTCAGACCCGGCATCGCACAGGCCGGCCGTCTCTGCTCAGATTTCAGATCCAGCTGAAAAGTGATCTTTCCCACCCCAGGGCGAGGCTCTTGGCTTCAGAGGGTGGGCAGGGGTGCGGGCAGGGCCCCGGGTGCGTGGGGGTGGCCTAGGCCAGGTCTCCACAGCGCAGCATGGACCAGGTCGGCACTGCCCATGGGCTGCCAGGCAGGCTCCTGGTGCTGCTCGAGAATCCACGCTCGCATGATCTCTCGCATGCCAGGGCTGGGGGTGGGGGTGCGTGAAGGGGGAGTGGGGGGCCAGGGAGCACAGCCCACACACGGCCCCTGTCCACCAGGCTGGCTGACGGTGCCCCTGCAAGACATGGCTGCGCCCCAGCAGCCTGGGGCTCCACAGCCTCTGAAATCTCTGGAATTCTCAGGCAGGGTCTGCATGGCACAGGGGATCCCATGGGGGGCAGCCCCACCGCCCTGGCTGCACAGCCCTTCCGCACTGGGGGAGTGGGGCTGGCGGCCAGCCCGCTGGCACAGACCCCTCCCGCATCGGCTGCAGCGGCCCCACTGCTCAGCCCCTCACGTCAGAGACCCCAACTCTCCCCTCAGAAGAAGGAGAGCTGGGGTGACACAGGCGGCTCCTCCCCAGCTCGGGCAGCCCCTCCACCCCCGCCCTGACCCTGCGCGGGGACCAGACTCAGAAGCCACGGGCAGCTCCGTCGTGGATTTCTCCTTTTGGTGTTTAGACCTCAAAGTGAATGTCCTCCGCGCTGTGACAAAATGACGTCCAGGGCACCCCGAAATGGCCTCCGGCCCTGTGCACTGGCAGCGCCCACCCCAAGAGCTCTGGGCACCCAGGGCACGACGCTGCCTCCGCAGGACGTCCACACTCCAGGAGGCTGCGGCCCCTCCTCGGAGACCACGCTGCCAGCGACCGGGGCAAGGCCACCACCGCAGTGCTGAGGAGGGCGCCCAGATGACAGGGCTGGTGAACCCCAAGCTGTCCCTGGCACCCACCTGCGGGACCTGTGCGTGGACACAGCCCTCGCCTGAAGCGAGGACATTAAGCAACGTTAAGTAAAAGGAAGCTGAGGAAGGCAGGCGCTGGCCGAGCGGGGACCCGCCCCCCAAGCCCGTGCCGGAGTGGCCGCAGCCGTGATCCCTGGCGGCTTTCACCGGCAAACAGTTTCCACCCTCAGAGGGCGGGTCCGGGAAGAGAAAAGCCTTGAACCTAAGATGGTTTCAGATCTCTTCTAAATCTTCTAAACGCTGCTCAGTACACACGAATCGCCAAGGCCCGGGGCACGGCCGGGGAGGCCAGGCCAGGCCAGGCCAGGCCGGAGCAGAGTTCACGGCAGACGGGAGGGCAGACGCCCGTCTGCAGGGCCCGGCCTCCGAGGGGGGGGGGGACGCCCCGGCCCGCCAGCCCCTGTCACTCAGGGGGCCGCCTCCTCCAGGCCTCCTGCTCCGAGGCACCCCAGCCCCACCCGCCCCTCAGCCCCCCGGCACCCTGGGAGCCCAGGGTCCCCCTGCCTGTCCTGGGCCGCGGTGCGCCCCGTCAGCTGGGGGCCCTCTCGGGCCTGGGGCTGCACACCTGGGCGGGGCAGGGCCCTGACTGCCTGCGCCCTGCCTTTCAGATGATTATTCACAGATGAGTCCGACCAAAGGACCGCATTTCTGCTGTGCTCTGAGTTCCGTGGGGCGCTTTCAAGCTTGCTCGGGCCGTGCCGCGCTCCCAGCCGAGCTCGGCCTCCCCCAGGAGGGCCGGGGGGCTCTTCCCCCGCCCCCCGCCCCCCGCTGCAGAGAAGCGCCCGCGGTCAACGCAGCACATGACACATTTGGTCAAATTAGAAAGTCACAATTAAGCTCAAGGGGTGGGCCGAGTCGGGGCGACCTGGCGCCTCGCGCCCCCAACCGTGTCCGCCGGGCAGTCGGGCCGCGGGCAGCCGGCTGGGCAGCAGGTCCCGCCCCGGCGGCCGGCGGGGGAGCCCGACGTCCTCCGGGAGCCGCCCTGGGCCGCGGCTCGGGACGCGCTCGCGGGCGGAACCACCTGGACCGCTCGCACCTGGCGGGCGCCGGCGGGGCGGGGCGGGGCGGGGCGGGGCGGGGCGGGGCGCGCGACGGGGCCCGCGGGTCCGGCCGTTACGGCGGCGAGGCCGGCCCTGGGGGCGGCGGGCGGCAGGTGCGGGCGACGGCGACGGGGCGCGCCCGCGGCGGGAGGCGCGTGTCCGCCGGGACCGCTGTCCTGTCCCCACCGCACCCCACCGCACCCCACCGGGCCGCACGCGACGCCCCGGCCGCCCCGGCACCCTGAGCGGGCGGCCGCCCGCCGCCCGCCGCCGAGGCTGGGGTCCCCTGCGGCCCCGGGAGGCCCGGGGTGCCGGCACGGCCGCTGTCCTCGGCCGGGCGCCCCGCGGAACCGGGGCCCGCCCGCCCGGCCGGCGCGCAGGGTCCCGGGGCGCGCAGCCCCGCAGCCCCCCGCCGCCCCGCGGCCCCCCTGCAGCCCCGCAGGACCCCCCGCAGCCCCGCAACCTCGCAGGACCCCCCGCAGCCCCGCAGCCCCCCGCAAGCCCGCAGCCCCGCAGCCCCCCGCAAGCCCGCAGCCGGGGCGGGGGTCCCCAGGGGCCGCCGGGCCGAAGCGCAACTTCTACGCGAAAGGAGAAAACTGCTCCCGCCCGCGCCCCCGGCCCCGCGCGCACCCGCCCCGCGCCCGGCCCGCGCTCACCCCGAGGCCGCCGGGACCGCCCCGGCGCGCTCACCCGAAGCCGCGGGGACCCCGACGCCGCCGGGACCCCGACGCCGCCCCGGCTCGCTCGTCCCGGGACGCGCCGGCCCCGCCCACGGGGAGGCGGCCCCGCCCCCGCGCCGCGATTGGCCGGCCCGGCCGCGGCGGGAGCCCATTGGCGGGCGCGCCTGCCTCTCCCCGGCCGCGCCCCGCCCCCGGCCGCGCCCCGCCCCGCGCCCGCGCATTCCTGCGGAGCCACGTGGCCGCCCGCCCCCCACCCGCGCCCCGCGCCCCGCGCCCCGCCCGCGCCCCGCCCGCCGGCCGCGCCCCCCGACCCGGCCCGGCCCCGGCGCGGAGTCCCGGGTGCGCGCCGTGCGGGGGGCTCTGGGACGGGCCCCGGCGCTGGCCCTTCCCTGCGGACCCCGAAACTGAGCTCCGGCGGCGGGGCACCTGGCCGACCACCCGCCGGCCCGGCCTTCCTCGGACTCGCCCCGCCCCGGCCGCCCGCGGGCGCAGCGGGGACCCTGCCCCGCGCGGGAGCTCCGGCCGCCGCGGGCTGCCCAAGCCCAAAACCCGGGCCGCGAAGCCCGCCGGCCCCGGCCTGCCCGGAGTGGACCTTGCTACGGGACGCGGGGCTCCTTCCTGGCCCAAACGCTTTTGCGCCGTGCTTGGCTCTGCCGGACGGCCCCGGGGAGCCCCACGCCTGCGGACGGCCCCGGGGGGGCCCCAGCCGAGTCCCAGGCAGGAACACAAGGGCCCTGGGTGCCCAGGCCGGCGGCACTCAGCGCGTGGACAGGCCTGCCCGGAGGCGCTGTCGGTCTTTCCTGGTCAGAGGGACTCATGTCAACGCAGCTAACAAGGGGCGCGGGTGGTGGGGCCTCCCCGTGGCCCGGAGTTAAGTCTCAGGCTGTCACCTGAGTCCCCTCCCCGGCCAGGGGGCGACCCACGCGGCCCAGCGGACTCTCCTGACCGCCCGCTGCTCCCTCCGCAGTGGGTCTCAGCGGATCCGCCTGCTCTGCTCCCCGCTCTGTCTCTGGGAGTCCTCTCACCCCCTGCACATATGGTCTGTACCCCAGTTCTTGTATGAATAAATATTTTTTTAAATAAAAACTAAATAAAAAGCTAAACAAATGAATGCTAATCCTACTGTTGGGGTGTTCATAGCTTCTCTTGGTAATGAAAAGTCGAAATGACAAAATATCTAAGTGAACCAACATATCAACACTGGGATTGTAGCAACATGAGCACACCCCCACAATCACAGAACGCAGTGTTTAAAGGTATTTTAAACAACTGTTGAGATAACGTATCCTAAAGAAAATGTCTTATGTCAACATATTCTCTGCGCAATTCAATTAATTTAGAAATCAACAAAGGTAACTTAAAAATATATATGTATAGAAAGAAAATTTTAAAATATATACTCATCAAAACTTATAGGTCAAAAGAGTAAATCATTCTTTGAAATTACATCATACTGAGAAGTGAAGGTTGATTTTTAAAAAGCAGGAAACGTGACTAAAGTGCTTGAAGAGAAATTTATGGTTTTAAATGCTATAATCAGAAAAGAAAATGGCTCAAGATGATCGGATCTGCTCCGGAGGAACTTAGAAATAGAATAGTTGACACCCCAGAAGTCACAGAGGGAGAAAATGTGGCAGAAGCTAACAGGGGAGGGGGAGCGCCCCACACAGATGACATACAAAGTGGGTCTGAGAAGACTCAGCCACTGGGAAGCTCTGGAACCTCTGGGGGGGGGGTGGGAGGAGGAAAGGGGAGGGAGGGGGGGAGGGCACGACCCCCTCTTCCTTCCTCCCCTCAGACACTGGGCAGCAGTCTCCCCGAATGTCCACATCTGACCTCTGCCCCAGGCCAGGGACTCAGAGCTCCAGGCAGAGCCTGACGGGGGTGGCCGGGCCAGGCCTGAGGTGGTGGGCACCTGGGTCGTGGGGTGGTGTGGGGCGTGCTCTGTGTCCCCCAGGGGAGGTGGAAGGGAGGCCTCTCCCCAGGGGCTCAGGGCAGAGCTGAAGGAGCCAGTCCTGCCACATCCAGGAGGGTGTCCTGGGGCTGGGGGTTTTGAGGTCTTGACTCTGGTGCAGTGAGGACCTCGCTGGCCACAAGATGTGGCCTAAGGTCTGTGTGGCAGGAGGGGTGCAGGCCCGGGGTGTGCCCTGCGGAGCCCCAGGGTAAAGGAGACCTGGCCAGCCTCTGCAGCCCGAGGGCAGGACGGCGCCAGTGCCTGGGGGTCGCCAGGCTGTGGGTGCAGAGTGGAGAGAATGCAGGAGCCCTGGCACCCAGGACACGTGCCCGATGGCAGATAGGACATTTCCCAGCAAGACAGAAACTCCAGTTTCTCGTGACCAGTTTTGTCAGAGATTCAAGGAAAAGAGAATTTCAATTGAGATAATGTCTTCCAGGGCAGAGAATTCTGTCTTTGCGGGCAGCTGAGGCCCGGTGAGGGGAGCCCCCCAGGCCTGCCCACAGAGTGGCCTTCTCTTCCTTGGCTCCTGCCCGGCACAGAGACAAGGAGGCAGGAAAACAGCTTAGTTGTTGCAAATGGGGGAACAAGAGCCCAGTGTGCCAGGAACAATGCCTCCCTCTGCAGCCCTCCCTGCCCTCCCTGCCCGTTCTGCTCCCCCGCTGCTGCCCAGGGCACTGCTGCCTTATCTCCCAGCACACCCCACAGGCTTATCTCCCCTCCCCCATCCGCCTCCCTCCTCTGCCCTCCCTGGCCGCCCCCAGCCAGTCCTGCACTTGACAACTGGTATTTGGGGCAAAAGAATTTGCTCTAGCTCTTCCATGAGGAGGGCGCCCCAGCCCCCCGGGGCGGCTGTGTGGGTGCTGGCGTGGAGTGAGGAGTGGCTGCAGAGTAGCCCCACCCTCTCCAGGGAGAGCCCCCAGAGTGGTGGGCAGGAGATCCAGTGTCCGCCAGCCTCCGCAGGCAAGGTCGTGCCCTGGAGGGCTGAGCCAGGGAGAGCAGGAGGCCGGGCTGGTGCGGGCCGAGCAGGGGAGGGGCCGCAGTCCTGGCCCTAGACCAGCCGAGTCCAGGCTGCACCCTGACCCCCTACCCACCCCAGGGCCCCGTGCGTGCTTGGGCATGGGCCCTGCCTTGCGGCTGACCAGCAGGCTGCAGGAAAGCCCAGCCGCGGGGTTGGAGCTCAGGGCAGCCCAGGAGGCCACAGCTGGCTGCGCATCCCGCCCACCTGCCCTCAGCGATTCTGCCTGGGGCTGTGGGTGTCTCGCAGTCCTGCTTCGCTTAGAACCCTAGGAAGACAAAGACCCGCTGAGATGCGCTCATAGCAGAGTGGACGGGGCAGCCGGGTGGCGGCGGGCGAGTGACCGCAGCGTGGGCCTCCAGCCCGGGGACTCGGCCCTGCAGCCTCTACGCCTCCGGCCCTCCACACCCGCGGGCGCTGGCCCCACGCTGCTCAGGAGGCTGTGCCTGACCTGTGAGCCCACCAGCCTGGCAGGTCTGTGCAGGGCCCAGGCCGCTGCCCCAGCTGCGCCCACTGACAGGCCTCTGCTGGCGAGGGGAGCCCAGGCCTCCGGTCTCTCCACCTCTCTGCCCAGCAATGTCTGCGTCCCCCTTCCACACATTTGGTCCTGACCCCAAGGGGACCCCAAGGTGGGGCTCTTGGGGTAAAGAGTCCATGCAGGGGGTGTCCCGCCCCCGGGGAGGACATGAGGGGGTCTGCGGGGGCTGGGGAGGCAGGGAGTGTCCAGGTGAGGCTTCCAGCCTCGCTCACGCAGAACCCTGGGAAGACTCGTCCCACTGGGAGAGAAAAATACCAGAAAAACGGCCGCAGTCCGGGAGCGGCGGGGCGGTCGGCAAGGTCCAGGCCTCAGCGTGTGAGAGCGCCGGCTCGGGGTCGGGCGTCGGCCCGGGGTGGGGCGCAGGCATGTGGTCGGGCTCCGGCACTCGCGACCCGCGAGGGTCCCCAGAGTGAGCACGTCCGGGGCGCGGGCCGCTAACAGGTCTCCGCGTCCTTCCCACTCGGGCCTCCAACCGCTCTGGCGTGGCTTTCCGGCCACTGGACCCTGCACGGGGAAGGTCAGCTGAAGACAGGCCTGGTCCTCAGCAGGGGAGGGGGTGGCAGGGGAGGCTCTGGAGGCGGGGCTGCGGGCTGCGGGGCTGGGTATGTGGGGCTGCCGGTTGCTGCGGGGCTGCGGGCTGTGGGGCTGCAAACTGCGGGCTGTGGGGCTGCGGGCTGCGGGCTGTAGGCTGTGGGCTGTAGGTTGTAGATTGCAGGCTGTGGGGCTGCGGGCTGTAGGCTGTGGGCTGTAGGTTGTAGATTGCGGGCTGTGGGACTGCGGGCTCTGTGCTGAGGGGCTGCGGACCGTAGGCTGTGGGCTGCGTGGCTGCCAGCTGCGTGCTGCCTGGGAGTGGGCTAGGTGAGCCAGGGCAGCCCGACCGCGTGCCTGTGCCCCACCCTGTGCCGGCACTCTCACGCGCTGAGGCCTGGATCTTCCCCACTGCCCCACCTGCCTCCCCACTGTGCCCGTTTTTCTGGCTCACCCAGCCCACTCCCAGCCAGTACACAGCCCGTGGCCACACAGCCCGGAGCCCGCAGCCTCACATCCCTCAGCCCACAGCCCAGAGCCTGCAGCCACACAGCCCCCCGCCCCGAGCCCCACAGTCCGCAGCCACCTGCCACGCAGCCCCACAGCCCGCATCCATGCAGCCCACACCCAAGCCCACAGCCCCACAGCCCTCAGCCCACCCCAGAGTCCACAGCCCCACAGCCCCACAGCCCTCAGCCCGCAGCCCCACCAGGCAGGCCCCACGTCTCCACTCCTGTGACTCTGTGAGTCTTCCTGTGTCGTTCCCCCTGGTTGCAGCCTCAGCTCTTACATTTCAAAGAATTGGTGTTTTCCATCTCCATTTCCCAATTAATGTGAGATTTTAAAAACTGTTGCGTCTTGCAGCACCACACTGACAAAGACACGGGAGTCGTGGAGCGGGCTGCACAGGGGAGGATGCTGCTGAGAGCAAGATCCTGGCTGTTTTATTGATGGAAGAATCATAGAGCATCAGCTACGTGCGCTAGGAGGACAAGGAGAAAGGATGGGGTCACTCAGGAATGCCATCTAGGGCTCGGGGGACACGAGTCTGCTGACGATGTTATCAGCTTGAAGACCAAGTGTTGTCATCGAAAACAGACCCCAGACCCCCGGCCATGGACCTGATCTTATCAACAAGGCCTTCCACTGATCACCTCTGGGGTCCCTTGGCATACGTCGGTCCTCGGCCCCCTGGGTGTTCCCGGTCATACCTCGCGGTGCACACCCTTCCCAGGGGGCTCCGGCTTTCTGCTCTCGATTGATATGGAAGGCGCCTTGTAAGGTTTGGCTCCTATGACTGTGCCTGGACAGTTCTGACCTTTGTATGGGAGCGCGGCACTGCAGGTGACCACGCTGGTGGCTGAACAGGCCGCTTAAGTCTAGCAGCCCCACAACGGTTCTTCGTTTTGGTGGTTTTTATTTCATCTGCACCTCCTCGCGCCTGCTCAGGTCTGTTTATGTTATTAATCTCTGCAAGCAGCAGAGGTTCTTGTCTGTGGCTTTTTTTCAATAAACTACTTCTTTTGTCTCTGTTCTTTGATTCACCGTTTCCTTCCTTCTTGGTTTTGAGGTTATTCAATGTTCCCTTTCCAAAATGTTTTTTTGTTTTCTTGTTTCCTGGAAAATATATTGGAAATTGTAGCCCCTTCTGATTTACTTTTAAGCCCAAGTGTATTTAGTAATGTTCTTTCTTTCCAAAAATATATGTAAGAAAAAAATTCCGTTCTTTTGGTATTTGTTTCGAAAGTTATTGCTCTGTTAGAGAAGACACTGCCACTTTGGAATTTATTGTGTTTTCTTTTATTGCTAAGGACACTTTTTATGATACATGATCAAGTTTTAAAAACATTCCATGTATGCTTTAAAAACCACTGTGTCGGCTGGAGAGTATCTGTAACCCTAATGGCTCAAGCTTAGAAAATGGGTATTTCTCCAAGAAATCACATACAATTGCCCACTTGTGTTTCTGTCCCTTAGTTCTGTCAGTCTTTGCTTTATGCATTTTGGAGGCCGTGTTATCAGGTACATTTGTTTGCAAGGGTGAGTCTCACAGGGCACAGCACCATGTCTTCCTTCCTTTATGAGATACCATGCCCGGAATTTCGTGACGAGAGCAAGATTGCTATCCAGGTTTATTTTTGTTTGGATTTGCCAGACCCATATTTTTCTAACTTTTTACTTGCCACTTTTTTGTGGCCTTTACCTTTTAGTAAGAAAGAGGTTGAATCTGGTTGTAGGACCCGAGTCTTCACGTTGATGGGCTTCCTTCTGCCTATGGGTCTACCAGGACTGGTCTCTGCTTTTTCACCCCACACTGGCCTTCACTCTTTCACCCCCTTTTTCTCCAAGTTTCTTCTGCTTTTGATGTTATGGTGGTTCCCTTGAGAGCCACATTGATGTCAGTCTAGTCACTGATTTCCTGGACAACCACTATGGGTTCTTGACTTCACGTCAGCCGTGAGCCCACACTCCTGTGGAGATAAGGCCCTCGAGGATGTGCCCCCAGGTGGCCAGCCTCTGACCCAGCCTGCGCCCACTGCCTGACCGCTCCTGCTGCTGCTGGCAGCGGGGAGCCTGTCCCAAACACACCTCCTTCTCTTTCCTCATGGCTGAGCCATGAAGCAGGTCCTGTGCCCGCTCTCCCAGGCTTGTTCTGCACCCACAGCTCCGCACCCCTCCGGACAGGGAAAGGGTGTGGAGACCCCTCAACATACACTGCAGTGGGGTCATGGGGGGAGCTTGGGCTCAGTCCCCCACAAACCAGGGCCCAGGGGGCTGCCTGGCAGGAGTGGGTGGTGGGTTGTGGCTGGGCAGCCAGGGGTGGTGGGAGCCTGGGTCTGCTCCGGCACCAGGGTGGGGGCACTCATGGACAGGAGCAGGCCCGGCACAAGGTACGTCAGGTTCAGCGTCTGGGGAGGATGCATCCTGGCTCACAGATGTGTCCCCTTTGGGGTCCTTACCCAGGCAGGGCAGGCACTGGGGTTCTCTGTTAAGAGGGTGCTGCTCCACTGGGGGGCCCCAGCCTCAGGACTCCTCCCTAAAGGCCCCTCCCGCAGCACCCTCAGCCAGTCCGGCTTCTGGGCTGGAGCCGGACCGCGCTAGGCCATCCTCTCAGACACCCCTGGAGTCGGAGACCACGGTGGGCAGATGTGGGGTGTTCCGGCTGAGCTACAGTTTGGCGCTGGGCAATGAGAAGACCCTGTGGGAGGCAGTCGTGGATTTGACAGCCTGTAAAAAGGTGACATTTGCACCGTTCTCCAGTCAAACATGTGAATCTGAGTCCAATCTCAGCAGATGAGCAGCCCACATGAGGGGCAGTGTCATGACTGGCCGTGTTCACCAAGCCTTCCGCGAGGGCTAGAGCGTGAGGGCGGCGCAGGGCTGGGGCAGGGCCGAAGGATGGGACAGGGAGGGCTGGAGCCAGGGCAGGAGGCTGGGGTGGGGTGGGGCGGGGCCAGGGCAGGTGGGGCACGGAGGATGCGGTGTCCCCGGGGTGGGGCGTGGGACCAGGATGGGTGGGGGTGGCGGGGGGTCCCAGCAGTGGCCCTGGCCTGGAAGCAGCAGCAGCGCCACATGGACACCCAGGCCCACTCAGTCTGTGGACAGCGGGGACACGGTGCTCAGCCCATGGACAGGTCACGAGGGCCGTGGTGGAGGACACCCCGTTCTCAACCTGAAGTAGGAGCACAAAGCACTTGGGGTCAGGGACACTGCAGTGAACGGGCCGAAGGTCACAAATCAGAAACTGGGCACAGAGGACATGGGCTTGTTTTACTATTTCCCAGCTTTTCTTTAAGTCTGAAATTAGCTGGAAATAGACAAAATAGAGCAGATGACACAGTAAATGGGGAGGCCCTGGCTCTGGGCCGGCAGAGTCCTTCCCCACCAGGGCCCGGAGGGGGCCCCAGCTGGAGGCGAAGCATGGAAGCCTACCGTCCATCCTGCTCCTGAGCCGGGGAGACGGGCAGTAGGTGGGCACATCCCAGCCAGGCTCCTCCCGGGCCTCCCTGCACCGCTCCCCAGGTCAGGAGAGCACACCTGGGCCAAGAGGCCATTTTCTGCCCAACCTGGCGGTGACCTCGGGCTAGCCCTCTCAGCACGAGGTCGGGGCAGTGACTGCTGGGCTTCCGACTGCTTTTAGGAAAAGGGAGGCTGGGGAGGGGTGAAGGACTCCTGCTGGACACGGCCCCTCCCACTGGCCCTGTGGGCACCCCAGGGTGGGGGAGGCGGGCCATAGGGGAGCAGGTGGCTCCCAGCCAGCGGCCAGGCTTGGGGTCAATGCCTGGAGGTCTGTCTTAGTGAATGTGTTTGCAGCCGACAAGACACAGGGTCCCCCTCAGGGCCGACCTCCGGGCTCCTGCTCAGCGTGGGAGTGAAATCTCTGGGGTGGACAGATGTGCTGGGGAGGTGCCGGGAAGAACTGAGGGTGGCCTCGACACAGCGGCGGCTGGGGGCTGCGGGTGCAGACTTGACCTCAGTAACTTTCTCTGGGGAGTTACATTTTGGAATCTTTTCACCAGTTTGGGGTTGCAGGCCACAAATGCAGGCGTCACATTTCCAGAGACGGACTGGAGGCCGCAGCCATGGCCGGGGAGGGCTGGTTAGTGCTAGCACAGTCTGGCTGGCGGATGTGTCCCCTGGTCTGCTTCCCTGGGTGAGGTGGGGGCGTCTCCTCGCCAGGTCACTGGCCCCATTGTGGTGACTCCCCAGGTGCCCCCATCATGTTGGGGCAAACTTGGGGCACCACAAACATAAGCCCGCAGCCCCTGGGGTTCCCAACCCATTGTGGTGTCAGGCAGAAATCGCCGCACCCGAGCAGGCCATGAGCCTAATGGGGCATCCCTCTGGAGGTCCCTGGGCAGCATAAGCCCAGCAGGGGGGCCTCTGGGTCCCGTAGCAGTAGGGGTGTGGCTGGGGGAGGCACCTGCCAGGATGTGCTGGGTCCATTTCCGAGCCATGGGGGGCACAAGAAGATATGGGAAAGGTCACCTCGCACGGGATGGGGGCAGGACGGCCAGTGTGGTCAGCTGTCAAGAAAGCAAGGACTCTCTGTGTGGATGCTGAGTTAGAACGGATGCCCCTCGACGCAGAGCTGACCGGAGCTCGCAACCCGAGGGGCACAAGAGACACCCCCTAGAACCCCCTGGCTCCACAGCAGCCCCAGTCCCACAGCAGCACCGCCCCCCAGGCACCCACAGGGGTCGGCAGGACCAGCAGGACTGATAGACGCCCAGAGGGTGAGGGCCGAGGCGCTGGCTGGAGGGGCCGCCACAGATGCCCCAAGTCCAGGCCCTCCAGGCTGATCAAGGGGCGCTCCTGCACCCCAGGCGCGCTGGCACTTCAAGTGGCTCCTCTGTCACCGTGCCTCTGGGCAGCCCCAGGGTCATGGTGACGAAGAAGGAAGAAGCCGGGACAGACAGCAGGGGACACACAGTGACACCCGCCTCCGCAGGCCGAAAGCACCGCAGTGCAGCGCCAGGGACGCCTCGGGCTCCAGGCCGGCATGGAACACATGAAACTCGAGGACTGGAGTGGCCCTCAGAGACCAGGAGGCCACGCTGGGCCTGTGCCGGGGCTCCGTGGACGAGGCTGGCGCCTGCTGCGCAAGGAAGGCTCAGGGTATAGCCGTGGGTCGGGCCCAAGCTGCGCATCTTCTCCAAAACATGGTTCCGGGGCCTGTGCCGCTCCCGGGACCCCCAAGCATCTCCTGCAAATGCAGCCGCGGTGCCCCCTCTGTGAGCAGCGAAGCGGGGGTCTCTGCGGGGCTCTCAGCACGGCCCAGTGGCCAACCCGGGCGGGGACTGGGGCCTCCCCGGCTGCTCCGGCCCTCCAGACCCGGTGTGGAGCGGGGAGTGGTCCCCGCTGGCCTAGACGTCTCCCTCTAGGGGCCCCGGGGCAGCGCTGCGGAGGGAGCCTGCGCCTCACCCACCTTGCCGCTGTCCTGTCCAGGCCTGCCCGCAGCACTGGGCACCACGGCCTCCTGGCCCATGAGGGCGCTGGGCTCTCGGCGCAAGGAGACTGCAGTCACTCCAGCCCCCATGCGAACCCCGCCCACCCGCTGGGAGGCCCGAGGAGCCACGGGTCACACCGATGGCAGGGGAGGCTCCGGGCTCGGGGCGCGCGGCCCTATTGCGCCTTCCGCGGGGACGGCTGCCCGTTGGCCTTGGCCGGCTGGCGGCCTCCAGGCTCAGGCTGGGCGAAGTTCCAGTCCACAGGATGCAGGAGCTGCTGCGTCTTCTTGTGGGTCCAGTAGGGGTTGAGGACCAGGGTGAGGAGAACAAGGCCCACCAGGAAGAGTGCCAGGTGCGGCGGGTACAGGCTGGCACGCAGCGCGGCCCAGTGCCACAGGCACACCCACCACATGTGGTAGGTGAGCACCATGCGGCAGTGGAACATGTGGATCATCAGCCACTGGTTCAGCCGCCACCAGGCCGAGTCAGACCAGCCGGCCTGTGGTGAGACGGAGGAGACGTCAGTGGGCGGCCCGGGGCCAGCCCCCAGCCCCGCATCCACCCCCAGCCCTGGTGGGGCCACATCCACCCCCACTGCGCCCCCCCCACCTCCGTGGGGCTGTTTCCCCCTAGGCCCCCCTACCCCACAGGGCCATGACCCCCCCACTCCCAAGCACACCCCCCCAGACCCCGACAGGGCACAAGCCCTGGCCCAGGCCCCCTCCTGCTTTGCGCTGCTGCAGGGGAGCAGGGGGCGGGGGCAGCGGAGACTCACCTTGAGCAGCATCCAGGAGATGCAGGTGAAGGGCGTGCTCATCTCCAGCAGCAGCGTGGTCATCGCTAGGTAGTGGCCAGCTCTGAGGTTGACCACTGAGCCAAGAAACCCAAGAAAGGCAAAGAGATGGTGGGCGACTAAAAACACATCAAAGGTCCGGAAGAATGCGCTGGACAGGTGAACGGCCACATTTTCGAAGAAAAAGAAGCCGGTGGCCGTGGCCACGTGAAACCAGCACCAGCTCTGCTGGCCGAGCGCCTTGTCTGCCTGCAGCACGGGGTCTGCCAGCATCGCCCACAGGCCGGCGGCCGAGCCCTGCAGGCCGAAGACGGCGCGCGTGGCCGCCAAGTTCCAGAAGACCTTCTCCTTGGCCACCAGTGAGCGGTAGGTGGCGTTCAGGGAGGACGAAAGCTGGTGGCAGACCAGGAAGACCCCCAGGTAGAAGGCGAAGCCGGCGACCACCAACGTGGCGCGGACCTCCCAGGAGGCGTAGTCCAGGTCGAAGATGCTCCCCGATGCCCCTGCAGTGCTGGCGGGGCTCATGTCCGGGGTCACACCAAGGGAGCAGGCAGGGACTCAGGCCTACGTGGCTGCTGGTGCCTAGAAACCGGCGTATCCCGGGGCCTTGCATCCAACCTGCATGGGGCAGACAGCTCGCTGGGCACTGGGACACAAGGCCCCGGCCATGCCCCCTCCAGGCTGCCCCATGCGCCCTGGCACAAACACAGCAGGGGCTGCCCATTGGCCACGGGTTGGGGAAAGCACGGCTGAGGCCCGGCAGCCCGCCCCTCACTGCCACACTCCAGCCTCCCCTCACTGGCCACCACCCTCACCCTCCCGAGGCCACAGTAGACCCTCGGCCTCGGAGTCTCGCTCCTGTCCACCCCTGAGGCTCCCGACCCGGCCTGCCAGGGGAGCACGAGCCCCCCGTCCTCTCACCATGCCCACAGAGAGGGCTCTGAGCCAGGCTCGGCGGGGCCGCACCCCAGGACACGGAGGGTAGTGGAGGACTGACCGAAGCAACCCCGGGAGGCCAGTGTCCAAGCAGTGGGTACAACATGGCTGTTGAGGGAGGCCACGTGCCACACACCCAAGGGCCACACCTCCCAGGCCTCCCAGCCACACCGAGCTGGGCCCAGGCTACTCCAAGTGCCTGCAGGTCTGGGTCAGGCCCACCTGGGCGTCCGTCCATTGGCGGCTGCGGGTTTCTGCCCGGGGCCTCCAGGTGCACTCTGGCCACGACCTGCAGCCCCGGCTCACACCCCTCGGCTGTCCTTCGGGCCTGTCTGCACACAGACCAGGCCGAACCAGAGGACCTGGGAGCACCTGGGCATGTGCAAGCACACATGTGTGCGCGGGCATCTCTCTACCCCGGGTACTGTGACGTCTTAATATCTGACAACCCGTCCTGGCTACGGAGCAGCCCCTCCAGGCAGGCCAACAGCGAGAGGCAGGCCCACAGACCACCAGGACCCGCGCCTATGCAGCCCAGGAGGCCTCACCCTTTCCTGACCTGCCTATCCTGCCCTGCGCCCTGCCCCCCTCCCTTCCTGGGAGCCCCAGGGAAGGCATCTGCCACCAACCACCATGGCAGTCCCTGGTCGGTGAGGCCTCCCGACCCTGGGCTGTGAGGGCCTGGACTGTGGGCTCTCAGCCTCTGCATGTCCTTGTGGCCAAGCCCCGCTGGCGCATCAGGAACCCAGGACCGGCCGGCTCTGCAGTGAGTTACCTGCTGACCCAGCCCTGAGCGTGTTGGGCCGGCCGGGGCACAGAGAGAAGGACGCTTCCCTCCCAAGCAGGGGGGCAACCATGAGTGCTGCTCCCGCAGACCTCAATTTTGCTCCCACGAGTCCATCACAAGACCGGTCAGTTCCCCTTTGCTGGACTGCAGCAGGGGCGGAGCCTGCCCCGGCTGACAACAGCCTGGTCCAGCGGGAGTGGGCCGTACAGCCGGTCCTGTGGGTCAGGTCAGCAGCGGGTCAGGGGCAGCCGGCCTGGCAGGCTCTGGTCTGGGCCGCGCTACCAGCAGGTGCGGAAGCAAGTGCGGGAGGGAGGGGCGCAGAGGGGCAGCACGCACTGGTCCCATGAAGCTCCCCCTGTGTGCTGAGCAGGGGCACCCCACTCCTTTCACCCTCAGAGACCGGCCTTCACAGCCGCTCGGGGCAGCCCAGGCAGGCAGCTACAGGGAGAGCCAGCCGGGCAACCGCCTCCCCCGCCCCCCCCCCCCTGACCCCTGCCCACTGCTGGGCCTTCTGGTCCAACCTGTCCTGGGCCTCTCAGTGCTGCAGGCCAAGAGCATCCCCGCCCCCGCCGCGGGATGCAGGTGAGTCCCTGAGTCACCTGCATACAAGGCGGGCCTCTCTCTCCCCAGGACACCAAGGACAGCCCAGCCCCCCCCCAACCCCCCAGCGGCGGCTACTGGCCTCCGAGGCCGGCAGTGTCCTTGTGGGGGACACACCCCGGCCCCACGCACTCCTCGCGCCCCAGAAGCTGGTGGTCACCGCGGAGGCCGCGCCGCAGGGGCTGCGCCCCGCACCCTGAAGCCCGAGCCCGGGGCCCCCGGGCCCCCGGCCCTCGTCGGGGCTCAGCGGCCCCGCGGCTGGGCGGCCTCCCCGGGCCCGGGCGGCCCGTCCCGGGGTCAGGCGCGGGGCCCCGACGCGCCCGGCGGGTCTGTCCACGGGGCGGCGGCCGGCGCCGGCGCTGGGCTCGGCCGGGAGCGGCCAGGCCTGCGGGCGGCCCTCGGCGCTGCCGCGGGGCCCGGGACCCCGAGGGCGCGGAGAGGCGCGCGCGGACCCGCCAGCGGCCCGGGCTCCGGCCCCCCCGGCCCCCCCGGCCCCCGCGCCCCGCGCCCCGGCCGGCGCCAGCCCGGCTCACTCGGAGGCCCCGGCGCCCGCCCGGGCCGCGCGCGGCCCCCAGACGAGCCCGGCCCCGCGCCCGCGCCCGCTCACCCCGCGCTCCCCGCGCTCCCCGCGCTCCCCGCGCTCCCCGCGCTCCCCGCTCACCCCGCGCTCCCCGCGCCCGCCGGCGTCCGCGTCCCCGGCCCGCCGCCGCCGCCCGCAGGCCCCGCCCCCTGACCCGGCCCGCCCGCCGGCCCGCCCCCTGACCCGGCCCGCCCGCCGGCCCCGCCCCCTGACCCGGCCCGCCGCCGCCGCGCAAGCGCACGCCCAGGTGGGGGCGGCGCCACCTAGTGCGCAGGCGCGGGCCGCTACAAGGGCGCGGGAGGGGGACGCCGGAGGGGGACGCGGGAGGGGGGACGCGGGAGGGGGGACGCGGGAGGGGGGGCGGGCGGGGCGCGCCGGGAGGGGTGCGGGGCGGGTGCCGGTGCGCGGACACGGGAGGCTCTGGACGCTTGGCTCCGGTAGAAGCGGTGGGGCAGGCGGACCCCAGAGTCGCGGGAGTCCGAGACCCCAGAGTCCGCGGGCAAACGGGCCGCGACCCAGCCTCTGTGCCCCCGACCCGCAGGGCCCGCGGCGTAGACCCGGCCGGACGCCGCCCACGGGGCCCCCCGACATTCACGGAGCCCCCTCCACGCCCACGGGCCCCCCGACATTCACGGAGCCCCCCGACATTCACGGAGCCCCCTCCACGCCCATGGAGCCCCCCGACATTCACGGAGCCCCCCGACATTCACGGAGCCCCCCGACATTCACGGAGCCCCCTCCATGCCCACAGGGCCCCCCGACATTCACGGAGCCCCCTCCACGCCCACGGGCCCCCGACATTCACGGAGCCCCCTCCACGCCCACGGGCCCCCCGACATTCACGGAGCCCCCCCGACATTCACGGAGCCCCCTCCACACCCACGGAGGCTCCCGACATTCACGGAGGCCCCAAAATTCACAGAGCTCCCGTGACACTGGGCCTGGGACACCCGCGGGCCCCACACCCAGGGGAGAAGGCGGCGCCGGGCACCAGCCTTGCCCCGCTGTGTGGTGACAGGAGTCGCTTCCTGAGGGGTGACCCAGTCCACAATGCCGGGGGACCCTCTGCCCAGAGCAGCCCTCCGGGTGGGAGCATCATGGTGGGGTGGTGGGCCTGGCCACCGCGTCCTCCTTCCAGAGGCTTCGGGGATGCAGAAGCTGCTGAGACCCGGGAGCTCCCTTTGTGGGGAGAGGGCCAGGCCTGGGGTCAGGCCCCTGCCTCCCCCCCAGCCGCCTCAGGGCACAGCGTCCCGGGAGACGTGCAGGCCGCCCCGCCGGCCAGCAGCAGGCCCTGGCCGGGGCCCAAGCCTGAGTGTCTGCTGGCCCAGGACTGGGGCCGGGTCTCGTGTCCAGGAGCACCTGGGCCAAGTGACCTTCCCCGCCTCACCTGCCCCCTCCCCTCAGCTGAATCTGCAGGGGCCGGGGCGGGTGGCCTTAGGGAGTCCGGCTCCCTGTTGGTCCCCTCCGCCGTGGCCCTGCCTACCTCCCGCATGTGGGGGGCAGCTGCGGGCAGGGCCCCCAGCCGGCGGCCCCTCACCCAGGCGAAGACACGCATCTGAGAGCGGGTAGAGCGGACCCTCCCAGCCCCGGCGCCTCCACACCCGTCCACTGGGTCCTCTGGAAACACACTTAAGCCACCAGCCCCAGGGCCCGCTCTCGAGGCTGCTCCAGCACTCAGACACGCAGGGCTCTCTCTGCGGGAGTGAGGGCCGGGGCTACTGGCTGCAGTTACGGGGGCACCCGAGGACCCCCAAGCCTGAGCTGGGCATCCAGGCCTGCGGAGGCACCCTGGCCGGCCCTGTCAGCCCCTCTGGGATGGTCACCCCTTGGGGGCAGACTGGACCTTCCAGCTGTACTTCAGGGATGGGGCCGGCCAGTCCCCCTCATGCACAGAAGGCACCCACGGCTGCCCTAGCCCCAGGCAGGGAAGCCCGCGCCCTCAGGAGAGGACCCATGACCTACATGGCCTGGGGGGTGCCAGAGGCTGCAGGGGCTGCTGGGCGGGGTGCTGAGGAGGTGGCTCTGCTTCCGCCCCCACAGGGGCTTGTCCCTGTCACCAGCTCTCACTTCAGTGACTATTTCAGGCACAAGTTTATAGGCTCAACCCCCTCCCCCCTCAGTGCCTGTGCACGTAAACAGGACACAGGGACCGGGAAACGGGGGGCTGTGTCCGGTCGAGGCTCAAGGCACCAGCCCCCAAGCGTGTACGGACTTGGCGTAGCTGTGACCCAGCCCAGGGAAGCCAGCGGCCCTGCTTCCTCCCAGAACCAGAACCTCCCAGCCAGGCCGGTTCAGGGTCAGAGAGGAGGATGTGAAAGCGGCTGGCAGACGCCACAGAGGAATGGGGACAGGCTGCCCCACTGCCCCCGCTGCCCTCGAGTGCTGAGCTCGGGCTGTGGCACCCGCCCAGCAGGAGCCTGGCTAACCCCATGAACAAGGCTGAGTCACCCCCCGACCCCCACCAGGGGGAGGGCGCGGCATTGCTGCCCTGGGACGCCTGAGTCCTTGAGACTCCGTTGGAGGGGAGAGGCGGGTGAGCCGGGCAGGCCTGGCGTGGGGGAGTCCTCGCCCTGAGGGAGATAGCCCAGAGCCCCCAACACTCCGAGGAGGCGGCCGGTGAGCCCCCCTCTTCCTGAATGGCCCCTGTGGGCAGAGGGACAGTGCGCTCCAGGCCCAGTGCCCCCTTGACATCGACTGTGAAACCATCACCTCCAGACCCCCCAGCCCGGCCCAGCCCCATCAACACACAAAGTAACAGGGGGGTGTGGGTGTCACAGACCCCCAGAGAAGCCGGTTTGTCTCAGGGTGCACGGGCAGAGCCCGGCCTCTGCCCTACCCCACAGATGTCTGGCCCTGCGGCCCCAGAGCGGCAACGCCAGCACAGACAGCCCTCCTCGCCCCGGGGGGTCCAGAAGGAGAGACGGGGCCACTGACCTTCTGTACTGGACCTACTGGCTGGAGGACCCCTCCAGATGGGACACACGTGCCCCCAACTGGCCTCCTTTAGGGGTCCTGCACCCAGAGCACCCTGCCCCACACCCCAATGGCCAGGCACTGACAAGAAGGGGCTCCTACACCCCAAACAATTTCACTCCCTGCCCCACCTGGGTGGCCCCGCCCCTAGGGCTTCTGTGTGATGCAAGCCGGTCCCTCCCACGCTGGTCTCCCCACACCCAGGCACGCCCCAAACACAGCTGGAGATCAGGCCTGCAACTCTGGAGAAGGAGCCATCCTCCAGCCTGGCCACAGACGTCCCCCAGCCACCGGGAGCCGCGGAGCAGACGCTTCTGTGTGAGGCCCTCGTGCTCCTCAGGGCTGCGGGAGGTGGTTCCCGTCTGCCAGACCTGCAAACCCAAAGGGCTGCCCAGAGCACTCTGCGGGCGAGAGGGGCCGCCAACAGGGTGCTGCAGGAGGGCACTGGTGCCCAGAGCCAGGGAAGGGACACAACATGCGTCACACAAGAACCAGCGCCCCACGTGGCTGCGAGCTTGGCTGGGACACGCATTTATTCCACAATTTAACTTGCTCTGTCTTGGGACACGCCTTTGCCATCATGGCCGTGTTTGGACACAGGCTGCAGTGTCCGCCTCGTGGTCTGGACAGTCCGGCTCCTGCAGCAGCATCCACGTGGCAAGTGTCCGGCCTGGAGCCTGTCCGTGCACAGGACGCCGCAGACACCGAGGGTAGCCGGCCCGTGGCCTGTGGCTGCGCCCCCCGCAGTGGTGCCGGGAAGGAGGGACGTGTGCATAGGCATCCCGGTGGGCACCAAGGACACCGCTGCCAACGCCCAGTGGCCTGGCTGAGGCCGCATCCAGCAGGTGTGTGACAGCCTGGGCTCTGGGCTCGGTCACTGGGGCTCATGCGCCACCGGGGTGTGCCCCCCTCAGGCACTTGCCTGTCACGTGCATGTGCCTTCTTGAGGCCCTGGGGTGTTGCTTAATTTCTCTGTGTCTCAATATCCTTTTCTTTAAAATGACGGTGGTGACTGGACTTGCCTGAAGCTGCTGCGGAGGCTGCACAGGCCCGTAGCCGCCTGGGATGCGCCCAGGCCCAGGCTCCCCATTGCCCTGACCCAGCTGCTTCAAGGGTCCCTGTTTTGTCTCGTGGGGCCTGTGGGACCCCCAAGAGTGCTGGCCAGTCCAGGCCTGCACTGGTCAGTCCTTTCATTCTCACAGAAGCTGGGACTGCCCAGTCTTTGTTTTGTGCTAAAGGAGCAGACTGGAGGGTCACGTGGAGTGATTAAGTTCTTAACCGAAGCGTGTAATTAGCATTAATTGGAAGATGCGTGGAGAAGGCCGGGGAGGCTGCGTCTCTGTCCTGCTGCGGAACACCCCTGTCCATCCACGCTGAGCCTCCGCAAGTCCCTGCCGCGAATCGAGGCCGGACCCCAGGACCCAGGCCGGCAGGCGCCGTTCCCGCCTATTTCAGATGCAGGCATTTTATTCAATGTCTTAGTGAGGCTGCCCGAGCCAGACACTAGGTGATCAAAGGGTTTTGCTGAAAAACAGGAGTTACTTGTGGAGCCTGAGAGGCTGACCTGGAGGTGGGTGCAGTTGGAGGGGAGGTGGGTCCTGCGGGGGGCCGGGTCCTGCGGGGGGGCGGGTCCTGCCAGGGAGGCAGGCAGGGCATCAGCAGAGAGCAGGAGGGAGCGGCTGAGCTCTGCTGGTCAGGGCTTTGGGCTGGTCAGTCCGAGCTCAGTTACCGCGCATGGGGGCCTGCCCGTCATGCTCCGGAAGGCCTGCACCCAGGCGCCCGCGCGTGCCCGTGGTGGAAAAAACAGCACGAGGGCGCACGTGGACGCACGTGGACGTGCACAAGTCCCGGGGCCTCCCGTGTCCATTCCAGCCGTGCTCGTCAGATGCCATGGTAACTGCCACTGGGATGGAAACAGGAAATGACGCAATATCTCCCGTGACCCCGGTCCGGGACCGGCACCCGTGTCCATGTTGTCCCAGGTGGAGTCTCAGATGGCAACTCTGCGCCCCCCAGAATCTACAGGCTGGACCCTAAACCCGAGGGGATGGAGGGTGTGGGAGGCCGCAGAAGGATCAGTGCCTGGTGACAGGAGGAGCGGGCTTCCTGCCCCCCTGACTGGGGGGACCTGGCCGGACAGCCGGTCACACAGGCCCGGCACAGGAGCCCAGAAGCCAGCCTCGTGGGCGCGTGCTGCCCCTCCCCGGTAGGGCTGGGCCTCCACGTCCAGAGCAGCCTGCGGGGCTCAGGGTCGGCCCGCCCGAGTGCGGACACTCCCAGCCCAGATGCCCTCTGAACGTGGGGGGCCAAGCAGTCCCTCTGCCCGGGGCGTGGTGGCCAGGAAAGTGCTGACCAGGCCCTGTGCACTCTCCCTGACCAGCACGTCTCCCCAGGACTAGGCTTCTCCTGGGAACCAGGCCCAATGGTTCTGGACACCTCAGGCCTGGACTTCCCTCCGTGGCCCCTGGAAGCAGCCCCCGGCCAGGAGCCCGAGGCCCAGCAGGCGACCTTCAGATCCAGGCTCTCCGCTCCCCAGGCCAGGCCGACCTCGGGCTGTTTATCAGCCTCCGGGCCTGGCAGAGGCTTCTGCGGGATCCCCTGGTGGGGGGCGAGGCCCCGAGACCCCTTCCCGGGAGCTGATCCCGCTGATACACACCAGGGCCGCCGCCCCACACCAGGCTCCCTGCCCCGCACCCGCGCTCTCTGTCCGCACCCCCACCTCTCTGCACCCCTGCTGGGCGCCCCCAACCCGTGTCCCCCCCAACCTGCCCCAACTGCTACCGTCCCGTGCCAGCACCACCCCGCCCACGCCCGAGGAGGGCGCCCTGGAGTCCGCAGGCCTTTGTGGGCTCTCACAAGCGAAAACCAGGGAAACCAGACAGGAAATAAAACGCAGCATTGAAATAAACGAAGAAACAGAGTAGGGGTGGGGGTTCTGGTTTGAGGCCCAGTGGAAGGTACTGGGGGGCTGCAGCTGTGAAAGTGGGTGAGGAGGAGGCCCCGCAGCACAGGCGCTGGGTGCTCGGCTGCCCCTGAGCTCACAGGCGGGTCCGGCCGTCCACGCCCCGGCCGCACTGGGGTGGGCTCTGGAGCCTCAGGTCTCGCGGGGCCCTGGCCTCTGTGGGTCCCCCAGCTGGGCGGGGCGAGCCCAGCATACTCAGGTTTTCCTGCAGGACCCGGGGTGCGGTCTGGGCCCCCCGGCAGGCCTGCTGCTCTGGAAGGCTCTTGGGGCCCCCTGCACCCTGCGCGGACTCGGGGTCTGGGGCGGGCGGCGCCTGTCTGGGCAGGGTCCCTGGGCTCCTGGCCACCAGCTGGTGCCAAGCGGCCTCCCCTCTGGGAGGGAGCTGGACCCAGAGAGGGGCTGTCACCCAGGCCCCTCCAGTGCCCTCGGGACACCGCCCTGGCCCCCGGGGCCTCCCCTGGCCCATGGGGAGGTGCTCTGGGGACGACCCCAGTGGGGCTCCCCGGGCTGGCCCTGCCCCTCCCAGAGCACCAGGCCCTGCCCCCTCTCGCCTTCCTGCCCCCTCTGGCCTCGGGGCCCTCCAGCCAGGACCTGTGCACCTGCACCCGGTGCTCCAGCTGCAGCCGCCCCGCGGCCCGTCGTCCCTGGGGTCCGCTGCCCCACTCCAGGCTGCTCCTCTGTTCAGGCCCGTGCACCCCAGTGACACCAACACCGTCCCCACCGCCTTGGAGGGCCTGGGAGGAGCCCCGCGGCCGGAGGGGGTCTGGGAGGAGCCTCCCCAGGGCTGGCGGGGCGTGGGGCGCAGTCTCCAGGCCATAATTTCCCGACGTGTCACCTTCAGGTTCACTCTCTGTCCCCCTCAGGCTGAGCTGGGGTGCAGCGATGAGGCCCCACCTGGGGGGAGCTGGGGATCCCCGCTCTGTTCTCCCGTCACCTGGAGGCCCCTGGGGTCCGGGGCGAACAGCAGGGACGCCCGGCCTCGCCCCTCCCGGCCTTCCTGGCGCGCCCGGCCCCCTCCCCCCCCCCCTCCTCCCGGGCCCCGGGGCTGCCGCCGCGGGCAGGACCCGCAGCTGGGCACGTTCCCCGGGCAACGCCGCGGTGCCCACCCTGTGCTCCCCCGGCGGGTCGCCCCGGCTTCGGTGGGCCGGGCCCCCCGCCCCCCAGGCCTGCCCCCGCGCCCCGCGCTGTCAGGGCCCGGCGCGCCCGCCCGCGGCCCCGTCCCGGCGCAGAGGGGGGCGGCGCTCGGGGCGCCCGGCGGGGGCCGGCGGGGGTGGGGCGCGCCGGGCCCCGGCTGGTTTGGGGGACCGCGCGCGGGGCTGCCGGACGCCTGCTCCGCAGAATGCCGCGCTTTGGTCGTGCGAGAGTCGGATCCGTTGCGCACAGCGCGGGGTGCGCACGTGCCGGGAAAACGACAGCGGCCGCCACGGACTCGGGCCACGGAAGGGGCCACGCGGAGGCCGCCCCGCGCGCAGCCCCGCGCCCCCCGCCCCGGCCCGGAGGACCCCCGCCCCCCGCCCCCCGCCCAGGCTCAGAGGCCCCCCACGCCCCCTCCCGGCCGCGCCCCGGCCGCCCCCGCCCCGCAGCTCCGCGGTCCGGCTGGGAGGGCGCGGCCACACCCGGCGACTCCTCAGGAGGACCCCGAGGGGCTGAGCCCGCGCCCCGCGGCCGCCTCAGGCCCTGCCGCGGCCTCGGGGTCGCCACGCGGCGTCTGTGCTGGGGGCCCCGGGTGGGGGGGGCAGGTCGCCCCGCGGCCGGCACCGGGACCGCGAGGCCGGGGGTCCGCGTGGGGCTGGAGCCGCGTCAGCCCCGGCCGGCCTCGGGCCTGCAGGCGCGGGGTCTCCGGGGCGTCGAGGGGAAGGGGTGCGGGGTCCGGGCGCGGCGCAGAGGGCGAGGCCCGGGTCCCCCGGCCGCCCCCAGCGCCCCCATCCGCGCCCTCAGCGCCCCCATCCACGCCCGGGGCGCCCCCATCCGCACCCGGAGCGCCCCATCCGCGCCCGGGGCGCCCCCATCCACTCCCGGGGCGCCCCCATCCACGCCCGGGGCGCCCCCATCCACTCCCGGGGCGCCCCCATCCACGCCCGGGGCGCCCCCATCCGCGCCCGGGGCGCCCCCATCCACTCCCGGGGCGCGGCGCGGGCGGGAAGCAGCCGGCGCCGGACACGACTCGGTTCAGGTGTTTATTCAGGTAGAAAAATGCTTCGGACACTCCGGGGCGCGGGGCTCGTGATAGAAGAATAGTTCAGGGCCTTTTTTTTGCATTTTTCAAGGATATACATTCGTACTGATTTTTGCTTCCAAATATATTTTAAGGCTGTTTGGTAAAACATATACCGGGTCTGAGGCTCGTGTCCAGTGTCCTAGCGGGGCTCTTACCTACTCGGCTTAGAAAAGTAGACTCTGAAGCTGAACATGCTCTGGCGCGGCCTCGCGCTGCTGCCCCGCGAGCCCCGAGGCGCGTCCACCGCGGCCGCGACGGGGCGGGGGCGCGGGGCTGAGTCGGGCCCGGGCGAGCGGCCCGCGGCCGGCGGGTCATGCGTGTCCGAGGGCCGCGCCCGGGCCTGTGCGCCCGGGGAGGCGTCGCCCCCGCGGCAGGGGCTGCTCGGCCCACGTCGCGTCGTGAGCCCCGACGGGCGGCGGCCGGGGGCAGCGCTGTCCCGCGGGGGGCCTGGGGCCGCCGCCGGGTCCGGGCGCGCGTGGCCGGTCAGGCGAAAGGACGCGCCGCGCGACCGCTGAAGTGACAAAGGAGTAAAAACCGCGGCGCCGCCCCGCGCCCAGGGCTGCCCGGGCTCCGGCCCGGCCCCCCGCAGCTGCTGCCGTCCTCGCCCCGCGCGTCACACCGTTTATAAAAATATAAATAACCAATGTCGGCGGGCTCGTGTCCAGAGGGCTCCGGTCCCCTGAGCCAGAGCTCGCAGCGGGGTCCGCGCCCGCCTGCAGCGCCCGGGCGGGATCGCGGTGGTGTGAGCGCGGGCGCGGGGGCGCACCGGCTCGCGGGTGTGCGTGGTGTGGAGTGTGCATGCGTGTGGTGTGTGCACGCCTGCATGACGCATGTGCACAGGTATGTGCACATGTGGCCAGTGCATTGTGTGTGTGAGTGGCATCGTGTGGCGTGTGCACACAGGCTGTGCGTGTGGAGGTGTGGCTTGTGCATGGTGTGTGGTGTGCACACGTGTGTATGTGTTGTGTGGGTGTGGGTGTAGTGTGGCATGCGTGCATGGGTGTGCCATGTGCTTGTGTGATGTGCAGATGTGATGTATTTGCACAGGTGTGTGGTGTGTGCATGTGCACGCGCGTGCACATGTGCGGCACAGGGGACACAGCAGAGGGGGCGGTGGCAGGATGGGGTGGCTCCGGGGCTGGCGGCAGCAGCTCAGAGCCTGGTCTGGGCCTCGGGGATGTAGATCTCGATGCTGTCCGCACGCTCGGTGGCGGAGTTCTGGCGGAAGGACGCAGCCCTCTTGGCCGCCATCAGCCGTCTCCGGGCCTCCTGGCGCTGTCTGTCCGGCAGGTCCAGAGACTTCTCTCTCGTGATAGGAAATCTCCCTTTGAGGGGCTTCTTTGGTATCGGAGGGGGGATCTTCCGCTCTTCCTGAAAAGCAGCACAGGCGAGGGTGGGTCAGGGCGCCCGGCGGCTGCGAGGCAGGTGCCGGGGCACCCTGGCTGGCCTCTGCAGGCCAGGGACCCCCACCTTCATCCGTGGTCCCCCCAGGCCCTGGTCTGGTCAGCACTCCCCTGGTCAGGAGGCCACAAGCCAACTTCCGGGACACACAGGGGCCACAGCCAGCTTTTCATTAAGAGCTTAAAGGCCCTTACACAAAACACGTGTGCTCACAAGTGCACACACACGTGCTCACACGTGTACGCACTCACCACACAAGGCACATGCACACTCATGCATGTGCGCACTCACACAACGCACCCATATGCATACATGCAGCATAAACATGTACACACCACACACAGACATGCAGAACCACACACATGGCAACACAGGAACATACTATGAACACACACATGAAAACACACGAAACAAGGAAACACAAATGGGACAACACACATGTGTGCGCTGAACACTTGTGAACACGTGCACAGTGCACACACCCATGCCGTGTAGACAGACACGTGAGCACATGTGTGCACAGTCCGCATGCACACGCCAGCAGTTTATGGACACACGTGCAGAGCCAGCAGTTTATGGACGCACATGTGGAGCCCCGCGGCCAGGAGCACACACAGCCGCGCGGACACACGTGGCCTCACGCCCACGGGGGATGCCACCGGGCTCACCTTCCTCCCCGGGGACTCGACGGCCTTCCAGTCGTTGAGCTTCAGCCGCTGCAGCTCGTCGAACTTCATGCTGACGTCCTCCACGGACAACTGCAGCATGTCCCAGTAGCCCGCCAGGTCCTGGGAGGTGGGCCTGGGCATGGCACTGGGGTCCTGGGGACACACGCGGGTCAGTGAGAGGGGGCTGAGGCTGGGAGCCGCCGCGGCCGACAGTGCCGTCCCCGCAGGACCCAGCAGCGTCCACTTGACGGCGCTGTGAGGAGGCCTTGTGCTCAGGCGCCGCCAGTCCCAGGAAAGGCGCGGCTGGGGCAGGGAGGTCAGGGCGGGGCTGGAGGGCGCCCTGGCCCGCAGGACAGTGACGTCGTCCGCGGACGTCCAGCCCCCAGGGCCCCCCAGGACTGTGGCCTCGGCTGCCGGTCAGTGCCCCAGGGCGGCGCCCTGCTCCCCCTCCTGTGCACCAGACTGCTCTCAGCAGCAGGCTTGGGCAGCCAGGCCAGTGCGTCCCTGGGCCAGCGGTGGGGGCATGCCTGGCCCGTGAGCAGGGCCGGGCCTTGGGAGCCCGTTGTGGGCCGCCCCCGTGTCTAGTCCACTCGCCGCGCAGCGCCTGTCAGGCCCGGGGCTGGGAGGAGGACACGGCTGGGAGGGTCACAGATGCATCCTCCCTGGGTCCTCGGTGGGCAGTGGTAGGGCTCCTGCCGAGAGGGCTGGTCCCTCCTGGGGCTCCGGCCTCCTCGCCCGAGCCCCTCCCCGCACCGCCCCGGGCGGCCTCAGCCTGGAGGCACCATCAGCCTCTGGCTCTGGGCTTGACCCCACCGCAGAGTCTGTATGTGGGGAGTAGGAGCAGGGCCACGTGTCTAAGAGAAGGGACTTGTTAGAGTCGTTCCTGGGACCCGAAGTGCTGGCAAGTGGCCACCCCCATGGGGAAGGGCAGCCGGCACCGGAGCACCACCAGCCACGTGAGCATGATTAGATATTTCCCGGAAAAATACCAGATGAAGGCGTGCTTCAGTCGGCTGAAGGCCAGTGTGCACGCACAGGTGTATGTGAGCACAGGTGTGTGTGCTCACAGGTGTATACACACAGGTGTATGGGAGCACAGGTGTATTTGCGCACAGGTGTATGGGCACACAAGCCATGCACCTCTATCTACACATGGACCCAGCACAGCTGCAGTGCACACATGTCCGTGTAAATAGGCAGATACATGTCTGTGCTCGTGTGTGTACATGGATGTTGACAGGTGTGTGCAGAGGGCTAGGCAGCTGCACACCTGTGTGGCCTCTTGCTCCTGTCTGGGCCCCAGGGCTGAATTTGGGCCAGAGCACCAGTCGCCCAGGGGCACGGAGCCAGGTCTCGCTGCCCGTCACGTCCCCTGCAGGCCGTGAGCTGCTGGGTACGTTGGTCAGTCTTGGGAGCAGCTTACTCCCCGCCCAGGGTCGGAACAGCCCACCCTGCCCTCCCGTCCAGCCCCGGAGCCCTCAGCGGCTTCCCCACCCCAGGTAGGGGCGTGCCCCCGCTGGGAGCCCTGGGCGCCACCTCGTCTGGCTGAGCCCGGCAGGCCCCAGGAGGCGACTCACCATGTTCTGCTGGCAGAGCCAGTAAAACTGCTGGAACTTCTGGGACATCAGCAGCTGGGCGCTCCCCACCGCACTCCTGATCTTGCCGAGGGCTGCGGGGACAGGCGACACGTCAGCCTGCGCGGGAGAGCTAGCCCGGCCCGGCGCCTCGGCCCCTCCGGGAGGCCAGCCTGCCTGGGGTCTGTGCTGAGCCCACGGCACCGTGTCGGACATGGCTCGCAGCCTTGACAGGCCCCAGAGGCCCTGAGGGGTGCGCACTCAGGGCCCGCTCCTCTGGGCAGCGCCAGGCCTGGCAGAGGCCCGTGTGGGGTGCGGGTGCCTGGCAGCCGCCCCTGCAGAGCCGCCCCCAGCAGCAGACTCTTCAGCGGGCGGCGGGGGGCTCAGAGGGCCTCGGTGTCCTGCCTGGACCTGCAGGCAGAGAGCAGGGGCCGCTGGGCCGGGAGGGGCTGGCCGATAGGGCTCCAGCCGAGGGGGGCCTGGCCCACTGCCAGGGCACCCATGCACGGGGCCGGAAGTGCTGCGCGCCCTCTGGGTGTCTGGCGTGATGCCAGCGCGACTCCCCCAAATGCGGGGCCACGCGGTTTTAGAAAACCAACATATCCAGTCGCTAGAGAACTCGAGGGAGGGAGGGAGCGGCGCCCACCAGGACAGCCTTGGGCCCCGGCTCGCCCACACGCTCGCCTGGGCCCACGCAGGGCGCTCTGGGAGGCCCAGACCCCGTCGCCAGGAGGCCTTGGCCGTGTACCCGCCTGGACAGCCCTGACCCCGCACAAGGCAGCTGCTTACTCTCCTCAGAGAGGTCCTTCTCCTCCGCCTCCCGCTCCATCTCGGCGCACCAGCCTTCCATCCGCTTGGTCTCCGAGTGCAGCAGCTGCAGGAACCAGGCGCCGTCCCGGCGGCAGGGGGACATGCGGCCACTGTCCACCGGCTCCACGGCTGGCTCCAGCCAGGGCTCGGGCGCCGGGAGGCTGGTGGTGTCCACGGGCGCCCGGTAGTCCTCACGGTAGCTGAAGAGCCCCTGGGTGCGCACAGTCCGCACCGCCCCGTACTGGGTGGGGGTGCTGGGCTCCGAGCGCCGCTGGAAGGGGGAGCCGAACTGCAGCCCCTTGTCCTCCGTGGGGACCGGGCCCGGGAAGCCCTCCAGCTCCAGGTCAGCCTGCACGGCGGCCGTCACGCTGTTGGAGCGCTTGAAGCGCCCGTGTCTGCAGAGCAGGGGAGACATGCAGAGCCGGCCCGCAGCCCCCCGCTCCCGCCGGCCTGGGCCCCGTCATCCCCGGCCCTGCCACCCCCACTCGACCCTGCCACCCCCCGGCCCTGCCATCCCCTGGCCCCGCCGCCCGCCGGCCCTGCCGCCTGCCCGGCCGCCACACCTGGGGAGAGGAAGGCTTTCATCCCGATGAGTTGCACTTGGGCAACTCAGTGCAAATAATCCCGAGAGATTTAGGGTCACTGTGGGAGGCAATGAATGACGGGACCCCAGCGACTGTCCAGAAAGGCCACCTTCCTGCACAACCTGAGCCTTCCGCAGCTCCACTGCCATCTGCTTGGAAGCAGGGCCTGCTTCTCCTTCTGTAAAGTGAGACCTGCTGCACCTCATTAAAGCGAGGCCTGCTACCGCTATGTAAAGCGAGGCTGCTGCTCCTCATGTAAGGCAAGGACTGCTGCTCGTATGCAACGTGAGGCCTGCTGCTCTCATGTAAGGCGAGGCTGCTCCTATGTAAAGCGAGGCTGCTGCTTCTATGTAAAGCGAAGCCTGCTGCTCCTCATGTAAAGCAAGGCTGCTGCTTCTTATGTAATGCGAGGCCTGCTGCTCCTGTGTAAAGCAGGCCCGCCGCCTCCTCATGTAAAAGCGAGGTCTGTGGCTCCTTATGAACAGCGAGGCTGCTGCCCCTATGGAAAGCGAGGCCTGTGGCTCCTTATGGAAGCTGCGGCCTGCTGCTCCTATGTAAAGCGAGGCTGCTGCTCCCATGTAAAGTAAGGCCTGCTGCCGAGTGACCGTCCGTCCCCGCCGCGGAGCTTGGGACGAGCCTATCACAGGCAGCACAGGATTCCTCTCTGAATAACCTGGGATCCCTTCTAAGTCTTTTGGCAAAGTAGTGAATCCAAATTTTGACCCCGCAGGCGTTTGGAACATCGGCACAGTCTGTTGGACGTCACAGGGTTCGTTACCGAGAGGACTGGCGGGGATGAGCTTGTCAGTGGAGACCGGATAGTCTCGGGGGAGGCCTGTGGGTTTGAGTGTGGGTGTGAGTGTGCCTGGTTATAGGCGTGTGTTACATGTGAAGTGTTTATGTATATGCGTGTGACTGTGTGTTATGTGAATGTTCTGAGTGCACACATGCACACACATGTGAGCAGGGATGTACATCTCTGCGTGAGCACTTGTGTACACATGAGTATCGTGAGGGTTGCACATATGTGTGAACACGTGTGTGTGGGTGTGTATACGTATGGGCAGGTGAGCTGATGTGTGCAGGTGTGTGAGTGTGCACACGTGTGTACATGTGGTCATGTGTATATGTGTTAGTGTGTGCTGTGGAGGTGTGCATGTGTGAGCGGATATGCACGTGTATATGTGGAATGTGAACACTGTGAGCATATCTGTGTATGTGTGTGCACACGTGTGAGTATGCATGTGGGTGTGCACATGCGTGAGTAGATGTGCGTATGTACATGTGAGTGTGCACACTGTGAGAGGGAGCATATGTGTATGTGTGTGAGCACACATGTGAGCGTGTGTGTGTGCGTGTGTGTGAGTTGAGTGTCCGTCCGTGCAGCTGGCTGTCGGCAGTGGCCCTGCCCGCTGTGCCCTGGTGTGAGTGCGGACGCCCACCTGGCGTCCACTCCCCTTGGGCCGCGGTGCTCCCGGTGGGGAGTCCCTTCGCAGCGGGCACCGCCTTGCTCTAAGGCAGGACGTGGGCGGGTGCGGACTCGGGCCGGGCCACAGCAGCGGCCACGTGGCCGCCCGGGAAGGCAGGACGCGGGGCCCGCGAGTTACCGCTTCTCGTCCTCCACCTGCACGCCCACCGAGTGGTACTCCCGCAGGCCCCGGCTCTCCGTGTCCGAGTCGGTCGCCGTCTCCACCTGGACAACACAAATAGGCGCATTAGCACGACACACGCCTGGTGGGACGTGGTGCGGCCGGGCAGCGCCGCCGTGGAGGGTGAAGGGGTGGGGGGGGTATGGGGCCTCCGCAGCCTCTCCTGGCCTCTCTCAGGGCCCCACGCTGCACTGGGCTTTAACCCCTCGTGGGCACAGCCGCCCCTCAGCTCCGGCAGAAGCTGGCCTGGCTGGCGCCGCCTTCCAGGGACCCCGACCACAGCGGACAGGGAAGGTGCCGGCCATGCCAGGCAGGCCGCCCAAGGCAGGGACACGGAGAGGGGCAGTGCGCCGGCAGGTCTCCACCCTGGCCCCGGGCGGGGCTGGCCGCGGCAGCCCACAGACCCACCCCACCTACGTGCGCGTCCTGGCGACGGCGCCTGGCCCATGTCTCCTGGACCCGTGGCATCGCCTCAGTGGTAAGCGCTGTGACGTGCACCCGAGAGCCTCGAGCCCCCAGTCGGCCACCGCAGGGCCGTCAGTCACTGGATCACCCACAGAAAACACCGGCGGCGTCTTACCCGGGCCTGACCCTCCCCAAATGGCACAGCCACGGGGAGGGTCCGATGCCCTTAGAGGCCCTAGGGACTGCCCTGAGGACCACCTGACTGCGGGGCCGGGGCAGGAGGGTGCTGGGCCCTGCGGCGGGCAGCTGGGGTTGAGGGGCTTTGTGGTTGCCGGGAGCATTCCTGGCTCACGGCAGGCGCCATGCTGGGGTGCCTGCGGCGCTGGGGCTGAAGAGGAGCTGGTGGACCCAAGGAGGGATCCGGCCTGCGTCAGCCACCCCTGTCTCAGGCTGCGGCTCAAGTGCCCCATGCGCTGGCTGCAGAGTTAAAGGCTCGTGCCCCGGACAACTCACGGCCACCCGCCCAGTCCTGCCTGTCCAACTGTCAGCTGCACTTGGCCAGCTGCTGCCCGCCCCGGGGAGGGACGCCCTGGCACGGCTCGCACCATTCCCTGGTGCCGCTTGGACCCGTCTGCCAGTCGCTGCGACCAGCCGGGCCAGTCCTAGCAGGGGCGCCAGATAGGGAGCCACAGGGCGCCCAGGGGAGTCCAGGGCAGTCACGGTTCTTACTGGGACTTCTTGGATGCGGTGGCCCCGAATCCTGACGATGGTGTGGGGCTTTTCCAGGCTCTGTTCTCAGGGGAGCTGAGGGGACGGGGCTAGTGAGCAGGGCACACTCGGGGCCACGCCCCGACACGGACACCCATTCACATGGTGTCGGTGCTGGGGAGCTGGCATGGGCCAGCACAGCCATGGCGCCCAAGCCACGCGAGGGGCCTGTCAGTGAGCCATCCCGAGTCCACCCCACCCCACGTCCAAAATGGATGGAACGGGCCTCCCCTGGTGGCGCAGCGGTTGAGCGCTGGGCTGTGAAGCTTCCTGCAGCTTCTGCAGCGCTGGTTCGATCCCCGGCCACCACCGAGGGTCCCACATGGCGCGCAGACCTCTCCTGCCGCCCGCTGCTCCCCTCAGCAGTGTCCTTCGGTCCTTCTGCCTGCTCTGCTCCCCGCTCTGGCTCTGGTGGATTCTCTCACCCTCCCGCGCTTCTGACTGTACCCAGTGCTTGTATAAATAAATGAATAAATCTTTAAAAAAATACAAAATGGACAGAACGATGAGGCCTTAGCTGGGCGGCGGGCTCCCTGCTCCCTCAGGCGGGCCTGCCTGGTGGGGCTCGGCCCCCCGTGTCTGGGGCCCCATGTGTCTGTGGGGACGGGCGTCTCCGTGGCAGGGGATGCTGGACTCTACGCCCTGTGCGCAGCCCTGGTGACTTATGAAGTTCGGGAGGGAGGCGGGTGCAGGACGGGCAGTGTGCTGTAGGGGGCACTGCAGGCTGTCCCCGTGGGATGGGCGGCCAAGGGGACTGAGAGTTCAGAGAAACAGGTGGGTTCCAGGAGAGACCCCGAGGGCCGAGCTGCAATCACTGCACCTCTCCCAGACTCGCCGCTGACCTGCGTCCAGGAGGTGCCCGTGCCCCCGCCCTCGAGGGAAACGGCAGGAGGGGAGGAGGGTGTGTGCGCAGGTGTGCCAGGCAGCACACACTGAGCCGGGGCCGGTGGGGCACGCACCATGTGCACACACGAGCCGTGATGTGGAGCTGCCCATGAGGGTGCATCACCTGCCCTGCCCTCTCCTTGGCCCTGACTTGCCTCCTAAAGGGTCCCCACTCTCCTGAGTCCCTGCTTCCTCCAAACATTTCTGGGGCGACGCCCTCTTGCCCACTGGGCCGTGTAGGGGACGAGCTCCTTGCGGTGGGGACACAGCCTCCCCACGTCCATGCCTGACAGCGGCCACGGCAGGCCCCCGGGCAACGTGCAGCCCGGCATTCAGGGGACAGGTGGGGTGGCGTCGGGAGAGCTTTGGGGCCTGGGGTGCTGGGTGTGGCGGGAGCCTGGCAGCAGGGCAGCAGGTCTGGTCAGCCCAGGGCCGGGCTCCGCGAGAACTGCGGGAGGATGTGGCGCTCCCCACCGTGGCAGCCCGGTTGGGGTGTCCAGCCATGCCCCACTGCACCCTGCTCCATCTGGGCGGGTGGGCGGCCCGAGGGGCAGCAGCAGGGTGTGTGGCCCACCGCCCGGTACCCCTCCTGGTGTGTGGGAGCGTCAGCATGGGGCCGGGGCTGCTGCTGGTCCGCAGGGTAGGCCAGGGGCAGGCCGGGCCCCACCGCAGTGGCCTGCCCAGCACAGGCCCCGGCCGCAGGCTTGCGAGGGCACAGACAGGCCGTGTGGGCTCTGACGGGTCGGGCGCGGTGGCTCTGGTACTTACATCTGACCTTGGGTATGGCTGGTGGTCTGGGAGCTCAGAGTCCTGGACAAAACAACGGAGCCACGGTGTGGGGGCCTGGCGCGGCAGCCCGGCGCCCCCGCGCCCCCGCGCCCCGGCTGGCTCCTCGCCCTCCCCCCCGGGGCCCTGGGGTTCGGGGTCAGACTCCCAGCCACACGGGCGGCGAGGGTGTGCAGGAGGGAGGGCCGCGTCTGCAGGCTGCGGCGCCCACGGCCCTGGCCAGAGCGCGCGGAGGCAGGGCCGGGTCCCTGGCAGGAGGGTGTGCCCGCCCGGCACTGTCCGCCTCTGGCCCCCGACGGGCGGGCCGCGTGGAGGCAGGGGAGGCCCCCGGCGAGTCCGGGCGGGACCGCGGGTCCCCCCCGGGCTCAGGCTCGAGGTCGGCGCGGGTGGCCGCTCGGCCGCACCCCGGCCGCTGGGAGCGCCTCTGCCCGGCGCCTGAGCCCATGGCGACCCTCGTTTTGTGCGAAAAGGGTTTCCTCTCCTCTACCGCTTTCCCCCAGGGCCTCTCCCCTCAACTGCTGGGCCTGGAACTCAGAAGTGTTGAGAAACCAGATCGCGGCCCAGAGCCGCCCTGCGCCGGGCAGCCCCGCGACTCGGCCGGGTGGGGCGGGGCGGGGCCGGGCGGGGCGGGGCCTGGGGGCGGGGCGGGGCCTGGCGGGTGGGGCGGGGCCTGGGGCCGGGGCGGGGCCTGGGGCCGGGGCGGGGCCTGGGGGCAGGGCGGGGCCTGGCGGGCGGGGCGGGGCCTGGGGGCGGGGCGGGGCCTGGGGGCGGGGCGGGGCCTGGGGCCGGGGCGGGGCCTGGGGCCGGGGCGGGGCCTGGCGGGCGGGGCGGGGCCTGGGGGCAGGGCGGGGCCTGGCGGGCGGGGCGGGGCCTGGCGGGCGGGGCGGGGCCTGGGGGCAGGGCGGGCCTGGGGCCGGGGCGGGGCCTGGCTGGCGGGGCGGGGCCTGGGGCCGGGGCGGGGCCTGGCGGGCGGGGCGGGGCCTGGCCTGCGCGCGGGAGGGCCCGGCGGGAGGGCGGTACCTGGATGCCCACCGACGCGTGCCGGCTCTGCAGGAAGGCCTCGGCCTTGGCGGCCAGCATGGCCTTGTCGCTGGTGCGGGCTGAACCCTCCAGGCGCTGGGCCGCGGCCGTCTCCAGGGCCAGGCTCAGGGCCTTGGTGCTGTCCAGGCTCTCTGTGGAGTCGTAGAGGCCTCGGCCGTCCTGGGCCCAAGGGGTGCCCCGCTGGGCACGGCCATCCTGGTAGGCGTCCTGCGTGGACTCGGTGCTGCTCTGGGCGGTCACCGAGATCAGGGGCTTAGAGGTGGTCCGGGGAGGAACGGGGGGTGGCGTCTTCTTGTAGTTTGTATACGGGACAGCTGGGGAAAGAAAACCTCGTCAGCCAGCGCTCCTGCCCGCGCCCGGACACCCAGCCCAGCGCAGTCGCCCGGCTCTGCCCGAGAGAACCGGGAGGCCTGGTGCCTCGGCGGCGTCTGCAGCCTCGCGGGCACCTGCTGACACTGAGGGACAGAGCTCGCAGCGACCGCCCAGTCGGGACGGCGGTGCCTTCTGGGCGGGCTCATGCACAAGGAGCGGGTGATGACCCTGGTGCCCTGCCAGAGCCACACCTGCTTTTCCTCCCTCCTGCCCCACCACTGTGCCCAGGGGTACACAGCCCCAAGGGCGTGCCAGCCCAAGGCTACCTGTCCCGCTCTCCAGGACCCTTGAGGCCATCTGGGGGCATTCACGGGAGCCTCCACCCCTTCTGTGCATTGGACCTCGGGCAGCGACAGCTGGCGCAGCCTCCTGCCCCTCCCCTCAAGACCAGAGGGAGCGTGGGCTGCTGGCACCTCTCCCTGGGGCAGCCACTCCAGGCCTCTCGCTGGGCCTCCCTAATGCCCTGGGCCCCCAAGAGTGGAGAGCTGGCACAGCCACCCATCCACACCGTTTCAGGTCAGCCAACCTCTCTCGAAGACACTGGACATCTGGAAGGGGCTGAGGGGTGCTGGCCGCATCTCTGAGGGGTTCCTGCCCTCGGGATCTGAGGGGGAGGTGCTCAGTCAAGCCCCGGAAATCCTTATCTCTTCACAGATCTCTCTGTAACGTCCGCAAAAGCCCAACCATAGATGTAAGAGAAACAAATAACAATAAATACCTAAGTCTTGAGGATAACACACTCCACGTGGGAGAGAAACAGATTTGGAGACACCGCAGGCACCAGCTGGGCACCAAGGCCAGTCGCCTCCAGGCATCGGCCCGCCCCAGGGAGGCTATCCAGGCAGACAACAGATCTGCCTGCTGCCCAGCCGGCTGAATGAGCCTGAATTTTATGACGGAAGAACTAAGCATCGGTTGTCCGTCCTGGGTGAGCAGAACCTGAGCGCATGAAGGCAGAGGCTTCCTGGAGAGCTGCGGCCCACAGGCTGGCGGTCCAGGGGACGGGAGCACACTCTGGGCGACCCCAGCTGCTCCATCCGGTCGTCTGGGAGGTGGTAACTGTGCAAGGTGGACACAGTCAGGGCATGGCCATGCACGACGGCAGCCGGTCCAGGCCCATGGCCCGCCCCTGCACACAAAGCGCTTCAGGCACACGCCCAGGCACCATGTCTAGCTCAGCTGGATTCCGTGAGTGCCAGGTCTGCAAGCCCACGGACACCCCCAGATAGCCGTGCAAGTCTCACCGGGACGCAAGTGACCAGATACTGTCACAGAGGGGTCCCCAGGAAGGGGGAGTTTCCAGGTTCCTTGCCCCACCCAAGGGAGGGTGGAGCTGAGCAGGGAGAGTAGGAGCTTGCAGAGGAGACTGGGAAGGAAAGAGCAGGACAGAGCGGGAAGGAGACCTGGAGGAGGCACGTGGAGCTGAGAGACACATGGAGAAATTGTGCTGCCTTGTGGTCAGGGATTGGGTGACACAGACGTGGGTGACTCAGGAGGTGACAACGGCAGTTTTTGTCTTGATTTTGATTTTGCTCTTTTCTTCCCAGACTTCTCTGGTTGTTTCTGATGCTTTTATGTGGGTCCTCACTGGAAGGTGCTTTAGACTTGGGGCAGCTTTGGGGCCTTGCTCTAGGCCAATCCTGCTTGGGTGGACTTTTACCCCTGAGGGGACGGGTGACTCCGGGTGCTTGATTTAGAAACTGTGTTCTTTGGGCCTCCCCGGTGGCACAGGTGGTTGAGCGCAGCACTGTAAAGGTGTCTGCAGCCTCTGCAGCGCAGGTTCAATCCCGGCCCGCCGTCGAGAATCCCACATGGCGCGGCAGACCTCCCCTGTCTCGCCCGCTGCTCCCCTCAGCAGTGTACTTCGTCAGTCTGCCCGTTGTGTTTTCCACTCTGTCTCTGGTGAATCCTCTCACCCTCCCGTGCCTCTGGCCTGTACCGCAGTTCTTGTATAAATAAATAAATCTTAAAAAAAAAAAAAGAAACTATATTCTTTGCCTTTCCTGTGTTGTTTCCTAATTGTATTAAAGTTCCTTCCCATTAAAGTCTCCTATGTTTTGTGTTGATGCCCAGGGGTACACAGCCCCAAGGGCGTGCCAGCCCAAGGCTACCTGTCCCGCTCTCCAGGACCCTTGAGGCCATCTGGGGGCATTCACGGGAGCCTCCACCCCTTCTGTGCATTGGACCTCGGGCAGCGACAGCTGGCGCAGCCTCCTGCCCCTCCCCTCAAGACCAGAGGGAGCGTGGGCTGCTGGCACCTCTCCCTGGGGCAGCCACTCCAGGCCTCTCGCTGGGCCTCCCTAATGCCCTGGGCCCCCAAGAGTGGAGAGCTGGCACAGCCACCCATCCACACTGTTTCAGGTCACCCCGGGGGTGGCACGCTGGTGCCCGGAGAGCCTGGCCTTGCACAGCCGGCTTTTCGTCGACCAGGCTTGGTGTGGATTTTCCCCTTGTTTTAATGGCTTCTAGACTCAGTCGTGACACATGCGGGGTAGTTTCTGACCCAGAGAAAAATCATTACCATCTAATTTTATAGCCCTTTCCTCCAAGACATCAATAATGTTTCCTTCCCAGAAACGTCGGGTGAGATGCATATTTAGAGACGTCCATCTGTCTGAGAATCATTTCCCAGATGAGGAAGAAACCACGTGTGAAGTGACGTGAGATGATCTCAGAACCAGGCGTCCACTCACGGGGCCGCCACGCGGGCAGCGAGGGAGGGACCGCGGGTCCAGGCCTGTGCAGGAGTCCAGCAGGGGCCCGGGGCCACGTCCTGCCATCCCCCAGGGTGCCTGCAAAACAGACGCGCTCGGGCCCCTCAGACAAGGAGGCCACTCCCTGGCGAATCCCAAAGTCTTCAGCACATTTCAGACCTAGCTTGGATCTCATCACTAGATGGACGCTGCGGCTGGCGAGGCGAAGCCCCCGACACCAGCTATGGTTTCTCAAGTCCTCCAAAGAAGCAGTGAAATTAATCTCATTCTTCAAAATAATCACTGCCGGTGTTTCCGAACACGACTTTTTGGGAATTATTGTCAAGAGCTGGTTTTAAAGCCATAAAAGACGTTCCATGTGTCCAAAGGGACGCCGCTGTCTGTCCGTCTGTGTCTCGCACACACGCACAGACCAGCAGCGCTCATCCCCCAAGGACCTGGATCGGGGGGCTCGGGGTGAGGTCATGGTCATCCTGCCCCGCCGGCGGGAGCCCGGGGTGTGCGGGGTGAGTGACCCTCCAGACTTCTGTTTTTCTTTTTTTCCAGCTCTGGATCTTTTCATTTTGTTGGTGCTTTTTCACTGTCTTATTAAGCAGACGGTGACGGCGTCTCCGTGCCAGTTGGTAAAGGGAGATCACCAGCCTGTGACGCCCAGCGCCTGGGCAGGACTGAGAAAGGGAGCAGTGGAAGCAGCTGCATTTCTGTGAGGTGGCAACGTGGCACCCACAGGTAACCCGCTGGGGGCTTTCTCCTCGGAGGTGATTCTCGGTCAGCCCGCCCGGGCCCTCCTCCTGGCCTTCGGGCACTGGACTCCAGAGCGAGGCCAAGATTCAGTAGAAGCTCTGAAAAAATACACTTTTGGGGGGACACAAAAGCACACTTGGTGAAACGATAGGTGTGAATGAGAACTATGGGCAGTTCCGTCCCGGTCATTGCCATGAAGTCTGTTTGGGTTTCACTCTCACCCATGATGTGCACAGGACCCTTCACTGGCCGCCGGGGGGTGCATGGCAATGCCGCGGTTGCAAAGCTCCGTAGTCCCTGAGCTGCCGTCTGCTCTGGCCTCGCATTTCTCTTTCATGAAGGGCAGAGGAGGAGACGCATCCAGGACTCTGCCGCGAACAGGATATCCTGAGAGGCCTGGGTGAGCCCAGCCACCCCTGCTGCCTGGGGCCACCTGCCGCCGTCTGGGGCAGCAGGGCTGGGCACTGCCCACCCGCCAAAGGCTGGACCTGTGAGGTGGCGACCCCTCGGCTGGGCCACCGCCCTCGCTGGGTGCCACGCCGAGGCCCGCGCCGTGGCCACCCTCAGCACACGCAGAGGCCTGGGGGCGGCGCTGCATCTCAGAGCGGGAGGAGGGTTGAGCAGTGCAGCTTGAACCTGCTTGATTCCCGCATCCCCGCAAGGGGCGGCCACGGACGGCGGGAGTGGCAGCAGCCCTGGACAGCAGTGATGTGCCATTGTGGCCAGCACCTGCTAAGGTCGGTGTCCAGACAGCCGTCCAGGGCCTCGTGATGCTGCCACCCACCCTGGGTGCCGACACGAGTCCGGCTGCGGGTCTGCTCGCCAAGCGCCGGGCCGGCCGGTCTGCCGGGAAGGCGGGGTCACTGCCCTACTGTCATCTACTGAATGTCCACTCACAACACAGAGGTGTCCAGCTGCATCTCCGCTGGTGGGGCAGAGAACAGCAACATCCCCTGCCCCCTATGAGTTGTCCCCCAGGGTGCCAGTCCCAGGAGCCACAGCTGGACTCTCGAGCAGGGCTGGGGCTGCTGGACCCAGGGCAGAGCTGAGCGGCCAGCAGGCCTCAGAGCAGGCGGTGGCCTGGGTTCCTGCTTCTGCGGACACGTGTGCCTGGTGCCGCCTGGGGCCCTGGCCCTCACTCTCTGCTGTGCTCCCCTGACTCTCCTGGTGAGTAACCTTCCAAAGGACTTCCCTGTGCGCTTGCTTTGGGGCCTTGTCGCGCAGGGGAGACTCACCCCCCCCACATTCCGGCTCCCCTGGGGCCCCCCAACAAAGTATGTTTCCTACGCTAATCTTTATAAAAGTTACCACTGATTATTTCAAAGAACCTTGATGACTAAGAGTTTACTCTAAGGAAGGTAAAGGTCACCCACAGAGGTGATGTCCACAGCAGCATGCCGTGGCGGCTGGCAGAGGGGTTGGGGAGCCCCGCATGTGTGCGTGAGGCCTCCTGGGGACCCCACACGCCTGCCTGGGCTGGGGCCGGGGGGTGCTCACCTGTAGCTGAGCGGACGGTGGAGGTGACGCTGGGGGGCACCATCATGGGGACACACTCGTCCTCCTGGGAGTAGCCAGCTTGAATGGCTCGGAGGTAGCTGTGGCTCCTCGTCCGGAAGCATCCGGGCAGGCCCAGGGCCTCCACGGCCTGAGACTCCACCTCGCTGAAGACGGACTCGCACACCGACTCCAGCTGCCCGTTGACCTCGGCCTCGCTCACCTGCGGGGACAGCGGCGCATGAGAGGCTGCAGGGGCCACGGACCCTCACAGCCTCCTCCAGTCATGCTGGGTTCCGGGCTGCCGCGAGGCTCGAGAAGCAGCTTCTGAGAGCAGCCCTCGGCCCGGAAGCCCCTGCCTGGCCGGACGTGGTAGAGGGTCCTGGAGTCCCCGACAGTGAGGGCCCCTCGGCACCTGCACCTTCCTGCTTCAAGGTGGCAGGTGTGGGAGTGCCCGACTGGCAGCAGGCCTGGGTGGGGGCGCCGGGGGACAGTCACAGCCCCAGCCCGAGGGCCCCACACTCCCTGTCTGGAGGGACTCGCCCCAGAAACACTCCTCCTGCTTCCCAAAAGCCTTTTCTGGACCCAGGTCCTTTGCTCTGAGTCTGTGCTTTCGTGGATTTCTATCAACAGTCTTGGGTCATCCTGTGCCTGGTGTGGAGGGCGGCCTGCGGGGGTGGGGGGTGGTCGGGGAGGGGGGCTTCTGGGCAGGTGGGCTCCGTGGGGCCATGTGCCGCGAGGATGGTCTCAGCAGGGGCGTGACCAGGGGAGCAGGCGAGCCCAGCAGCCGCGGTTTGCGGGAAGCGGGGAGGGCCCGGCGGGGGTCGGGAGGGAGTGGCCTCGTGGGGCAGGCCGGGGGCACTCCGGGACAGCAGGGGGCACAGCGAGGGGCGTCCTGTGAGGGCAGGGCCATCCCGAGGGCCGGGCCTGGGCTCCCGGGCCGCCGCCCCCGTGGGTGCGGGAGCCCCGGGGAGCGGGAGGATGGCCGGCAGGAACCGGACACGCGGGGGCGCGCGGGAGGGCGGCGCCGAGTGTCCAGAGACGTGGCGCGGAGGGGCCCGGGTGTGCGGGCGGCGGGCGCCCAGGCTGCGGCGCGCGGGGCGCGGGGGCGCGGGGGGGGCTTGGGGCTTGGGGCTTGGGGCGCGGGGGCACCCACCTGGCTCACGCAGCTGGCCTGGCTCAGGGTGCTGACGGCGCGCATGTAGCTCTGGTTCCGCGAGCGGAACTTGGGGAGGGGTCCAGGCCGTGGGCGCCGGGCCCGTCGCCGGCCGCCGGCAGGAAGCTCGGGCTGTGGAGGCGACAGGCGGAGGCGTCAGGGGCGACGCTGCGCCCCTCTCGGCGGCCGCCGCGCCCACCCGGCCTCCCGGCCCGCACGCCCCACGGGGGAGCGCCGCGCCCGGCCCCCGCCCTGCAGACCGCGGGGCTCGCGGGGCTGAGGCGCGGGGGCGAGGACGGGGCGGGCGGCCGCGCAAACGGGAGCGCCCGCGGCGCCGCCACGAGGCCAACACGACGGCCCGCGCGGGTCCGGGGCCGCCTGAGCCCCAGGGACGCGGGCTGGGCGGGGCCGGGTGAGGGGCGGGGCTAGAGGCGGGGCCGGGGTGGATGGGGCAGGGCCTGGAGGGATGGGGCGGGGCCTGGAGGGACGAGGGGCGGGGCCTGGAGGGACGAGGGGCGGGGCCTGGAGGGCGAGGGGCGGGGCATAGGGGATGGGGCGGGCACGGGGCGGGGCCCCGGGAACAGCCCCGCCCCCGCCCGTTCCCTGCTTTGCCAGGCAGCTCTTAGGGCGCGGGGCTTTCTCCGTGGTCCCCGTCCTCACCGTCTCCGTTAGAAATGGGGCAGCAGAGGAAACACCTTCGCTCAGTTATAAATTCTGATTAAGCAAAACTCATTTATGTAGATTTATAATCATTACTTTGTTAAAATTAGTAAGTTATTTTTGTAGAGTAATAAAATATAACTTATAAATGATAATAAATGTGACCATTTTGCTTTAAAACTGGCGCTGACACTCCCCCCCACGCCACCCTCCCCTCGGAACAGCCGCCGAGGGCGCAGGCGGCCCTGGCTCCGTGGCCTGGGGGCGGCTGGGGCGGGCGGGGCGGGCGGGGCCGGGCGCCGGGCGCTCGGGCTCAGCTGCCGGGAGGATTCGGGCTCCCGCCTGCCCGTCCTCCCCCACCCCCTGGACGGCCCCTCCCCATGGTCCTCCCGCCCCTGGACCCTGCCCACCGCCCTCCCCCGCCCCGGGGCCCCACCCTACGGCCCGCCCCCGCCCCGGCCCAGGCCCGCGGTCAAGGCCGGCTCCCATCAGGAGAGTGTCTGGGACTGACCCGGATTCCCCCGAGAAGGACGGACGCTCCTCTGCCCGCGAGGGGCCCCCGGTGCTGGAGCCAGGCCTGGCCGCCGCCCACAGCCCAGCCCTGCCCCGGGACTGGACACTCTGCGGAGGGCAGAGGGGGGCGTGTTCCCTGTTCCGCCCGCCCCGTGTGCTCAGTGTCCCAGAGCCCGTGCGCCGCGCGTCCACCCTGCGCTGTGTCCACAGCCCGTCCTCAATGGGGACCGAGGCCCAGCAGCACTAGCCGCCCGCCTGCGCCCCCAGATCTGGCTACAGCCGCGTCCCAGAGCAGACGCTGAGGCCACCCCACCCCACGGCTCCCCACGGGAGACCCCCGCGTCACAGGAGGGGCAGGCAGTGTCACAGAGAGGAGTGGGCAGCGCCCCGCGGCCTCTGCGGGACACGGCGGTGGGGGTGCTGTGCAGATCCAGGCACAGGTGGCACAGGTGGGAGGGAGGCGCCTGTCCTTGGGGTGGGGGGCAGCGGCGAAGCCACAGCCTCTGTATCTGCTCACACCCACACATGTTCTTTGCGGAAAAACTAGGCGATCTTGACCAGGAAATAAAATCCAACAGCAAACCAGCCCTCGGGCTCCAGGCGCTGAAGCTGCACACAGCGGGGCCTGGCCACGGCCTTACACCTGCAGCCGCAGGCAGGCTCGCTTGGGCCAGCAAAGCAGGGTCCCTGCACAGGGCACGGAGGTGGACATGGGAGGGCGGAGCGTCAGTCAGGCCCGGAGTCTCGGCTCCTGGACACATGCGGCTAGAGGCCAGCGGCCCACGACTCTGGGAGGCTGGTCAGGCGTCCAGCAGTGCTGTGGGGAGCAGGGCCAGGCAGGGCAGCGCTCAGGTCAGCAGGTGTGGAGGTCTGAAGGTCTCCAGGCCTGTCCGGGAGAGGGAGCCTTCTCTGCCCACGCCAACTGCACACCCCGCCAGGGCAGCGGCCTGCCCACATCTGTCCGTTCTGCTTGATTGGCAGCCATGCAAGCTCAAACTTGATTGGCCCATTTTCAATTCCAAGCTGGTTTCAAAACTGAAGCCCAGTGTCCAGGCGGGAGGGGCGCCCCGACAATCTGCTGGTTCCTGCTGCTGATATGGGGGTTGCCTTCACCCGTCCACCAGGCTGTGGTCCCAGATAAACGGCCAGACACCCCGTCTGGGTGCTGCTGGCCCTGAGGGCCTCAGGCCGAGTGCGTGGACGTGTGCTGCAGCCGTCGCCAGTGACGGCGCGACCTCAGGTAATCGAGAGCTTGGAGAATCACAAATGGGACAAATAAGCATGTTTCTGCCGCAGCGCTAAGCCAGACAGAAGCGCTGTGACCCAGAGAGCTGCCCTGGGGACTCACCCACGGGACACGCAGACCCAGGTGCTTGGCCGCTAGGACTCGAGCAGCCTAGGTGTGTCCACCACAACTGGACAAAGGCTGGCGCTCTGACCCCGCCAGCGACCGGGTCTGTTACATCTTTCAGGGTGAGAGCAGTGAACCGCGCCGGCGTCTACACAACCCTAGACGGGGTGGGCTGCGCGGGACTGGTCAGGCCCCAGCAACGTGCTGTTCCCACACCGTCCTCCAAATATGCACTGGAAGGGCGCCTTCTTCTGTGCTCCCAGCTCTGGGGCCGGTCCGTGGGGCTGGCACAGGCAGGGAAAGGCTGGGGAGAGTGACCTGCAGGAGGGGCCAGCTGGTCCGTGGAGGGCAGCCAGAGTGCAGGGCAGAGCCCAGGGCCCCCCGGCTTGTCTCCACTCAGCGGGTCTGAGGGGTTGTGGCTCTGGCAGGGTCAGAACTGGAAGCTAAACCCCAAGTCTAGCTCCCACTTGGCTCCCACGGGCACCCTTGGGTTTCGAGGGTTCCAAGACGTACTCACTAACTTCTTTTCTGAATTTCTGGCCCAGATCTGGGGCCAGCCCCTGGATGAGGAGAGGAATGACACACAGCCTGGCTAGGAGCACCCAAGGGTGGGGGCAGAGGCCACGGACCAGCACGCAGGGGCCAGCAGGGGCGGAGAAGCGAGACCGTGGCTGTCAAAAGCGCGCCTGACCCGCCACGGCTGCTGCACACCTCGCCTCGGCCATGAGGCGCTGGACCTGGCCCCGCCGGGTTAGGCCCTGCTAAGCTCAGGGGCCAGGGGAGCCCACGATTCTCAGCAGCCAGAGGAGGAGCCTGAAGTGGGGGCCAGTCCTGCTGGTGGAGCTTGGGTCCGGGGCCGCCCTGGGCCCCCCAACTTTCCAACTGTAGCTGCACCCATGTTTCCTCGCTTACGCTTACCCATCCTAATGTCCCCAGAGTCTCCACTCCCCAGGATGAGATGTCGGCTTTGCTCCCCTCGTCAATAACCTCCCTGACCTGACCCCGGAGCCCTCGAGGGCAGCCGTGGGCACACGCCTTCCCACACCGCGTGGCCAATGGGGTCAGGCCACAGGATGGACGTGCGTCTATGCACAAGTCAGGTGGGCTGCGAGTCAGAGTCTGATCTGCGCTGCCGGGAGCTCTGTCCCGTGGGGAGGACGGCGCAGCGACCCCGCCTCCCATGTGCACAGCCGCCCACTGCCCGAGGCGGCCAGCAGAGCCATCCCGTGGGCCTGGCGGGCGTCAACAGACCTGTGCTGTCAGTGGTGGCTGCGGGACACCGCCCCTGACAGCCACAGAGGCGACCCCAAAGTCCGGGACCACGCCTGTCCTGCTTGGCACCCCAGGCTGCAGCCGCCCCTTCCCACGTCCCCGGCCCCAGCCAGGCGGGCCCCACGGACGGGCTGCCTGCAGGAGCGAGGCCCCGGCGGGCGCCCAGGCTGCAGGACTGCGGCCCCGAGAAGGGTGCAGGGAGCAGGTCGGGCGCTTACGTCTGCAGCTCGCCGAGCGGCCTCGGTCCCATGGACACCAGGAGAGGCTCCGGCCGGACGGCGGCCGTGGGCGAAGTGCGGGGGCTGGAGTCCGACTCCCCGCTCTCCTCGTCGCCCATGGCCTTGATGTAGCTCCCGCTCCTCATCCTCCTGCAGGGGATCTCCTCGTCCTTACCCCCCACGGGGTAGCCGCCCCACTCGTCCTGCGGCACCTGGGGAGAGCAGATGGGCGTCAGGCGGGTGCACCCCCCGCAGCCTGCCGGCGCCTCGAGGGCACCCGCCTCACCCATGGGGGGCTCCTGCAGACACGGTCCAGAGCGATGGCCCCGAAAACAGAAGCTGAGAGGCCGCGGTGACCTCCCCCTGAGGAGGGGCTGAAGCTGGGGCACCTGTGGCCATGGGGGGGAGGGGGATGCAGGAGGGGGTTGGCCTGGGGGCCGTGTCTCAGGCCTGTCTGCCCTCAGCCTGCCGTGTGAGAGCCGCTGCCCAGAGTGCCCGCGTGTGGGTCGCCCCAGCCTCTGTGGGACGCGGAGCTCACCCCTGCAGCAAGCACGCTGCCCCCCTGGGCGGGCTCATGAGTAGGGACTGGCATGTGTTGGTCAGAGGGGCCCAGGGTGCTGGGCAGGGCATGGAGCAGGGTGGGGGGCTGTCCACGGGGAGTGAGTGGGGAAGGTTTCCTGGAGGAGGGGTCTGGGGTCTGCCCAGCAGCAAGACACAGGCCCAGCCCCACGCCGCAGGGCCTGGGGGCAGAGTGGGGGTGCTGGCTGGGTGGGGGCTAAGTAGGAGTGGGCCGTCGGGGGGCTGGCTAAGGGGAGTGGGACACAGCCCAAGCCCACCTCCCAGGAAAGACCACTTTCTCACTGGCAGCCTCGGAATTTTTGTGAATTCAAAACATGATTTTGCAAAAAACAGAGATTTCTTTTTTCGGCAGCCTGCAGATGAACTGACAAATACAACCAGCTTGTACTTTTGTTTCTGATTTAAGAAGCCAGTTTTGGGGCTTTGACAGAAGAGATTTCAACAGGAAGAAGGCAAAACAGGCGCCGGCCATGGAGGGGCAGACAGCTGTGCCCGCGCGGGGCCGGCAGGGGCTGGCAGGGGCCGGCAGGGGCCGGCAGGGGCCGGCTGGCAGGGGATGGCCGTCAGCATGCGGCCCTGCGGCCCCCGGTGGATGAAGTGCGTCCCCCGGACTGGCGCCACCGGCCTCTGCTGGTCCTGTCCCGCGAGCACCTGGGCGAGGGGAGTGGTGTTTACAGCCCCTGTGCACACCTGGGCGCCCAGCGCCTGTCCACGCGGCTCTCTTGGTCTAAGTGAACAGCCACCAGCCTGTGGGCCCGGAGCAGGGCCTGGCACGTGGGCAGCAACCCCTCGAGGGCTCCACGGGCACTCTGGATTGGCCTGGGAGCTGCCGGCCACGCAGGCCCAGGGATGCCAGGCTCCTGGGCTCACAGAGACTCCCACGAGGAGCAGCCACGCTGTCCCCTGTCTGGACCCTGGCTGCCTGCAGCCCCTGCCTGGACCCCGCGGCCTGGTGTGTGAACCACCGCTCTGGGCCTGAGCCTTGCCAGACGTCGTGCTAACCACGGGGTGTGGAGGGCGTGCAGGTGAGGGCCTGCCCTCCCCACCCGTGCCTGGAGCACGCTGGGGGTCGTGTGGACACAGGACAAGCTGCCCAGGACTTGGACCCGCGCCTGCCCCTGGCCAGGGAAGGTCTGCCGCGGCTGCCTCATTGCTGCTCACCCAGTTCCTCTGAACATCCGGGGTCGGAGTGGGCCCTGGAGCTGGGGTGCTGTGCCCAAGCTCCCCCTCCCCAGACCCCAGAACGTGGGCACGTGAGGCGCCCACGAGTCCTCGCCTGGTTGGCTCGACGCTCCTGACAGCCTGACCTCGAGCTGGGTCAGCGGGTGGAGACCCCCATGGCCAGCCCCGCGCACCGCAGCCCGCGGCATCCCGGGCCCACGCACTGCCCCCCCAAGCCTATGCACAGCCCGCCCCAGCGGGGCAGCCACATCTCCGGGGTAGGCGGACACGGCCCTGGGGGCGCTGAGCCTCTTCCTGCTGGACGCCGCCCTGGACCCCAAACGCGGGCCTCAGGCCACAGCCAGTTTCTTCTCATCGGGCGGGTGGAGGGGACGCGGCGGGGCCAACCCTGAGCTGTGGCTGGGGGCCTCCAGGTGAGAGCAGCAGCGCCCCCGCTGGTCACTCGTGGGTGTGCGTGGTGGACAGGGCCCCCTCTCTGGGCTCCCCCAGAGCTGTGACCCTCTGGAAGGAGTGGGGGAGGCAGGAGGTGAGGGGCGGCCTCTCCCTGCCGGCGCTGGGCAGAGGCAGCAGTGGTGGGGCCCGTGGAGTCTGGGGCGCTCGGGCCGAGCTGGACGGCTGACCGCCCGCGGCGCCCACATGGGGGAGGCGTGCGCCATGTGCCCGGCCGCCTGGCGAGCATGGTCAGCTCCTCCCTGGGGGAAGGACAGCCCGCCGCGCCGCTGCTGTTGTCTCCGAGGAGATCTGCCCTCAGCGTGGCCAGGGCAGCGTGCCAGGGGCGCAGACCCGGCGGAATGGGCGCGGCCGGCGGGCGGTGACCGCTGCTCCTGGGCGGCCCTGGCCTCGCCGCTGGGGCACCGGTGGGCCCAGGGAGCGGGAGGCACGAGAAACAGGAGGACTCTTGGTCCAGCAGGTTGACCTGGGCACGAACGGCTGCCCCTGAGGCCACGCCCCCGGCCAAGCTGTTGCAGAGGTCACCGCCCACTCCCCAGGGGCGGTGGCACCCCTCCTGCCCGCTGGCTGGGCCCCCCGCTGGGCCACGACTGGCCAGGGCCCAGGCTGCACCCACATGCAGGCCACTCTGCAGATGAGCAGGCGTCACCTTGCCGGGCGCAGGCTTTGCCGCAGGCTCTGCAGCCTTGGCACGCAGGGGCAGCCCTGCTCCCCCTGCCACTGAAAGGGAGAGTTGGGGGGCTGCAGGCCCCGTGGGGGCAGAGCCAGGGTGGACGCAGCCCACCCCACCTGGCCCTTACCTGGAGGTAATGGCAAGACCTCAAGGAAGGCTTGATGTCGGGGTGGGCCAGGGGCTTGTCCAGGTTCAGAGAGCTCTTGCGGTAGGCCTCCTTGGCCTGGCTGACCGTCAGCGTGGACCAGGAGCTGCGCTTCATGTACTTGGCATCCGGTGTCAGGGCGAAGCCCTCGCAGGCCGAGCACTTGACGTCGCTGTTGCTTTTGGAAGTCTTCAGCGAGAGCTCCCCGAAGGGGCCCGGGAGCGGCTCGGGGTAGCAGTGGGCCAGGGGGTCCAGGGGGTGGCGGCTGATCACGCTGGAGGCCCGGTAGGTGCTGTCGCTGTCCAGGTTGTCATCGGAGCTCCACCAGCTGCTCAGGCCTGCCCGGGGCTTGCTCTCGGGCCTGCGCTCCTTGCTCTTGCTCCGCTTGCCGTGCTTGGCGTGGTGCCCATGTGGGGGGTCGTCCGGCCGGCTGTCGCCCTTGGTGCCATTGATGTGGCTCTTGGAGGAGCCCTCCAGCGAGTGGGACTTGGTGAAGAGCTTCTGCACGGAGTGCACCAGGTGCCGGATGCGGCCGGGGCTCTCGCTGCGCGGCTCAGCGGCTGAGGCCCGCTGGTACTGCAGCGTGTGGAAGCCGTCCCGGTGCAGCGGCAGCTGCTTCTCAAACTGGTCCAGCAGGTTGGCCGGGATGCGGTTGGCCTTGGCGCTGGCGTGTGCCATGGTGCCGTCGTCCCGGGGGTCGTGGTGGGCGCTGTAGTGCATGCGTGGGAAGGTGCTGCTGGACATGTGCTCGCCCAGCGCCATGGGCATCACCACGCACTCCGAGTGCACGGAGCTGCGGGGTGAGCAGCGGTGCTCCCGTGGGCAGCTCTCCACCGGGCTGAGCAGGTAGGGCGGCCGGGGTTCCGGCCCATGGTGCAGGTGGTCCGGCACGAGCTCACCGCCGTCGGGGGGCGTGAGGCCACACGTGTGCCCAGAACATAGCTGCGGGGGGTTGCGGCTCCCAGACAAACCCCTCATGTTCCTGGGGGCTGGGGAGCACCTGTCCTCGCTGTAGGGCCGTGTCGGGGACCATGAATAACGCGGGTCTGCGGGGAAAGCAGAGGGGTCAGCACTGGGTGACATCTGCATGGAGCCCAGCAGCAGGCTCAGGCCGGGCCAGCTGCTCTCCACCCGCCTGGATGCTGGCTCTCCCCACACACGCCCCGACCACCCGGCGCAGCCCCACGGGCCTCGGGCTGCCAGCTCCGCTCGTGCGGGCTGTACTGCCCCCTCAGAGCCAGCAGCAGGAGGGGCAGGGACGCTCCCTGTCTGCCCAGCCCTCCCTCAGCCCTCCGGCCACCTCGGCCTCTGCGCTGTTTCCTGCCATGTCCCCGAGCCCGCCCCCTGCTCCCAGTGGGTGCTTCTCCTGTCTTCTCCAAGGTCCCGCTCCAGGGGATGCAGGCTCAGTCAGAGAGAGCCCAAGGGTCACTGCATGTGACCCCAGACCCAAGTCACATGGAGCCCCGAGGAGGGTCACTGTGGGCCCCTCACGTCCAAGGGTGAGACGTCCAGGGCAGGGGCTGGACATTCTCAAGGTGCAACTCGCCAATCCACCCAGAGGCCTCCGAGTCGCCCCCGACACCAGCTCTGCCCTCTTCCCTCCCTGCGTCCACCCAGCCCGCGCCCACTCGAGCCACCGGGCCACCATGCAAGTCCAGGCGAGCCCTGGGCAGTGTGGGCATGGGGAGCGGCCAGTCTTGGTGATTGCGGCAGGATGGGTGCAGGGCCCCGGGCGGATGGGATGCGCCCGCAGGCCCCCGCAGGCCATGGACACAAGACCAGAAAGGGACATGGTTCTCTGTTCCCGAGGCCAGGCAGGACCCCCCACCCCGGGCGCGGGCCTGAGGGGAGTGCGGCCCGGCAGGCTGCCCCTCGGCTGGGCGGGAGCCCCTTGGGCGGGCCCTGGCGGGGCCTCGCGCGGGCAGCCGGAGGCGGCAGAGCAGGGCGCAGGGAGCGTCCTGACCAGCCGAGCCCCCGCGGGAGCCTCAGCAGTTGCGGGACCGCGCTCCCCCCCCCAGCATCCCGGGCACCCAGAGAGCCGCCCTGCCCCGAGGCCCGAGGCCGAGCCCCGAGGCCACAGCGAGACCGTGAGCCCCGCAGCCCACGGCCGCCGCCACGGGTCCGAGCAGGCTGGGCCCGCTGGCCACCCCCGGGCTCCGGCTCGCCGGGAGGACGTGGTGGGGAACCAGGGGCCGCGGGGGGAACCAGAGGCCGCGGGGGGTGGGGGAACCAGGGGCCGCGGGGGGAACCAGGGGCCGCGGGGGGGGGGGGGAACCAGGGGCCGCGGGGGGAACCAGGGGCCGCGGGGGGAACCAGGGCCGCGGGGGGGGGGAACCAGGGGCCGAGGGGGGAACCAGGGGCCGCGGGGGGGGGGGGAACCAGGGGCCGCGGGGGGAACCAGGGGCCGCGGGGGGTGGGGGAACCGGGGGCCTCGGGGAGAACCAGGGGCCGCGGGGGAACCAGGGGCCTCGGGGGGAACCAGGGGCCGCGGGGGGGGGGGGAACCAGGGGCCGCGGGGGAAACCAGGGGCCGCGGGGGGGGGGAACCAGGGGCCGCGGGGGGGGGGGAACCAGGGGCCGCGGGGGGAACCAGGGGCCGCGGGGGGGGGAACCAGGGGCCGAGGGGGGAACCAGGGGCCTGGGGGGGGGAACCAGGGGCCGCGGGGGAACTGGGGGCCGCGGGGGAACCGGGGGCCGCGGGGGGGGGAACCAGGGGCCGCGGGGGGAACCAGGGGCCGCGGGGGGAACCGGGGCCGCGGGGGGAACCGGGGCCGCGGGGGAACCGGGGCCGCGGGGGGAACCAGGGGCCGCCGGGTCTGCGCAACGCGGGGCGCCTGCGGGGTGCTCCTGCGCGGGGGCGCGGGCGAGGCCGGCGGGTGACCAGGGGACCCCCCGGCACGCGCCCGGCGCCCGGTTCAGACCCGCCCCTCCGCAGGCGCCCCCCGCGGGGCGGAGCCCACAGGCCCGCGGCGACCCCCGCCCTGCCCCGCGCACCCCCAAAGCTCCCCCGCCCCCGGCCCCCCGCGGCCCCCCGGGTCCCACCACAGCGGGAGCTGAGGCGCTTCGCACAGGCGCGGACACCGGCGCCCGAAGACTTGTCCTGGGCCTGCTCGGGCCGAGGGGGAACGGGCCACGCTGCCCCCGAGGACAGCGACGGGCGGAAGGGACACCCCAGCCGGTCAGGCTGAACGTGGGGCTGGGCGACCCCCGGCTGCCGGCGGGGGCGGGGCCACAGCGGAGGCGGGGCTTCCGGGGTGGGCGGTGCTTTCGGGTGGGTGTGGCTTCCGGGCTGGGGGTGTGGCTTCCAGGGGTGGGGCGGGCTTTCGGGGTGGGGCGGGGCTCACGGTGGCGGGTGGCTTCCAGGTGGGGCGTGGTTTCCGGGGGTGGGGCGGGGCCCGCAGTGGGGGCGGGGCTTCCGGGGTGGGGGCAGGGCTGTCGGTTGGGGCGGGGCTGCCGGGTGGGAGGAGCTGCCGGATGGGGCGGGGCTGCCCGGTGGGCGGGGCTTCCGGGGTGGGGCGGGGCTTTCCGGGTGGGGGCAGGGCTGTCGGTTGGGGGCGGGGCTGCCGGGTGGGGGGAGCTGCCGGATGGGGCGGGGCCTACCGGTGGGCGGGGCTTCCGGGGTGGGCGGGGCCGCGGGGGCGGGGCCGGGGGCGCAGGTGGGCGCGTGTCCCCGCGGCTCCGCGCACAGCTCACCCCGCGCCGGCCGGGAGCCCCCGAGGCGCAGCCGCTTCCCCGCCCGGCTCATTCCGGCCTCGCTGACCGGCCGTGGGGCCGACTGCCCGCGGCGGCGCCCCTCGGCGGGGACGCTGCGCCCACAGCACCGTCGCCCGGTCCGTCCCGGAGCCCCGGAGCCCCGGAGGCCCGGCGTCCTCGGGACACTCGCGCGGGCCGCGGCAGCCTCGCGGCGTCCCCAGGGCGCGCACGCCTACCTAGGTCCTCCTCCGCCGGCCCCGGAAAGCTGATGCCCGGCTGGGCCAGGTCCCCGCCCTCTTCCTCTGCAAGACAGAAACAGGGTCGCTCAGCGCGGGCCGGTCACCCGCGCCGCCCGCAGCGGGCCCCGACGCCCCCCACCCGGCTCTGCAGACTCAGGACAGCGCGCCCGCCCGGGGTGGCCATGGCAGCGCCCTCGGGAGCGAGTGACACGGGCAGTAACCATGGCAGTGACCACGACAGTGAGTGACCACAACAGGGACTGTGGCAGCAACCACGACAGTGAACGACCATGGCAGTGACCCCGGCAGTGATGGCACTGAGTGGCCATGGCAGTGAGTGGCCATGGCAGTGACTATGGTCGTGACCACAGCAGTGAATGACCACGGCAGTGACCATGACCCACGTGGTGCTGACCTGGCAGTGAGTCCACGTGGTGCCAGCTTCTTGCTGGACTCAGCTTGACCAGACACTGCCTGCACTGCACAAAGCCTGCCCTCCCCACCACCTTCCCTCTAGGGCGCGGAGGCCCTGTCCAGCGGGGCGCACAGCCTGTGTCATCTGGGTCAGCTGTGTCCACAGACGAGTCTGCTCCTGCCTGCCCGGGCTCACCCCTGGGTGACTAAGTTTCCTCGAAACTGGTGAATCGGGGCTGCGGCCAGCCCTGCCCCGGCCTCGTCTTTCCAGGCCGTCTCCCCCACTCTCCGTGAGACTCCCCAGGCCGCAGGTGGTACGGCAGGCCCCGGCCAGGCTGAGAGCGACAGCCCGGGTCCCAGCCCCACAGCTCCAGTGGCCGTCACACACGTGCGGGCAGCTGTGCACTCCTCCAGGTGCCCTGTGGTCAGACAGGGGAGGAGCATGGCCAGGCGTCCTGTGCCCCCCAGGCAGGGCGGCTGCCCTTCAGCCAGGGAGCCAGTGTTCAAGCTGCCCAGCACCACCTCTACCCCCTCACCCCTGCCGGGCAGTTCCAGGCCTTGCCTGGGGTGGGGCTGTCCCGGTCAATCTTGGAAAGTGAACACTAGCTCTAAGCCCCAGCAGTGCTGCCTGAGGAGGCGGCCTCCTGGTTCTTGGAGGTGGGGGTGCAGGAGAAGCAGGGGGCAGGAGAAGGAAGCAGTGGGGGGCGGGAAGATAGGGCAGGAGGAGGGCTCAGTTGGGGGCAGGAGCAGTGAGGGGACCAGCAAACACCTGCTGGCTGATGCACGCTGCACACAGCCCCCCGTTCCCGTCCCCCCTGAGTCCTGGGGTCAGCCGCTCCAGTGGGGGCAGCAGAGCTGAGGGGGAGGCCGCGCTCTCTCAGCCCATGCCCACTCAGACCCCGGGACGCCCCTGCCTCTGTAGCACGGGCTCCTGGGGCGGCAGAGCCTGGCCTTTCCAGAGACCTGCCCGTGACCCTGGCTGGCTCAGAGGAAAGGGCTCACGCACAGGCCGCTCAGCCCCCGCGCCTGGGCTGCCAGTGCCCCCTGCTGCGTGGTGGGGGCAGCACCCACACCGGGGATGGGTCGCAGGGCTTCCCAGTGCAGGGACTGTCCAGCCCCTGAACCCTGCACCAGCTGTCCCCGCCGCGCAGGCAGGGGGCTCCCCAGGGATGTCTGCACCCCACACGTGACCACTCAGCCCTCCGCTGCATCCCCGCGGCCCAAGGCCTCCAGCAGCCTTGGATCCAGGCTGGACCCTTTTCTCCAAAGAAACCCACACAGACGCCGGGACTGAGGGAACCGGGATCCAGGCCGGCCGGGGAGCGAGGGCCACCTCTCCAGCCTGAGGCCCTGGAGGCCTCTCCGCAGACCGCAGGCCCAGGGCAGGGAGCTGGCCCTGGGGAAGGCCTGCCCCGCAGCCACCGCACAGCCCCAGCCGGGAGGGAGGGGCTGGGACGGGCCGGCACTGCCCAGCCACCCCGCCCCCAGCCGCAGCCTGGCCCCTGCACCGCCACTCGCTCGGTCCGCGCCGGGCTCAGGCGGCCCAAGGAGAGGCGAGGTCTCGGCGCCGCCCCAGGGAGCCCAGCCCCTGAGCCCGCGGGCCGCCGCGCACGTCTAGATCCTTCGGCCCTTTGGAGTTTACTGTGGAAGGACGCTCGGGCCGCGCCTCCGCCGTCCCCCTAATGCCAGGATTTGAAGCTGCTTAAATGCAGGATTCATTTCTGGCCGGGAGGACAAAGGCCTTGATGGCGCTGGCCGCGCCCCTCCCGCCCGCAGCTGGCCCGGGAGAGCTGCGCGCCCGCTGCCGGCGGCTCCGAGGCCCCGAGGCCGCGCGCTGCGCCCCGCGCCGGACCCAAGGCCCGTGTCCGCCGGCCCCGCTTTCCTGCCGGCGCCTCCGCGGACGCCCAGCGGCGGGGCCCGCGGGGCCACGCTGGGCGGGGACGGCCTCGGGCGGCCTGGCCCGCTCCCCGCGCCCCTGCCAGGCGCCTCCCGCCCGCGGCCCCCGGGGCCCGTCCACCGCGGCCTCCCTCCCCGGAGCCGGCCCTGTGCCGCGCGGGGCCCCTGCCCCGCAGCCCGCGCCGCCGGGGATGGGCCCGGCTCCGAGTTACGGGACATTCCAGAAGGTTCCTCACCCGCCGGAAACTCCGCGGCGGTGCCGGGCGCTGTCCCCGCGCACGTGGCCCTGCGCCGGCCCCTCCGCGGGCGTCTTCCCTGGACACTCTCCGCAGATCAGCCCTTCGGCCGCGAAGCCGCCTCGTCCGGGCCGCCCGGCCGCTGCCCCCGCGCCCGGGCCCCGCGCCGACCCCCTGCCCCGGCCGGGCCGGCCTCGCGCTGCGCGGGTCCGGGGGCTCGTCCGCTCGCGCCAGAACCGCCACAGCCAGCCCGCCGGGCCGCGGCTTCGGGGGCGCAGGGCGCGTGAGCAGCGCCCCAGGCGCTGGTGCCCGGCGGCCTCCGCCCTGGCCGGCCCGTGCCGGCTGCCCGCCCCCTCCACAGGGGCGCCTGCTGTGGACACGGTGTCAGGGTTCCCGTTTTTATACAAAAGGTGGGCACACTTTAGGGACCCCCGCTCCAGCGTGCCCTCTCCCCAACCAGTCACACCCACCCAGGCCTGCTTTCCAAACAGGTCCGGCGCCGCCCTGGGGCCGCTGGGCGGCTGTGGCTCCACTGACCAGGCCTCGCCAAGCTGGGCAAAGGGGAGCCCACGGGAGGACCAGCGTGAACCCGCCGTCCAGAACCCGGCCTGGAGGGACCGGCGCCACCCAGGCGGACTGTGGCGTCCGGGTCCTCTCCTCCCCGGCCCCTCAGCCGCTGGTGCAGCTTCTGTCCGCAGAGCCGACCCCAGGCCTGGATCGGGCAGGCGAGGGTGCCCCTGCCCCAGGGCTCCCCCAGGCCCTGCCGAGAGGCCCTGGGTTCGGGTTCTGGGGGCTGTGCCACATCTGCCCGACACGGCCAGCCCTGGCGCCCTTCTGCGCCCTGCTGTCCACACGGCCGCGAGATCCAGGCCCAGGGTCCGGATGCGCTTGGGCAGACACGGGCGGAGAAAGATCACTTGCTCGGACTGGCCCCAGGGCCGTGGGGACAAGAAGGAGCCACGTGAGGAGACCAGTGTGAGCGAGAGGCCCGGGGGGGGGGGGGGCAGCACAGCCTCCTCCTACCTTGGCGTTGGGCTTTGCTCTTTCCCTGCGAGGCCCGCCGGCCCCTCCTGCCCCTTCCCTGTGGGCCCCCGCCAGGGGGCGCCTTAGCAGGGCAGCTTCTGGGCCCAGCGGCCCTGCTCCAGCCCGGCCTGTTTGGCCGCGTGTTCACCCACGAGGGACGCGACTTCGGGTGTTTAGTTGGAAATGACTTTAACCGACATCCTTCCTCTTCTCTCCAGCGCCCTCTGACCGCATGACGTCCCCTCCGAGGACGGCCGTGCCCGCGGTCGCAACTGGTCTTGATGCAGCGGCGGCAGAAATGATTCTGAGCGGGCAGGTTTGGGGGTCCCGGGTGCCCCTCACCTTACCCTGAACAGACCTGGCGCCCAACACAGGAGGGACTTGTCTCAAGCCGGCGGGAGGCGGCTCCCGGGATTCGCACCTGTAAGCAGCGCTGGCCGGGCCTGCTGGACGCGGGGCTGGGCCTGCCGCTGGCCAGGCTTGCGCTCGGGAGGGCTGTGCCTTGGGGGGTGCGCCTGGCCTGGCCGGGATGGTCTGTTCTCCGGCTTCCTGCTAGGGTTTTCTTCCTGTGTGCGCTGCCCTTTGATAGCTAAATTCAGTTCTGGGACTTTGGCCTTTTGTTTGTTCTGCTGGTTCTGGTCTAATTAGAAATTCTAATGGCAGTGATGGGTTCCCCAGTCACTTCACGCTTCTCGTCAGGCTGGCCCTGATCTCCACCTGGGGGTGCAGCCAAGCCTGGAGCAGGGATGGTGTCAGTTAGCAAAGCTGGGCCTGGGGCCAAGGGGGAGAAGCTGATCAGCGACCGGTAACTGCCGGTGGCCTTAGGACTGGGTCAGAATTGTTGGAGCGCTTTTATCTGGATTGAGTTTGAAAAGGTTTGCTGCTGGGGTTTTTGTCTACACCGTCTGCTTGGGGCATATTTGCCGTCTGCATTCTTAGAACTGTTTGACTAGGTAGAAGCTGAGACCTGGCCTCCGCCCACAAAGAGGGCCTGTGTGGGGGTCCCGTGAGACCCTGGGGCTCGGGTGCCGGCTCCGGCTGGAGATGGGATGTTTACTTTGATTTTGTTCTTTCAGCATCTTGCAGGACGTCCAGGGCGCGAAGGCCGGACGCTGAGCCCGGACTGCTCAGCCTGGGCCTCCTGTGCAGCTGCTCTGGCTGAACTCACCTTTCCTGTTGCCAGCCTCAGGCTTGCAGGGTGCCCAGCGCAGCTTGGATTTCTGCCAGCAACACTCCGTGTGTTTTAGGATCTGAGACTGTTGCTGGAGCTATGGAGAAAGCTGCAGTTCTGAGACCCTCCATGCGGTATAAAGGAGCACAGGGACCGTCTGCTTCTGTCCCCCTCACCCTGTCCTCTTGGCCTCCCAGGGGTGACCGCGGCAGAGGTGGTGAGAAATGCAGCAGAAGCGGGTTTGAGCGCCTCGAGCAGATCTGGTCCGGGCGATTTGTGGTGAATGGAGACTAATTTCTAATCTAGCAGGTTGTTTTAAAACGCGCTCGTAGGGTGTATCAGGCACAGTGTTTTCTCTTGCGGCTGCGCTACTGGTGCTGGGTACAGGAGGGCCTTCAGATGCTGGGCAAGACGGGAGTCTGAAAATCCAAACTTTTCTTTTCTTTTTTTTTTAGAGAAACATTTTTTTTTTTAAGATTTATTTATTTATCCACACAAGAACTGGAGTATAGGCCAGATGCGTGGGACTCACCTGAGACACAGCGGGGAACAGAACAGGCAGACTGACGAAGTACACTGCTGAGGGGAGCAGCGGGGAGGCAGGAGAGGGCCCAGCGCCATGTGGGTAGGACCTTTGCCCGCCGGCTGGGATGGAACCCACGCTGCAGAGGCTGCGGGCAGCTTCACAGCGCTGCACTCAACTGCCTGTGCCACCAGGGGAGGCCCCAACGTTTTCTTTCAAAGAAAAAACTCAGCGACGAGATCACACTAAAGGGTATGGTTTGGCTGCAATGTTGTTCTGCTGAGCTGAGCCAGAGCCTTCAGAGAAATTGAATATTTTTGTTGTTCTTGCTGTTTTCTAATATTTATGGCAAAGCTTCCCAGAATCTGAGTTGAAGGGAGAACTGGGTACTCTTTCATTTGATTGATTAAAAGGGACCTCTGGAGCCTCCGAAGAGCTCCTGAGACATGGGAGAGATTCCCCGTCCTCATGGGAAAGAGGTTAGCTGGACGGGACCTACTTGGTGTTTACCTGGTAAGCTGGAACGTACTGGAAGGCCTGTTGCTCGGGAGAAAGGCATAACTTAGGCAGGTGCACACACGTTAACGCTGGTGGGCTGAACCTGGTATAAAACCTGTAAGTGCCTGACATGTGAACTGTCAGGTCTGACTATCGTCCTGCAGTGCTGTTGGCTGTTTCCACAGCTGAGCGTCTTCAGAAAGTGTTTCTGGAGAAATTAATAGCAGAGAGACCTCAGCGCTTTCCAGCCATGGGAACCGCAGAGCAAGGGTCTCCTGCGAGGGGCTGCACGGGCTGTGGGGAGGAACGAACTCTTTTAGGTTCTGTCTGAAATATCCTGGGTTTTTTTTGTATTTTGTTTTGATGCAAAGAAAATCATCCTGTCTGGGCTGACCAGGGTCTGCGGCAACATCCGGTGTTTGTAAGCGGAACTGACCCACGTTTGCATTTTCTCTCTCCCTTTCTCTCTCTCTCTTTGCCATTATGGGAAAAACAAAATGATAATAATTTTCATTACTCATGAAAATGGGTCTGTTTCTGCATAATTTCAACAGGGAATTCTGTCTCCTAGAACTGGAGAATTGAAAGCATGTTTCATAACGTGGCCTTGATTGAACTTCCAGGAGTTGAACTTGAGCTGAGCCGAGAGGAGGACTCGCCAGCGGCCTGGAGGGCCCAGGGGCCGGGTGTTCTGGGAGGGGGGTGGGGGGCTGCGCTGCCTTGGCAAGTCCAGGGTCGGGAGGACGGGCCTGGACCCTGCCGCCCACACCCTCACTTCGCTATTTTTCCTTCAGACCTGCAGATTATAATTTCCTTTTCCTTTGCGGACACCTGCATTCTTCCTGTGGTGAGCTCAGGTGCGCCGGGCTGTCTCTGTGGTGGACTTTTCCCTCAGTTACTGCTGTTTCATCTCCAGGATCTCTGCTCAATTGTTACGATTTCTACCCCTTTACACTCTCATTTTGTCCACACGCTCTTTTGCCACGTCCCTTCCATTCTGGGAGCGGGACTCGAGCAGCTGTTTCCAGACCTTTGGGGGTGCACCCTGGTTCCTCCGCTCGGGCCGGCTCCTCTGAGGCTGAGCCTGCGCTGCGGGGTAACTACAGGGACGCTCTGCATGGGCCGGGCTGCTGGGCCGCTACGCAGTCAGCTCAGAGGCCTCCCGCCTGCGTGCTGGTGAAGGCTGTTCTCTGTGGTGTGTGGCTGTGAAGTTTTGCCCTAAGCTGTGTCCACCTCGGATCCAGGCGCTGTGGAAAAAGCCCCAGAGAATAGACAATGAAAGCTGCTTCCAAGGAGCCATCCAGCCCCACGAGCAGGCGGCCAGTGGCCAGGAATGCCCAGAGGGGCCGAGTCTCAGCAGGTCTTTGTAAACGTGGACGCTAGCCGGCGGTACGTGCGAGGTTCGAAATTCTCCCACACGAATGAGTGTGGGGTGGGGGGCGGGGGTCAGGGATGGTCATGACTGTATCGTTTTGGTTTTGACCAGCACTTTCCTATGAGGCTGCACCGCTGCACCTCAGGAACTGAGCGGTGCGGGAGAAGGTGCCCCCCTGAACGGGCACAGGACGCAGGCGCCTCCGTCCTCAGGAAGCAGCAGCCTCCACTGAACCTGGACGGCAGGGGCAGGGTCACCCCACAGCTGGACATGCATCTCCGCACAGAACAGCCCAGTCTGCATGTGTCCACCTGCATGTGTCCACTGCTGGGCCACATTGGGCACAGGGCTGGGCCCAGGGCGGCCCCCCTCAGTGGGATGGATGGACAGGGGATGGGGTGTGGCGGGGTGCCCTTGGTAGGGACACTCAGCCTACGGTGAAACACAGGTGCCATAGACCAGAAGGGTAGACTCGCCAGGGTCCGTGGACTTGACGCGGCTGTGGCATGCGGCTGCTGGGGTCCCCCACGGCCCGGGCCTGTGCTCTCTCCTGCGCCTCAGGGCTCCCATCTGCCTCCCTGGTAATGGGACCCAAGGCCACGCTGGGGCCAGAGGTGCCGCCGACTCAGTTCCCGAGACACATGTCTTTGTAGAGCAGAGGGAGACATGGGCACAACCACCCACATTCAGCAAGAGAAGACACACAGAGACTCCACCCCCTCAGGCGCGACGCCTGGGGGACGCTGCCGCCCGCTCCACCGCTGGCCCTGGCCGCCAAGTCGCATGCGACCCTCTCGCCGGTGCTGTGATGTCCTGCAGGCACACAGGCCGGGGTGGACTCCGCTCTGTTCCCCAGTCACGCACTGAAGGCAGCGGAGGCCACCTGGCTGGCCTGCGTGGGGGCCACCTGGACATGGACGGAGCATGAGGCAGCAGTCTGGTCTGCGGCTGACCTTGACCCCCAGCTGGAGGGCACCTGGGCCTGGGTCTCACCATGAGCGGGTGAGCAGGGAGAAGGGCCGGAGGTGGCACGATCCCCATCACCCTGAGGTGGGGGCCGCAGGACAGGATGCTCTGAGGTCACGCCGTGGGGAAATCCATGTGCGAAGTGACTTTGCCAGACCTCCCTGCTGGCCGCCAGAACACAGGAGTCACCTCCACTCTCCATGCCTGGCCTCCCCCCGCAATGCTCCTGCCGTGCTTGCTGCACCCCAGTCTCAATGTGGAGCCTCGGGCAACGAGGTTGTCCAGAGAGCTGTGGAGCGATAATCAGGCTGACAGCAGGCCCAGCCCATGGGGAGCCAGTCGCGTGGATGTGTCCTCCGAGGTCCCAGGTCACGCCTGTGCTCCAAGGTCCACTCAGACGGTGGCCACTTTCCCTCCACAGCAGTATTTCTAGGGTTTCCAGCCTTGCCCAAGGAAATAGTCATGAATAAGCACCTACATAAAAGCATGAATATATTCATGAAAGCGTAATTCATATTACTAAAAAGATTAAAAACAGCTTAAATTTTCATGGCGGGGAGATTAATCCAAAACCTCGCGGCTCCCACAATAGTGGGGTCACACAACCACCCGGGCCCTCTGCACGGGCAGGGTCGAGATCCACAGGGGTGGACAGGCCCTCGGGGCCGTGCCAGTGGCCACGCCTGAGCCCCCAGGGGAGA